AGCGCGCTCTGCGTTGTTTTTGATTGTTACAATGATGATTAGGGCGCTCTAATTTTTTTTTGATTGTTCGGATGATGTTTAGCGCGCTCTGTGTTGTTTTTGATTGTTACGATGATCATTAGCACGCTTTGTGTTGTTTTTGATTGTTACGATGATGATTAGCGCGTTTTGTGTTGTTTTTTATTGTTACGATGATGATTAGCGCGCTCTGTGTTGTTTTTGATTGTTACGATGATCATTAGCACGCTTTGTGTTGTTTTTGATTGTTACGATGATGATTAGCGCGTTTTGTGTTGTTTTTGATTGTTACGATAATGATTATCGCGCCCTGTGTTCTTTTTTATTTTTACGATGATGATCAGGGCGTTGATTGTTGTTTTTTATTATTACGATGATGATTAGCGCGCTCTGTTTTGTTTTTGATTGATACGATGGTGATTGGCGCGCTCTGTGTTGTTTTTGATTGTTAGGATGATGTTTTGCGCGCTCTGTAATGTTTTCAATTCATACAATGATGATTAGCGCGCTCTGTGTTGTTTTTGATTGTTACGACGTTGATTAGCGTGCTCTGTGTTATTTTTGATTGATACGATGATGATTAGCACGCTCTTTTTTTTTTTTTTTGATTGATACGATGATGATTAGCGCGCACTGCATTGTTTTTTATTGTTACGATGATTTTTAGCGCGGTTTGGGTTGTTTTTGATTGTGACGATGATAATTAGCGCGCTCTGTGTTGTTTTTAACTGTTACGAGTTTGATTAGCTCGTCTTGTTTTGTTTTTTATTAATACCATGATAATTAGCGCGCTCCGTGTTTTTTTTTTGTCTTACGATGATGATTAGCTCTCTCCGTGTTGTTTTTTATTTTCATGATGATGATTAGCGCCTTCTGTTTTGTTTTTGAATGTTACGATTTCATTTAGGTCGCTTTGTGCTGTTTTTGATTGCTACGATGTTAATTAGCGCGCTCTTTTTTTTATTTTTTATTTTTACGATAATGTTTAGTGCGTTTGCGTTGTTTTGATTTTTACGACAATGATTTTTGCTTGTTTTAATGATGATTAGGGCTCTCTGTGATGTTTTTGATTGTCACGATGATGACTAGCGCACTCTGTGTTGTTTTTGATTGTTACGATGATGATTAGCGCACTCGGTGTTGTTTTTGATTGTTACGATAATGATTAGCGCACTCTGTGTTGTTTTTGATTGTTACGATAATGATTAGCTCACTCTGTGTTGTTTTTGATTGTTATGATGATGATTACCGCACTGTGTTGTTTTTGATTGTTACGATGATGATTAGCGCACTCGGTGTTGTTTTTGATTGTTACGATAATGATTAGCGCACTCTGTGTTGTTTTTGATTGTTACGATGATGATTAGCGCACTCTGTGTTGTTTTTGATTGTTACGATGATGATTAGCGCGCTCTGTGTTGTTTTTGATTGTTACGAATATGATTAGCGCACTTTGTGTTGTTTTTGATTGTTACGATGATGATTAGCGCACTCGGTGTTGTTTTTGATTGTTACGATAATGATTAGCGCACTCTGTGTTGTTTTTGATTGTTACGATGATGATTGGCGCGCTCTGTGTTGTTTTTGATTGTCACGATGATGATTAGCGCAGTCTGTGTTGTTTTTGATTGTTACGATGATGATTAGCGCACTCTGTGTTGTTTTTGATTGTTACGATGATGATTAGCCCACTCTGTGTTGTTTTTGATTTTTATGATGATGATTAGCGCACTCCGTGTTGTTTTTGATTGTTACGATGTTGATTAGCGCACTCTGTGTTGTTTTTGATTGTCACGATGATGATTAGCGCACTCTGTGTTGTTTTTGATTGTTACGATGATGTTTAGCGCACTCTGTGTTGTTTTTGATTTTTACGATGATGATTAGCGCACTCTGTGTTGTTTTTGATTTTTACGATGATGATTAGCGGACTCTGTGTTGTTTTTGATTGTTACGATGTTGATTAGCGCACTCTGTGTTGTTTTTGATTGTCACGATGATGATTAGCGCACTCTGTGTTGTTTTTGATTGTTACGATGATGTTTAGCGCACTCTGTGTTGTTTTTGATTGTTACGATGATGATTAGCGCACTCTGTGTTGTTTTTGATTTTTACGATGATGATTAGCGGACTCTGTGTTGTTTTTGATTGTTACGATACTGTTTAGCGCGCTTTGTGTTGTTTTTGATTGTTACGATTATGTTTATCTCTCTCTGCGTTGTTTCTGATTGTTACGATGATGTTTAGCGCGCTCTCTCTTGTTTTTTTATTGTTACGATGATGTTTAGCAAGCTCTGTGTTGTTTTTGATTGTTAGGATGATAATTAGCGCGCTCTGTGTTGTTTTTGATTTTTACTATAATGTTTAGTGGGCTTTATGTTGTTTTTTATTGTTACGATAATGATTCTCGCCCTGTGTTTTTTTTTATTGTTAAGATGATGATTAGGGCGCTCTGTGTTGTTTTTGGTTGTTAGATTAATGATTAGCGCGCTCTGTGTTGTTTTTGATTGTTACGATGATGTTTAGCGCGCTCTGTGTTTTTTTTATTGTTACGATGATGTTTAGCGCGCTCTGTGTTGTTGTTTTATGTTACTATGATGATTAGCGCGCTTTGTGTATTGTTTGATTGTTACGATGATGTTTAGCGTGCTCTGTTGTTTTTGATTGTTACAATGATGATTAACGCGCTGTGTGTTGTTATTTGATTGTTACGATGATGATTAGCGCGCTCTGTGTTGTTTTTTATTGTTACGATGATGTTTAGCACACTTTTTTTAAGTTTTGATTTTTACGATGATGATTACCTTGCTCTGTGTTGATTTTGATTGTTACGATGATGATTAGCGCACTCCTTGTAGTTTTTCATTGTTATGAAGCTGTTTAGCAAGCCCTGTGTTGTTATTGATTGTTTCGATGATGTTTAGCACGCTCTGGGTTGTTTTTTATTGTTACGAGGATGATTTGCGCGCGTTGTGTTGTTTTCAATTTTTACGATGATAATTAGCGCGCTCTTTTTTTTTTTTTTTTTACGATATTGTCTAGTGTGCTTTGTGTTGTTTTTGATTGTTGCGATAATGATTATCGCGCCCTGTGTTGTTTTTTATTTTTACGATGATGATTATCGCGCTCTGTGTTATTTTTGATTGATACAATGATGATTAGCGCGCTCTGTGTTGTTTTTGATTGATACGATGGTGATTAGCGCACTCTGTGTTGTGTTTGATTGTCACGATGATGATTAGCGCACTCTGTGTTGTTTTTGATTGTTACGATGATGATTAGCGCACTCTGTTTTGTTTTTGACTGTGACGATGATGAATAGCGCGCTCTGTGTTGTTTTTGATCGTTACTATGATGATTAGCGCACTCTGTGTTGTTTTTTATTGTTACGATGATGATTAGCGCGCTCTGTGTTGTTTTTGATTGTTACGATGATGTTTGGGGGGCTCTGTTTTCTTTTCTATTGTTACGATGATGATTAGCGTGCTCTGTGTTGTTTTTTATTTTTACGATGAAGATTTGCGCACTCTGTGTTGTTTTTGATTGATACAATAATGATAATCGTGCTTTGTGTTGTTTTGATTGTTACGATGATGGTTAGAGTGCTCTGTTTTGTTTTTGATTGTTACGATGACATTTAGCGCACTTTGTGTTGTTTTTGATTGTTACAATGATGTTTAGCGCTTTCTGTTTTGTTTTTGATTGTTACGATGATGATTAGCGCGCTTTGTTTTTTTTTTTGTTGATACAATGATGATTATCGCGCCCTGTGTTGTTTTTTATTGTTATAATGATGTTTAGCGCGCTCTGTGTTGTTTTTGATTGTTATTAGGGACCTTAAGCACCAAAAACGTGGAATGCCGCCGACGGTGATAGTGAGACGAGAAGTCCTGGGGAAAACGTGAGTTACGTTTCCCACTATTGACGTTAAGCTGAACTACGCAGCTCGGATGACGTGACCAGTCAAAATGTAAACAAAGGAGGGTTTGTCGATCGTACGTACTACTTTTTTCACTTTTTTTCACAATGGCTAGCCGCAAACAGGTTGAGGAGATGTTGCTTTTGTCTTTTATACACGGTTTCATTTCTGAAGAGGAATTTGGAGTTTTACACGAAGCATTGCAGACCAAGAATCCAATTTTTCCGCACAGTGATTACGAAAGGTTTACTTTAGACACTCTCGAGGAAAGTGAAATCTTTGCAGAGTTTAGAGTACGAAAACGGGATATTGAACGCTTAGCCGATGCTCTGGGGCTTCCAGAGTCATTCGTCTGTCACCAGAGGACAAGAGCCGATAAGATTGAAGGACTCTGTATGGTGCTCAAACGTCTGGCGTACCCGTGCAGGTACAGTGATCTAATACACCAGTTTGGGCGAGCCGTGCCAGAACTATCTATGATCACAAACGCGGTGGAAGAGTTCATTTACCAAAACCACCACCACCGATTAACACAGTGGAATGCTACTCTTCTAAGCCCACGGAAACTTCAGCAGTATGCTGATGCAGTGGCAGTGAAAGGTTCTCCATTGAAAAACTGCTTCGGATTCATCGATGGCACCGTAAGACCAATATCAAGACCGGGTGAAAACCAAAAAATAGTGTACAATGGGCACAAGAGGCTCCATGCCCTAAAGTTTCAGTCCGTTACGCTGCCGGATGGGCCAATTGCGCATCTTTTTGGACCTGTTGGTAAGTCAGTTTAAATTTCATGAAAGCAATGGAAAAGTGAAAATTAAAACGAAATAGGTCGGTGACCCCTCTACATGGGCTTCCCTACCTTCCCCCATCCTCACCCCACCAAAAAGGGTATTTTTACAAATTACTTATGAAGTGATCATCTCGAGAATACTTTGGTTAAAAAATTAACATAAATTATGTAGAGAATATTTTTATTCTTCATGTGGTGTCTCCAACTAAAACTTTATTAAACAGTGATAATATTATTTTCTGTTATTGAGAGGGAAGAAAGCATGATGCAGCAATGCTGAAAGATTCTCATCTCCTGGATGACCTTAACGCTCATGCATTTAGTGCCACTGGTGAGGCCATGTGTCTCTATGGGGACCCCACTTATCCCCATCGCATCCACCTGCAAGGACCCTTCAAAGAACAACGACTGACTCCCGCTATGGAGGACTTCAACAGTGCCATGAGCTCAGTCCGTTCCTCAGTTGAGTGGGTGTTTGGTGATGTTATTGGATCATTTAAATTTTTGGATTTCAAAAAAAATCTCAAAATTGGTCTAAGTCCAGTTGGCAAACATTACATAGTGAGCGCTCTGCTTAGGAATGCCCTGACATGTATTTATGGCAACAATACAGGGGCATACTTTGGAGTGGAACCACCATCTCTAGAGGAGTACTTCTCCTAAGTATGAAACAGTTGAGTTGTTGAGTTGAGTTAAAGTAACCATAAGATGCATTTTTTGCAGTTTATACAACAACTCTGGCAATGCCTAGAAAAGATATAAACATGTACATGTATATAATCTCATTTTTCAGTTCCTGTATTCATTGTCTCATGCAGACGTCACATATGATCCTGTCAATTATTAATTTCATGATAAGTGGATGGGCTTATTGTGTGCCAAAGAAATTGGAAAAAAATCATTTTGTTTAAAATGCAATTATTTTTTTCAAGAGTTGTTTTAACAAATGTGCTAGCTTTCATTAAACATACTATTGTAAAAATAATTGTGACTTTATATGAAAAGGTACCTTAATTTCGCAGAATCTCATGCTCTCTGTAAGAATTATGTGATGCTGAAAATAAATTAGCAAATTGCGAGTTAACAATTGAGAAACAACTCAGACTTCCAAAAACATTTTTCTTTTGCCACGTGAACTTCTAACAAAAATTAGTGTTCTGCAATCTAGAACCACAAAAAGATACAAATGTAGTTATTCTACATCTCAGGTACCTTTTCACTTTTTACGTGTAATAATTTTAACTCTGTATATGTTTCCCATGCTTGACTTCCTGTCCTCATGATAAGTACTTTTTACATAATAATCCCCTATTTTTAAGTCTGTTAAAAAGGGCTGAGTCACTGCACCAGTTTAATCTTATTGTTTCTTTGACATAATGTTCTTGCCATTAATGTGATCTCAAAAACTCCCAAAAAGAAAAGAAAAGTGTCTTTGCAGGAGCATATTACATCTAACTTTGAAAACCTGGTATACTGTGTATAAGTCTCCTTGCTGTAGCTGTATAATAAAAAATGCAATACCGGTATTAAATATTGCAATATTTTAATGTTCTTAATTTTCCAAATCCAAGCATCTTTCATTTGTTGTTTTTGCTGTGAGCAGGGTTGTTCAAAGCTGCAGGGTTAATATAACCATAGGGCTTAATTAAAGCACATATAAAAGCTTAAGCACATTCAGTCTATTTTTGTGTACATTTGATGTTTGGATGATCTAAAAAGATTAGAGAAGAGGCTGGAGTCGATCACTTGTCCAAGAAAAAATGCTTTTAAACATTAATGAAAAAGAAACAGGGATATTAAAATTCAACCCCAGGTTAGTGCTTAATCCTCCTTTGAACAACTATGGGCCTTAGGTCATTTTGTAGAGCATTGCTGGGGGAAAATGAGTAAGGATGTTCTGGCTATGTTTAATGCATTAGTCAAACTGGTTGTTCTCGTGAAGGCTAACAATATACCTTTGCTATATCCAACTATCTATCTATTACGAAAATGGTTAGGCCCACTAAGTATAATTCTGTTTTATTTCTTACAATACACTTCTAAAACCAGCTGATCTTTATTTATTAAAAAGCATTATTTTGAAATCCAATCCATCTCTTGGACAATATAAATATATAACTCGTGTCTGAACAAGGTTTTAAATGTTAATAATATAACTGTGCCACGTTTTTTTTTATAAGAAATTATAAAGCAATCAAAATGTATGTACACACCTCTTTCAATATTGTACAATCAAGTGTCCTTGTCATATGAGGTCATAGAGATCTCTCAATTTCAACACATTATTTTGAAATACAGTATGTAGTAAATGTGTAATAAATCCAACTTGTTTTTAAAAATTATTGTGCTGCTGTTTAATTTTTTTTTTGCAGGATGGCCATCAACATTTGAAAATTTTGTTGTTGTTGATTGGCCATAGACTGTTGAATCTGAAGAAACTGTTGTTGTTGTTGCTTCATGGCTTCTTGGTTTAGCTGAACTTGTTGTTGTTGGAACTCTTGTTGTTGTTTTTGTTGCTGTAACAGAATGTTAAAGAGGTCTTCATGCCTCTTTGCTTCATTAGCCATCTGGGCCTGTTTTGATTCTTCTACCTTTGCACGCAGGGCCATTTCCTCCTCTGCCCTCTCCTTCAGGTATGCAACCATCTCTGATCCATTTGACCTCCTCCTGATCTGCTTTGCAGGCTTAATATTCCCATCCTCATTTTCTCTCTTTTTGGTTTGGCTTAGGGCCTCCATGGCCTTCAGCCTGATGTCTTTGGCCATAGCCACCTCCCTTTTCTTCTTTTCGTTGTCTTTCTCAATCTCTGCAACATTTGCTTCCATCCTCTCTATTATTTCTTCAAGTATAGTATCCAGCTCTGATTGTTCTGGGCTAATCCCACTCGCCTTCAGCTCATCTGCATTCTTCTTCTTGTGGTTTTTAATCAGGAGCGCTATATGGTCCTTAGCACCCCTTGAGGTTAGCTTGTCGAATTTCCCTGTGTAATTTTTCATGAGGTTGTTGACGAGATCCTGCCACGCCTGAACACTTTGAGCAGTCCTTTCCTTGAACTGAAATGGTTCAAGGTAAAGGACCTCTTTAGCCAGCAAAACATCCTTAGCCTTCGACCATTCCATCTTAGAAGAGCTTAAAGTTGGATAAAAATAAAAAAAAAATCAAGTTTTGAAATATTATTCGGCTGTCTATACTATAATTATATTGAGTTCTATCATGATCTTATGAGTTTATCAATATAATGGAAGCTGGCATTCATTTGAAAATTATAAAATCGGCGTTGTTATGAGATCTTAAACCGATCACGTTTCGGCGATGCTGCCTAATCTACGCTGCCATTTCGCTTCAGAAATTTCAGCTTGTACACATATGGTTGCGTTGATTTCTGTATCTGAGGTATTCTGCAGTCGAGTGACAATGAAAATCAGGCAAACCTAGCGGTCACTAAAAGTGCCTCTCATACTCGGTATAAAAACCTGTGAACCTCACGAGTAACGTAAAACAATAATACAAAGAAGCCAATGAGAAGTCAACACAATGGAACCAAGGGAAAAAATAACTAGAAAACAAAGAAAAACTTCACAGGTTTTTACACCGAGGATGACCCAAAAGTGCAATGCAAAAATGAAAACATAACTTTGCTTATTATGAACAATAATCACAAAAAGGCCAATAATATGATACGAAATCTCGAAGAGTATTACATTTTGTCAGAGCAGATTGTATTTTTATTACCTTTGACTCTTGTTTTCTTCCGAACAACTCGCCATGGCTTTCTTCACTTTGCTGACTCTGCAACCGGTTGTTTGCACAAAAACACGGGTTACGTAACACTTCAGTTTTTAAACTTCACGCGATAAAATATGCAACATTGTTATACCTGCCAACTCTCACGCCTTAGGCGTGAGTCTCACGCCTGCGGGTTGAAAACTTCGATCTCACGCCCGCTCACGCCTGCGGACCAATTTCTCACGCCTGATTGAAAAATGTGAGTTGTTGCCGTCTTACTTGACACAATTTCCAAAAATATGTTAACTCAGACCCATGTAAGGAACGAAAACCATGTGTAAAATGAATAAATGACAATACCTTCCTCGCGATCTCTGATTTTGTGGATAAGCGTTTTCTCGGTAACTTCGCCTTCGGCAGACTTCGGACGTCTTCGGAAGACTTCGGACGTCTTCGGAAGACTTCGGACTCCTTCGGGAATCTTCGGAAATGATCGTGTCGTTTTCAAAAATCCCAGCACTCCCAGGATAAAAATCTCACGCCTACATCTCAGAAAAAGTTGGCAGGTATACATTGTAGTAACGGATTATAAAACAAGATGATTTTCATGTCTTACCTTGAAACTGAACTTTTTGTGGTGATTTACGAGTTATTTTTTTCTTACGTTTTCCAAAAACGTACAATTATCCTGATCTGCGTCGGCGACGAAGGGCTTTTCGCGTAACTGCGTAGTATCCCATGGCAACCAATGGCGTGTGCGCGACTGTCATTTCCGGTTCACGTCCCCGACATTCTACGTTTTTGGTGCTTAAGGTCCCTATTATGATGTTTAGCGCGCTCTCTTGTGCTTTTGATTGTTACGATGTTGATTTCAGATTGATTAGCGCGCTTGGTTTTGTTTTTGGTTGATACAATGATGATTATCGCGCTCTTTTTTGTTTCTTATTGTTACGATGATGTTTAGCGCGTTTTGCGTTGTTTTGATTGTTACGATCGATGATGATTAGAGTGCTCTGTGTTGTCTTTGATTCTTACAATGACATTTAGCGCACTTTGTATTGTTTTTTATTGTTACGATGATGATTATCGCGCTCTTTGTTGTTTTTGATTGTTACGATGATGATTTGCGGGCTCTGTGCTATTTTTGATTGGTAGCATGATTATTAGTGCGTTCTTTGTGGTTTTTCATTGGTACCATGATGGATAGCGTGCTAGGTTTTGTTTTAATTGTTACCATGATGACTACCAGGAGGATTCCTATATACCGAGCCAGGGGCCCGTTTTTTGAACGTACGGTAACTTTTTGGGTCTGAAGGCAAATTTTGAAATCAAAAGCTGTTGAACAGTCGCACGGTTCCTAGCCCACAGACCGGTCAAGTTTGCTTTTTTAACTCTTATTTTCATTGTTTTATGTTCAAAAGTATTGAAATTTTGGTCTTGAAAGCAAACACGGGAAACATAAAAGCAGTTTTCGGGCCCGAAAAGTTATCGGGACTTAAGGAAAAGGGCCCCAGGACTCGAGCCAGGACTTGAAGCCAGGACTCGACGCAGGACCGGACAATTTTTTGCTTCTCCGCCATTTTTACCTCCTACAAGTCACATGACCATTAAGCGGAGGGTTTTCGTGGCAATCATTTGAGGTAAGGGTTAGGCTAAGGGTTTGGGTTAGTGTTAGGGTTAGGGTTATATTTGTTTTTTTTATTATTTTAATTTCTTTATTTTTCGCTTTCAAAAAATTAGAAAAGTCCTAACTAGAGTCCTAGCTCGAGTCCTTGCTTTGATGTTAGTTTATCTCGATTACTACGTTCTTTGTTGCTTGTGATTGTTACCATGATGATTCGCACGCTCTGTGTTGTTTTGATTGTTACCATGTTGATCAGCGTGCTTTTGTTGTTTTGATTATTACCATGATGTGTAACTCGATCGCTTTTCGTTTAGTTAAATTGTGTTGAATATGTTGCGCCTGGGGTTTGTTGGTTTTGATTGTGTTGATTGTGACTTTGACTGCTTTGATGATTACCACCGCAAGTCTGATTTGTTTTTGTTGGCTTTAGTTTTTGTTGTTGTTGTTGTTGTTTTTTGTAACTTTGTTGTTTTTGTTGTTGATTGTACGTTACCTTTTAGAACTAATCTTTTTCCCTATTGGAAATGGGTAGGAGGTATCCTTTAGGTATTTATCTGCATCCCTAACCTTTTAATAGTTTAGATGATACCAGGAAATATAACCGCTCTTTTACCATTTACAAAAAGTTTCCGGAAATTTTGGTTAAAAGGGTAAATGATACACCAAAGTTTTTGTCTTTCTTGTGGGAAATTTTCGGGGGGAGCAAGTTTCAACGACGTGTTAACGTACCAGTTTCAGGCCGTTTACGGCCGTTTTTCATTAGATAGCGCTGATTTGGGCAAATGTTCAACGCACATCACAAGTCACGTCTAGCCTGCGAACACAGACCATGTCAAATCGGTGGAAGAATCGGGGGGCTGTCAAATTAAATCAAGCTCATAGAGCTTGGGTAACCTGTGCTTTGGGCTCTCTCTACCCAATCCTTTTCCGATCATTTTTTTACTTTTTTGAACGCCTTACCAAAAATGACGTCCGGTCTTCGTACGCTTCTCTTTCTCCTATGCTCTTTTTGGATTGTAAACGTGTCCTTAGAAAACGATGATGGCTACAATGCAGCCGTTACTCTTCTGGGCGGTAAATTTCGTATGGGAAGTTCATCTGCAGACACCAAACGCGGAGAATTACCCACCAAAACCGTCGGAGTAAAGCCGTTCGTGATTGACAAATATCCCGTTACTAATGAAAATTTTCGAAAGTTTGTTCGCGCTAAGAAATTCAAGACCGAAGCGGAACGGTTTGGTTGGAGTTTTGTTTTTCGTACCTTCGTCCCTGAGGAAGTCCGATCCAAGATAACGCAATCTGTCCCGGTAGGTTAGTTCTTTGGATATCAGTGGTTTTTTTTTTAATATTTGTTTTAAAAGATACTCGTGGGGTCCACGTGGTTGTTTCAAGAGGATTGCTTTTAGAAATGGACCCCGTTAGCCTCGCTCCGTTCAAAGTGAGACAAAAATAAACTTCTTAAACCTGTCAGCGTGCCTGAAGTGATTCACTCAGCTTCAGTTTACCTGCACCGTTCCACTTTTCCCTCAATTTTTGACATGGATCCATTGACACTGTGGAAAAAAGTGTCTTAAAATAAATTAGAAGGCTTGTCAAGTTAGAAAGTGATCTGTCGGAAGTCAGTGAAGATACGTATAACTTTGCAAAGAAACAACATTTCATAGTCGTCTTGTGTGATGAGCGCCAGCACAAACTTACCCCAACAATACAATCATCTGTATCCTTGCAGGGGTTTATCTTTGCTACTTCTGAATGTATCACTCTTAAACTGATTTTAAGGGTGCTAAATCTTTCCAGCCAATAATTTTTCAAACATGAAAAAATGTTAAAAATTACTTACTTGTTGTTCTAAAAGTCCTGTTTATTGACATGATTTTTCAAGAGATTTTTTCTACTGCAATTTTATGGCAATTTCTTGGTGATTTTATTGCAATTTTCACAGTAGAGGCTAGAAGCAACTTGCGGAAATGCCCTATTCCCTTGAAGTCAGTACTAGTTTACGTGAGATATGGGATTTGAAATCACATGCCGCTGAAAAAATTGTTAGGCTGTGTAAATGGGCCATGGACTTTTCTTGCCCCATTGGGTAACTTGTGATGAATAATACCAGTCCAAGAGGTTGCTCTGCTTGGGCACAAATTTGTGGGACATCAGAGAAAAATAATGTGATAAACCCAAGTGCCCTGCCCAGTATATACAGTGTGCAAAGAAATAGTGTCCGATAGCCTGGGACTAGTGAATTGGCTAATGAATTCTTGTTCTTAACATGCCCAATGGGCAAGTGAATTTTTTTGGGGCGGGGAGGGGGGGAATTCACACTACAGAAGAACTGTAATCATTGCTCATCAAAAATACTTTAATTTCCGGCGAGTGGAAATGACTTCAAATGGGCTAGTGCATGCTAGGTACAGTCTGCTCAAATGGCAAGCAGTAAAACTGACTTTCTTTGCACCCTGCTATAGAGAGATCAATAACACCAAGCCAATGCAAGAACAGCACATCTTTTTATTTCTGGTATTAATAACACTATAATTTATATTTATGGCAAAAAAACTGACATACATTAATTGCCTTCATTTTTTTCCCCTTCAATTCAGGGGGCACCATGGTGGCTGCCAGTGCAACAGGCATACTGGAGGCAGGTCTGTTATTATTGGAAGCAAGAAAATAAGAATGTTCTACACATTATGAAATTGTAGGATGATGTACAAAATGAATACTGTACATTGGGCTAACTGTAGTGTACCAGTTTCTTTGACTGGATATGCTGTAGACTAGTTACTGTAGTACTTAATCACTGGCAACTTTGAACTCATTCAATTCAAGCCATATAAATAATGAATAAATAAATAATTTAGAGGTAGCACATCCACTTAGTGGTTCTTCATCTATCCGATTCCTGTTCGAATTGGTTTTGGAAACTTTGGTCTTTGAGGCGGGACAGAAATCAGCGTACCCAGAGAAAAACCTCTCAGAGAATAAGGAGAGAGCCAACAACAAACTCAACCCTCATATGGTGTTGACGCTGGGATTTGAACTGGGGCCACATTGATGGGAAGGGGGTGCTCTCACCACTGCACCACCTTTGCTTCGGACAGGTTTTTGCCATCATCATTACGTTCTAAGTTTTGTGTGATGTTATTTTGTTAAATATTTTGTATGAACTTCATTGAGGTCAGAAGGTTAACCCCTAATAATAATATTACACTATAAAAAAAATACAAGATTTCACATTTCTATCACCTTATACTAAGTATTTATTTTCCATTTTTATACTTTAAACACATTTTAGCCAGGAGGGCCTGGAACATCTGTAAAGGAAAAGATGTCTTACCCAGCTGTGCATATTAGTTATAATGATGCCAAGGCTTATTGTGAATGGATGGGAAAGAGATTACCAACAGAGGCAGAATGGGAATTTGCAGTGAGAGGAGGGCTGAAAGGTTATGTTTTTTAAAAAATCATACATCATCACAACACAGCTTTTAATACTGTATGGACACTGGTTATTTGTGATTTTCCTTGTCATAATCATTTTTTGGAGAACCTGCGAAGTTAATACAGACACTGCGATAACATCTGTAGACACCATGCCATGTCCCTTGGTTGAGTATAGGACTATAAGTGTAAAAAATATATATGTCTGGGGTGTGTGATTTTACTAAAAGGTGCCTGCTAAGTTTTCGCTTGAACACAGGCATTGCCCGTGTTCAAGCCAGTGTATTTGGAGAAAAAACAGGGGGCATAACATCTTGCAAAGTGTCAGCAGAGAGCCCAGGCCCAGACCTATCCGTGGGGGGTGGCTTTTTTGTTTTGTGTGAAAACCAGGGGGGTAGGGAGGGGAGATTTTGTCACTTTGATTAGAGTTTTATGTCAGAAAGCAGTGCAAAGTCAGAGAATTGTTTCTGTGGCCTAGGCCAGCCAAATCAATGCAGTGACTCATAATCATAACACTACTAGCAGTGCTTAGGGTAAGTGATTGACTAGTCATAAGCTTCATGGGTGGGGAGGGTGAGTAATGGCTCCTTGGACTTGACTGTCTAGAGACTCAGTACAGGCACCTTGTATGAAATCCAGACAGATGTAAATTGATGTCAAATATTGTTTACCAGGAAACACCTACAGTGTAGGAAGTCTTGAAAAGTAACCTTAGGGTGCTTTCCATTTGTCAGAACTGGCCAGCCGGACCATAATTTGCCAGACCAGTCTGTTAGCAAATGAATTTGGCTTTTTCCAAGAGATTGCCAAATTAAACGTTCTGCTTCGGGCATACAATTTAGGATTTGACTGATCTGGCTGGATAGTTTTGATAAAAAAAAAAAAAAAAAAGAAATTCTTAATTAGGACGGAAATGGTCTGGCCGGTCAGTTCTGACAAATGGAAAGTACCCTTTATAGCCTTGCAGCTCCATTGATTCCCCTATAGCTCTGACAGTGATAGTAGATCATCTGGAAATAATAACTTAAGTTCCGCTGGTCTATTTAATGCAATACTTGCCTAGTTTGAGTGATTTCAATGTAAATTACATATTTTTTGCTTTAACAGAAAGGGAATACCCTTGGGGGGCTGAATTCCAGAAGAAACGAATGAATATTTGGCAGGTAACTGCATGGTCAAATTGTCATTTGCAATGACTGAGTGATTTCTTGCTGTGATAAGTAACAGAGTATTAATAGTCCTCAAAGTTTTGTTTGCTGTCACATATGCAATTAACTTTGTTTTGCCTTGTCCATAATTTTCCATTGTGTTAATTAATTATTGATAGGTAAAAATGACGTTGATAAGTTCAAAACTTTTAAAAATGTCCAGGATTGCAAGTTAATTACTAGATTTATTACAAAGTATCCCCTAGCCCTAAACCTAGTGGATCATCTAAATGCATGCTGTTCTCTCTCCAATCAAATGTAAATTAAAAATAGTGTTATAGTTACAGTATTTCTAATGTGTGTCTGATGTGTCTGAAGTATCTAATTTTCGAGTTTTCTTGCATTTCTGGACGTAAGTGTGATTTATTCGACCATAAATAATGAATTTTGTTCTATAATGTTACTGTTGTTTTTGTGGTAAACTAATTAAGGGCAAATTTCCTGATGACAACACAAATGAGGATGGTTTTGACTGGGTTGCTCCAGTAGATGCCTTTCCTGCTCAGAATAAATATGGTAAGGAATAAATAAAACCAGGTAGATTACAGATGAACTAAGGTCATTGTTTATATGGGAACTTCAAGATGTTTTTCAGTCAGTGACACTGGCAGCTCAGAAGAAAAAATCCGAGCAGTACTCCCAACAGGAGTTGAACCTATGATCTTCTGGGCACAGTTCCCCTGAAAGATGGTTGAGTTTAACCAGAGATTAATCCAATTTTAAAGCAAGGTTTTCTTGCACAAAAACATGCAACTCGAGCTTACAAAGCACTGTTGAGCCTTTACTTCGAGATACGGAAATGATAACACAAAGTGTTACTATGAGCAGTACATAGGAAGGTAAAATGCATTAAAACGGAACAAAATTTTAATCCTGGATTAGCGCTAATCAGCCTTTCAGGAACCAGGCACTGGTTAGTCTGGTTCAATAATGGGTCTGGATGCTGAACTTCTACCACAAGAGACTTGTGAAAGCAAAGGCTGCTAAACTAGGTTCATGTGACAAACATCTGTAAACTGCTAGATCTAGAACTAAAAATTATGACGATATGTGCTTTAAAAAATCCTGACTTAAAACATCAACACCCCAAAACATGGTTTCTAAAATTTCCCTACCCCTCTCCTCCAAAATCCCAGAACTGAAAATTTCAAACCCAAAAATTCCTTGGATCATTTCCATTGCTTTAAAACTGGAGTACACTCCCCCCTGGATATATGGGTTGGTTTTATATGATCCCATATACTGTACTGTGGGTCTTGTTTCATGGGCTGGTTTCAAGGGGCCCGTCAAACTCAGTGGCGGATCCATACCTTCAGATGGTGGGGGGGGGGGGCGGTCATCCAACCCTGAGATAAGGGGAGGGGGGTCTCAAAAAAAATTTTTTTGGGGCCTCAGTTTGGTCTAAAAAGAAGGGGGAGGCGCGGGCCCCTCAGGCCCTTCCTCTGGATCCGGCATTGAAACTAACTGTGTTTGAATTGTATTTTATTGTTAGGAATGTATGACATGTTAGGGAATGCATGGGAGTGGGTATCAGATGAATTTAAAGACCAAGGAAAGGAGGCAAAGTTTGTCCTGCGAGGTGGATCATATATAGACTCCGCAGATGGCAAACATAACCATAAAGTTACTGTAAACACAAGGTAAATAATCGAGTGGATACAAATCAGGCTAGAAATCAAGCTAGGAATGTTGTAGCCTGCGTAGCAAGCATTTCTGTGCAGTTTCAGAGCAAAGAACAAAGTCAAAGACCTTGAAAATGGTCTTTGCTTCATTTCTTGCATGGCCAAAACCAAAATTCCTGTTCATTGGTCATTATTTGCTCCGAAACCAAACAGAAACGCTTGCTACGCAGGCTAGGAATGTTGGAATAAATTGCTTAGAAAAGCTTTGTTGCATCATTGTTGTTGTGTTTTTATTGGAGACGATACAAAAACTGTATTCCAAAAAAAGCATGAACAACAACAGCAATAATTTTCAGTTTGTTATCCTAGAGTACTCAAAGTGTTCCTGCGTTTATGATTGAGTAGATTTTGTAAAAATAATTCAAATTGTGGAATTATGCCCGTTTTGGGAATGAAATAAATAACGAAAATTGTCATTTTAGGAAAAAAAATAATGGGATAATGAAAATCCCATTATGTTCATCCCACTCCAACCCAAGCCCCACCCCCCTCCCGCCATTGAGTGTTTTCGAGTGGAAGTGGAGAAAACGCATGTTAAAAACTCTACGTTTGTCAGCTTGCGAGCCAAGTGTCATTAAATAAGGCTTAAATCAGATTCAGATTCATTGCCCAGACACCCCGAGGTCGCTTGTTTCCATTCCCTTTCTCTTAGGGCTCAAAGCCAAAAGCAGCTTCTCTTGTCGATGTATGCGGGGAGACGCAAAGTATGGCTATATATCACTGGTCTTTATCCTTCTTCCCCCCACCCCACCACCCCACCCTTTCCCGCCAGTCTAAACAAGAATTCCCCGAGTTAATTTTCGCAAAGAATTCTGGAATAGTATTAGGGACTTTAAGATCCAACAAGAAGACGGCAACGAGAGCGTCTAAAAAACAATAGGTTTAGATTGCCGTTTTTGCACGACGACGACGTGAAAATGCCTAATTTCGCGTTTAATGGAGAACGTAAACAAGCAACGACGGAATTTTCATTCTCTTTCTGAACTTGTATATTGTCCCTTGAAATTCAGCTTCAGGGGGTTTAGCCTGCATTTGACAAAGTAAGTGTGTAGGAATAATTGCGATGTAGACTGAGAGAAGGCAAATTCTTTTTTTCAGCGACGTTCTCGTCGCCATCGCGTCAATCAGCAATCCGCCGTACGGAAAAAGATGGCGGCCGTACATTTTACCACAATTCCTTTCGAACCTAACACGGCCAATTACCCATAAGGTCATATTTTGATGAGGCGAAATTCGTCCCTGTAATAGCAACATTGCTTATCCTAGGTTTGAAGTTTATAAAACTTTTCTGCGCGTTTTTATGAGCAGTTTTATGGTTTTCGTGCGCTAAGGACTGTGGGTAAATGTAGCAGTCGCCATCTTTTTAGGTACGGTGGATTGGCCAATTTATTTCTCTGTTCCAAGTAACAGACCCAGAAGTCTCCGAGAAACTTAATTCGGCCCAGTTTCTTCTCGGATAAATACTTGGCAACAGAAAAAGGAAAGATTTTGTAGCAGCATTGTTCAGGAGAGATTCGGCTGTACTTCAGATGAAATGCCAGTTTTTTGTTCTTTTTTTTTAGGATGGGGAACACAGCAGATGCTGGGTCAGATAATATAACATTTAGATGTGCTAGAAGTGCATCTAAGGACGAACTTTGACAGAGAGGAGCTAATTTTCTAAGGAAAGAAATTGCTTTTTTACTGAAATGATATTATGGAAAATATAATTAGAGTTGACTAAATCATCCATGCTAGCTATCGAGTGGGTTTTTTTTCTTCCAAGGAGCTCGAAGATTGATAGCCCCTGCCTATGCCCCTGCCCCTTTCTCTGCAGATGAGAATTTTATAGTGGAATGAATAATCTATTTTTTACACCATCAGTGACAGTCTGTTACGGCGTTTTCTCTGTACTGTCATAGAAAACATCGATGCATGATATCTGTTCACCCTGTTTTTTGCTTTTTTTTTCACTAAGCACGGTCCCATGCGAACAACTGTTATAAGAAAATTTCCAGTGCGTATAAATGTCCTATTTTCCACTTTTACAAAAGAAACCGCTCCGTAAAATTTTTCCTTTTACAATGCTAAAAGCTATCGTCCAAAAGTAAAAGAAGCGATCACCGGCTTAGTTTTCTAGTTATCAGTGCTGGAAGCTAAAAAGTTGGTCTAAAAAAAATTAAGATATGTCGCCGTGGTAACGTCTAATAACGAAATAGCAGTTGATGCAAGTCCATAATTTCTCTTCCCATTTTCTCTGCGGTAAGACAGACGGTGACAGATTTTCTACCAACTTTCTAGAATTGCCAAAATTTCCTAAAAATCCCATGCGACTCTAAGAATCCCCCAAAAATCTGTTTTTTTGTATCTAGGCCGAAGCCGACCAGTTTTTAGCGTACACGAGCATCAGTAAGTTCCAAATTTCTCTTCCTATATTGACTATATTCCCCTAAGACCGACTTTCAGCGGACACGAGCATCAGTAAACCTAAAATTTCTCTTCCCATATTCTCTTAAGTCCGACCACCGACAAGGGCCACAGACATGATACACACGGAAGACTCTGTACAGTAAGGCAACATGGATTAAGGTCTTTTTTCGTGTGGGAATGGAAGCAGAGCCTGAAAGTTAGACTACCAGTAGCCCTTAATGTCGTTTTTTCTCAAGGATAGTAGAGAGAGCGGAAGAAGAAAGCGCGCGTGAAAAGCCCTCTTCCCATTGCGTGTCACCTTCCTCCTGGGGGTGATTTTCACGCGGGCTCACGCATTACTCTCCTCGCTTCTCTATCCACGAGGAAAATGAGAAACTGCTCGTAGCCTTCGTGTCGGTCAACCTTGCTTTAGTTTGCATGCATCTTCACGTTTGCCAGTCAGCTATAAAAGGTGGCTCTGTTTTCACAATACAGAGTTATATTAGCGGGAAAATTACTGGAAAACTGGAAGTTTTTAGCAGCCAAATAATTTGAATTTGATGAAAAAGGCAACGCGAAGACATAAAAGAACACTCTTTCTTGGAGGCTTTTATTCGCCTGAGCCCTTGGTTTCCAGAAAACGTCCGGCTCAAGCCCGCTTGGGAGGCGCATAAAAAGGGGAAGGAAAGGGGGAGTTCGAGCACGCAAGAGCGCGAGCGGCGCCCGAGAGGTGCGCAAGCAGGGGGGAAAAGAAAACACCTGACACCCAGGCAACCTCGGCCATTTCCGAGTTGCCTTGAACCTCTGTTTCAAAGCGAGGCAAAGTGCAACGTTATTGATATGAAAATGATTATTTTCTCATGCAAATTACAAGAAAGGTTTTGCACTTTGCCCGGTTTAGAAAGTTGAACGTTTTGGAACTCGGAAATGGCTTGTTCTTTAAATCGGCCGTCCAAGAATAAAATTTCCCAGTTGGTTGTATTCAGTTTAGTTTAATGAATTCGTCAATAAAAAATGATACAAAAAGAAATCAACAGATAAAAAACGAAGAATTGACTAGTGGCTAAAGAAAAGAACAGAGCTTCCGTTCCAATTATTGTCACCGGCTACTCTCCACTAAATGTCTTATGTACACGCAACATGAACTGATCAAAGTGTAATAGTCCATCCATCTTACTGGGCTGCGGCGCCGGTCTCACTGAAAGAAGTAAAGAAAAAAGGTTCTATCGATGAGTAATGTTCAACACGTAAATAAAAAGATTTGGCAGTCATGCTTTAAAATGCACAGCCGAGTATACTCTATTTTTGACTTGACGCAGAAACTGTTATAACTAAACATTTTGAACTTGCCCTGAGGTTTTGGTGAGTGTAAAGGTGTTGTTTGTTTTACCCCATAATACAGCGTATTAATTCTACTCTATTAAAGTAGTTCAAGCAAGCCTCATGTTTTGTAATATGCAAGATCTACTTTATTGTTTAAGCTCTTAGCAAGGATTTATATGCAAGAAATAACTAGGAAATGCTTGACTTCCAAACCTTTCCACATCAGTTCAAAACAATCAGTGATTTTGATGCTAAACATGCATCTTCTGACTTTTACATATCATGATTTTGTTCTTTTTATGAGATTGTAGATGAAACTATGAACATGACTCATCTTCTCCCTTTGGATTAAATGAGCTTTTCCATCTGTATGTTGTTCGCTTTTCAAGCATTTAATTTTTAAGGGTAAATTGTCCTTTCCACATGTCTTCAGTCTAAAGATCAAGAAATCCAAGTCATATAATTCTTTACCTTAAATTCGCTCCAAACAGTCTTTCCTTAATTGTCCAAAATCCAATGTCACGTCATCGCCAATCAGCGTGAATGGTGCCCAGTGTTTCTCAGCACTGAAATCCTTAGACTCCCGCATCTGTTTCCTGGCTTGATTGAGGGACCTACTTGCACTATGTCCTGCCATCAGATTCTCGTAAAAATGTTCCATGAACACCAGAGTGGCGGCATCGTCTATCGCCCACAGTGTCGCAATAACAGCACGTGCACCGGCTCCTAGAAAGGCACGTGCAATGCCTACCACGCCCTCGGCTTTGATCTCTCCTTGCCCACTATGACAGCAGCTTAGGACAACAAGCTTGGCGCGCAATTGTGCATTCAACACGTCGGCCATCGTCAAAAGAAAGTCTTCTTCTCTGGGTTTTTCGGAACTAGCGTCATTGGGAGACAAAATAATTTCGCCTCTTGCTGTTAAGCTTGGAGTTAAGCTTGCTTAAAACTTGATTTTTTGTAGCATCCTTTCCAGTGAGAGGCTCAATATTTAGTATCTTTCCAATCATGTTCACTTCTTTCTCTGCACCTGGAAGCTGCGGAAACAGTTTGCAGCCTTTGATACGTACAGTTTTCACCCACGGGTTCCCAACAAGCAAAGCCCCAAACTTGCTGTGGTGCTCCTCTGGACACTCTGTCAGCAGCCTTAAGGTGGTTAGTGACGGAGCTAATCGAATTCTCAGCCTCTCAGACAAATACTTGGAATGCTGGTCCACAAGGGCAGCATAAGGAATCAAGAACGACTGACCGTCAGGTACAATGATAACTTCATCGCCTGTTATCCAGTGTGAAATGGAAGCAAAACCCGCTTCATTCAATGTTTCCAATGCATTACACAGACAACACTTGCGGTGTGCCGAAGTTGATTCTGTTTCATTTAAACCCCTATCGAAAAACGTTTCGATCTCTAAATCTTCTGACCCACCAAATGAGCGATCCTCGCACCTGGCACCATAATGAACACCAATTCGTCTGTATGAAGCGCGAGTCAAACAAGTTAATTGGTGACTCATTTCCTTTCGTATGAAATGCCACTTTTGTCCCTTTAGTAGTAACCAAATGTTCAGTGATTTGGGGCGGTCTTCCGCGATGAATATCGCAGGTGAGGAAATATGGCCTAGAAAGTTAGACTTTCAATCTGCCCTTCTGACATTGATTGAATTGATTTTACGCCGAATTTAAATTTCATGAGATCAGCGAGAACCTGTGCTCGTCCACGCTCAGCTGTTAAAAGCGCCTCGAATATCTTGCCTTGTTGTACCTGAAGACCGCATAAAGAATTATAAACTTTATGTTTATTCCGAAAGCTGATTTTCCATTCGTCTTTGTTTTGAAGAAGAACCCTCATTTCTTCCACCAGGCTGATACTGGATTTGAAAAAAATTTCAGCTGCAGAGAAGTTACCAAGAGATTCATAAATGTCTCCAAGGTTCGTAGATGCCGTTACATTCAAAGCTTTGCTTCCAGTCTCTTTTGCGATAATGAGACCCTGCTGACTGAATTCCATTGCTTTTGTGAGACCACTGCGATGGTAATAAGCTCTACTAAGGTTCAAACATACCTCTCCTTCTTCCATTCTCTCTCCAGTCTCTTTAAAGAAAATAAGCGCCTGCTTTATGAGTTCGATTGCTTTTTTAACATCACCGAGACAGCGGTGAAGATTACCAAGGTCATCATATGCACTTTTTTCCAACTCTTTGTCTCCAGTCTCTTCTGCGATACTAAGACCCTGCTGAAAGCAATCGTATGCTTTTTCGCGATCGCCAAGACAGTGGTAAAGAGCTCCAAGGTTTACATTTGCGTATCCCTCTGAAGGCCTGTTTCCAGTCGTTTTGATAATACGTAGATTCTTTTGAAGGTATTCAATTGCAGTTTTGAAAAGCCCGAGATCTTGATATGCAAACCCAAGATTTCGATAGACATATCCTTCTAAAGGTTTGTTTCTGACCTCTTTTGCGATACTAAGACCATGTTCAAAGAATTCGATTGCTTTTTTGATGTCACCGAGAGAGCGATAAACAACACCAATGTTCATTTTTGCTGCTCCTTCTAAATCTTTGTTTCCAGTCTCTATAGCGATACCAAGACCCCACTGAAAGAGTTTCATTGCTTCTTGGAATTCATGGGGAGAGTGATAAGCATCACCAAGGTTCACACACGTGTCCCCTACTAAATCTTTGTTTCCAATCTCTTTTGCGATACCAAGATTCCGATGAAAGAATTCGATTGCTTTATTGAATTCACGGACACGTTCATAAACAATACCCAGGTTCCGACATGCCGCTCCTTCTGCATCTTTATTTCCGGTCACTTCTACTTCCTTTAATCTTAATTCGAAGTAATCCCGAGCTGTTTTAAAATCACCGGGTTTGGAAGCTGCAACTCCAAGACAGCCGAAGCAAGCCTTAATGGAAGGAATACATGTGTTTTAGTCCCACAGCAATCTGTGGAAAACACGAGTACACACCAAATAGTTCCGAAAATCTTACTAAGTTTAATGTCCACAATCCTTAGTCCTCAATGTAATAACGAAACCGAACAACAAAGTTTTTCTGCGAACTCGATCAGTCTTTTCTTTTTCGAACCACGAGGTCCGTAAAACTACTACTCAAAACGAGGCGTGATAAACATGACTTCATGTAACAGTCACGAATGTTCAAACGTTCTCAACAAATCAAAGCCTGCTCTAACTGGAAGAGGTTGAGTTCGACACATTATATTAAAAGACATAAATTTTCAAAAGCTGAAAAAAAACATACTAGGTACTTTTCTGACCTAAAAACGTTTTTTTATATTTTTGTACTACTAGCTCCGATGAGTACGTAAGGACTATTAGGGGCGGGGGGGGGGTTTGGAGTTGGGAGTTTCGAGCCGCATGTTGTTTTCGTTAACATTCCCCTTGTACAAACATTAACCACAAAGGACTGCAAAGGATTTCCCTTGTATGAATCGAATTTCTTTTTAGAAAAGTCCATAGGTATTTTTGGGTTACTTGGGGTGCATGAATTTTTTTTCAATTTTTTTTTGTACTTCGCCACTCCCCTACCCCATAAGTTTTCTAAAGGGCCGTCCCCCAGACCGCATTTTAAAACAATGAATTGATTGAATGGATGAATAAATGAATGAATGAATCGTTTCTTCGTGATCGTCTCCTTAAGACAAAAGTATAGCCTTAGAAGGGATATAAAGCGTTAAGAGGATATGTAGTTTCCGCCACATTGTATATAAAGAAGCGTGATACAAATGCCAATTATTGTTTTGCTTTTTTGCCGTTCTCATTGCCCTCGCCGTCGTCGTTGCTTAAAGCTCCCTAATGAACAGCCTGAATGCAGACATATTGAACTATATCCTTTGAAAGAGCATCTTTCATCGCTTCATCAATGCAAGGTGTTTGTTGTAGAAACACTACAAGATACTCACCTTCTTATCCATGGCTCTAGTTCCTGAAATAGTTTCAGATTTATCCATGTCGGCGCATGTCACTGCAAGTTCGCGAAGTTCCAACAACAGACTGTTGTCGTTGTCAATCTGTTCAAATTGAAGTGAAGAAGCATAACCTGGAAGCTAAAAGTTTGCATTCATCAAACACCCAAATTTGTTGTGAAGATCTTTTTTTTTTTCTGTTTTCAGTGCAACGCAGCTGATAATTTTTTTTTCTGCATGTGTTTGTTACATATAAGTTGGACTAATTTTGCACTTAAGAGAGAAACCCAGTTTCAAAGTCAGTGCCTACCTAATATGCTCCATGCAATTGCGTCACCCAGATAGTTTTATCATCGCGCACATCACACCCGACAATATCAAACTGTAACATGACTGCTAGCTGAACCGGCGCATCGAATTTAAGTTTTTTTTTTCAATTTATACATTTCGCGTCGAGCTGATTTTTTACCTAGATATATTCAGCAACAACTAGAACCATCTTTCTCGTGGCGTCTTATCACCCACTAACAAGAAAAAGGGATCATTTTCCCCACCGTACGGAGAAAAACTCCAGTCAAAAGCAGCCTAGCTCGACGGTTTCATTGTAACTGAGCTACTTGATAATTCACCCCATGATCTTTTGCGAACTGTTGTTTAACCTCCTCTAAGGTTAAAAGCCTGGGATATGCCTGGGGGAGTAATGGGGGGGGAGGATGGGCGGTGTTAGAATTGACTGGCACATAAGGCAACTACGCGGGCTGGATTCAAACCGCACTGGTATCTTTAGATCTAACTACGTGAAGACGCTGAATCCCACAGTGACAAAGTGTATGAAATAATGCAAAAACAACAACAACAAGAACTACTACTGCTGCTGATACTTTTACCAATGAAGGCAAAGAGTAAAAGGATACTGCTAATCCTTGATTGCACCAACTGATGGTCTGCTCGAACAAATTCAAGTTGGCAGAGGCATTTGCTCCTGAAAAAGTGTAAATATTTAAAATAATTAGTCAAACACACCCTGACTCAAACGCAAGTTTAAAATTTGTTCTAGTTTATACCCATATGAGACTGATAGCTAATTCCTAATTTTTAAACTACTGTTAAAAAAACCCAAACCTGGTAAATATCGTCCATCTATTTGAAAAATCAGAACCATTTTCATGCCATATAAGGATTCTGTTTTTTAGGGGCAGTATCCCAAACAGTTTACCAGTATTTTCTATAACTTGCGCTACACTTCGTAAGCGGCTAGGGTCTCCTCAGTGATACACAATGGACTTAAACTAGGGAAAGAGAGGTATACTGATACGTAAGTTAAGTTTAAGCGCAAGTCACAATCATCGGTTTTGGAGCAATCTTTCTCAAAGAGCAAAGACATTCAATCAAACCTTAGAAGTTTCGTTACACTTTCTTCCCATCTTATGTCAAAACACTTTTCATTTACTAAACATTTTTCATGCATTATAGTGATTACGCTCTCTTTAAAGCCGAGAGTGGTGATATGAGCATTCACTGGTAAGTAGCCAGGTTTTATGAACAGATGAAGCTTTTGCGAGCGCGGAGGGCGAATGGCAAAGCGAGGTGTTGCAGTCTCCTGACAGCCAACATAATATTGAATAACAAAGAGGTAGCCTCTCTTGCTATAGCCCTGCTTCACTCCAAGCCAAAATGGGTGGAATCATCTGCAGTACACCCTAATAACGTCTTTCCTAACTTAACCTTAATATAGCTAGAAATTAATAGAAAATTCTAACAGGCAGTTGCGAAGGTTATACGCGTATACCGCAACTGAATCCACCCCCACCCAATACTCTGCTGATGGTTCTGAGAGAATATTTCAGTGACTTTTAAAATAGACCTTATTCACGATACCCGCCAGCTTTGTACGCGCAAAAGGTCTGATGAGATAAAAAAGAAATGTCACTTGCTTTCCCAAGGGACAAACAAGTCATAAAATCTGTCAATACAAGAAATCGCGGTGGGTTTGTTTATTCTAGAGAACGGAAAATGAAGAAGTACCTATCTTAAAAACGATGATTGCAAATTAATGATTGGTGGAAGTGATCGTTGTTATTTTTTTTAAACGCAGTAGCGAACGTACCAATGATGTCCAGTAAGCAACAATGATGTGAAACTTGTTCAAATTTTAACTGTTGCCTTAAATTGTCGTATCGTGTTGAGAGAATAAACGTATTGGCAAATTTATTACTTGTTTGCCCCCTGAAATACCATGTGACATTGCTTTTATCCCACCGATCCTAGAGCGCGTGCAAAGATACCGTAATTATTCGATTAACCGCCCTGGGCGCTTATTAAATTTTTGGACCTTGAGAGTGGGCGCTTATTAGGGGTGGGCGCTTATTCGAGGCTGAGCGCTTATTAAATTTTCACCATTTTAAGCAAGTCAAGTATGTTTATTTTGCAACAAAACAATAAATGCTAATAACAAAACGCGAAGAAGTAACAAGCAAGGTTTCTGTAAAATAGTCTGAAGAAAACTCGGTCCTCGGGGAAGTCTCTTAGTAGAATTTATTCACTCAAGTGGGTGGGGTGGGGTGAGCGCTTATTTGAGTTTGATTGGGAGGAGGGGTGGGCGCTTATTCGAGGCTGGGCGCTCATTAACTTTTTCGGCCTTTAGGATGGGCACTTATTCGAGGTGGGCGCTAATTCGAGGTTGGGCGCTTATTCGAATAAAACGGTTGCTGGTATCGTGAATAAGGTCGGTTACTAAGTGCTATTATTGCTTTAAGCAATAATGGTCGAATGTCAGTGGCTGCTTTTGCATCTATCATTGTGTCACAGTAACTTCTTATATTGTTCAAGAATAAAGCCCATTATTTGATCATAATAAAAACGGTAAGGTATGCTTAATGATCCTTTCTGGGATCTTCCGTTTTTTAGGTAGTGAAGAATGCACGTGATCTGAGATTACAAAGTTAAATCTATTTTTGGATTCTCCCAGAAAACCCAGCCTAGTCTAAGTTACGACGAAACGCTGTTATTTCCATGCTACCTGGAAAATGGCTGCAAATGGGGTCACTCTAATTATTGCTAGCTATCCTTTATTTATCTTCTCGCAGAAGAGAATGATATGTATGATGAAACGGGAAAAAATTTACGCAAATTACACTTCATTGTTTGGCCATGCTTGTAGGCGCATAATGTGATAGAGATACGAAATCATTTGATATACAATCAAGACTAACAGTAGCTAAGCAAAGTCGATTACTTAGCTTACCTGGATTCTTTATGAAGAATGACCTCTGGGATGCCTTCCAGTTCTCTTTTTTCTCTCAACAGCACCTCGATATGATGGTATGGAAGGAGCGTCGATTGGCTGTAAATAAATAGTCTTTGGAAAGTCATGTGATCGAATAGTTGCCATGTAATTGGATGATGTTTTTTTCATGAGAATGTTTGCTGGTGACGTCCTACCGAAAGTAAAATTTCTCGCTCAAATGAGGTCCTTGTTTGAACACTGATTTAAAAAAACCAATCGGTCACTATGAGACTAGACAGCCAATGATAAAAAAGTAAACTAAAGAGCATTTAGCAACTGAAAACATTTCGCAACAACAATGATTTGCAAAGCCGTTTTGCAGGCGTTAAGAGGTCAGCTTCGGTGACCGATATAATTCCCTTTGATATTGTCCAGCAAAATTTCATTGGGTACAAGATATCACTGTTTCTCTTTTAAATAGGAAACCGCATTTTATTTAAGGAAACAATGTCCACGTTCAATTTAGTAATGAAATCAGATGGAAAAAGAAAAGTTTCAGTATTTTATTTGCGAACTGTACAGAATTTTATTGATTTATTTTAAGTATGACTTAAGTTAGGGGGAAAAAAGAGGTAATAAAAACCTGCAACTCGTTTTGTAACAAAGCTTTCACTTTACTGGTAGACTTGTTTAAGGTGCTGAACTGCGAACCTAGTGCCTCAGAGAGCACATGGTCAACAATTTACACAGGACAGAAATAACGTGTTCAAATTTACTTATGCTTGCATATTCTACGGTTGGATCAAGTCTGAATTAGGTCAAACTTTTCACACAAATATTTTTCCTCGGGTTTCGATACACAAAACTGCAACGAGTCTGAAACCAGGCTCCGCATTAGGGGAAAAAGGAGACAACAGGTTGCGAGTCACGAGTTCAACCGAAGCAACAAAATGAATGTTTGATTTGCGCAGGCGCTGTTATCCTTTACATGAAAATTTAATGACCAAAACAATTCTCTGCTTGTACGTTTCAAGCTTGGACAAATCTTAGGACTACGCGGATTTTCTTTAACTTAAATGTTTCAAAGCAGCCCATACACCAATGTTTAACATCATCCGGTTATTCCTTCACAATCCGTGAAACAAACACTTCAGAAGTAAGGATAATGAACACTTCTTGGTAAATAAGTACCTCTCACTTTAGAGGGGTTTACAGTTATGATTATGGCATACGATAGATTTAATTGAGAATTTCGCAAAATAAAAAAAGTATGAGGGGATAAAAACAGTCCAAAGCATTTCTTATGGATAAAAATGATGTGAAAATACTAATTTTTGTGGAGAAGTAATGAACAGTAAACGACATAAAAAGGAAAAAATAGTCACGTGGTAAAAATTCCACGTTTTACGGAAATAAATGCATTCAATAACAATGAAAGTATTGCATGCACCATAGTTTCGTCCCCATCGACGACGGCAACGGCAGCGAAAACGTCAGTTTTAAAATGAATTCCCGTTTTTCCAATCTTTTTCGCGTTTATTCCAATTTGCTGAAATTACAAATGTAGGCGAATTTCCCTGGGACTAATTTCTGAAGCACCGCACTCAAGTTTAGAGAGAGAAAAAGAGATTCGTCGTTGCTTGTTTACGTCCGCCATAAAACTTGAAATTAGGCATTTTCACGTCGTAGTCGCGCAAGGACGGTAAAGAAATGTACAAAAAAGCGTGATGCACGTGCAAAGTTGTTGTTTTGCGTAATAAACCTATTACTTTTTTGACGTCCGTGTTGCCGTCGCCGTCGTCGTTGCTAAAGTTCCCAGGCTGATTTAGAACGGGAACGTCAATTGACGACGGCGCACGCAAATCAAAAAACTGGCTTGACTAATGGCACAGCCGCAAATTGGGCACCGGAAGTCGAGTTTATTCCTTTCCGCGCGCTTTCTCGTCGTCAAATGACGTTCCCGTTCTGTTGCTAAATCAGCCTAATATGTGAATTTGTCAGCACTATCAAGAAATAAGACTCAACATTGGGTTTTACGAAAGTGTATTTTGAGAACAGCGGTTTGTCCAATGGGTTGCCAACGTTATTTCCCTTTCAATAATTGGAGACGCTAATGACATGCTTATAAAGCCACTAAAACAAATGAATGCACTAAACGACACACAATATTACAAGAAAAATATGTACAGTTAAAAATAAACTAAATATGGTTCAGTCGTCTTCATCGGTATGGATGACCTCTTGAGTTCCAGTCTGGAAAGAAAAGCAAGCAGGTTAAAGGGAAATTCGCAACGCATTTCCAGTAATTCGTTGCGATGCTAACTAACATCAATTTTGACTAATGAAAAATCATGGCGCGTACTCAAATCTTGGTGCACAGCTGGGGGCCAGAACGATCGATGATTTTGGCGATGGCCCGCAGATGGACCTTACCAGAGTTTAAGTTTCGCCTATAGCGCAAGCTAGAGTGAGACTGATGTCTTCCCGATACAGTCAACTCTCTCTAAGACGGACACCTTTGGGACCGGCCCTAAGTGTCTGTCTTAGAGAGATGTCCGTCTTATAGAGAGTCAAATAAAGGGAGTAAAGAAACGCGGGAACCAACGTTTTAAAGAGGTGTCCGTCTTATAGAGGTGCCCGTTAAGAGAGAGTCGACTGTAGTTCTAGGTGGAAGACAGCCCACCTTCAACTTTACTTAATAAAAATATCGATTACAATAGACTGGCCCTCAAAATAGCAATTGCTAATCTTGACGGACCAGTTAAAAGAAAAATAAAGTGAAAGGAAAAAGTAAGGAAGGAAACTATTTTAAGTTACAACAAGTTGTTGTCCCTCGTGTACTTAGATAAAACAAGAGCGGGAAATCAGTATGGGCGCGTAATGCACAGCTATTGTAGATGTTGTGGTGTTGCTTACCGCTAACGCTTCTTCTTGTCTTCTTTGTTCATAAATCTGAAAAAGAAAATGGAATAAATCAATGAGTACATATTAATAAAACATTTTGAAATAGAAAATTTACAACAGTTGCTCGAACTGCACGCTCAGTCTGCACTCACCGGGTCTAGCGCGGAGTGGAAAGCAAGGCCATATACTGGGTAGCCTGCGAGCAAGCTCTCTCGGGTTCCAAGAGCTCCCCGGGAGAGTTTGCTCGCAGGATACATGTATCTAATACTGCGCTAAGATGTGGCACGCTTTATGCATGCTGCGAGAATCAACAATGACGAAAGCATATTGTGCGGTAATGAAGAAAGAAGGCATGTGTGTCAAGGAGGAAAGGAAATGCGAAAAGTCAAGTTTAAATCTGGTTGCAAATGCGGTGCAAGTTAATAGCACAAAATCTAGCCTGCGTAGCTGGTGGTTTTGTTCATGATAGCGCAAGAGTGAGAGTTCTAAAGTGATGGCGTCATAAAAATTTCATTTGTGAAATTATGGGATTTGTTGGGATATTTTGAGAAGAACATCTGAAAGGCCTACTTGCCAAAAACTAGCACTGTGGGGTAAATTGTGTTGGGAGATACTAGTCCCATATTCTCTGATGACTTCATACAAATTCTTATAATTTTGACTCGGTTCTTAATAAATGTTATGAAGTGAGTCAAATTTAGAAGGATTTTGTACGGAGTCATCAGAGCACAACTGGGCTGTTAACCCTTATCTTGAGAAATTCTCAACTTGAATCTGATGTTCGCCGTTTGCCTTATACGTAAAGGCATAAACTCTTTTTAAATATGTTGGGGATAAAAATATTGTGAAAGCACATACTAATATCCAGAAATTGATAGCTTTTCTCGAACGTTAGAAACTTCAAGGTAATATTTGCTCCTCGAACAGTATGTAGAGAAAAAAAAAGTCGTTGGGTGCCCCTAAAACGCTGTTGTCACTACAGGCAAGGAAATCCAAGACAGTATTGAATTCTGGATTCCATGCCATGGGTTCTGGATTCCAAGTACTGGATTCCAGATTCAAATAGTAAGAAGAATTCCGGATTCCTTGAGCTGTATTCCAGGTTCCACGAGCACTCATTTTCCGGATTCCGGAATCCCTTACATGAGGCGACTGTTGGTGTGGTGTACGGAACAGATTGAAGTCACCGAGAAAGGTTTATGTTAAGTATCAGTCACCTCTTCAGCTTCTTGTCTCTCGTCATCAGTGTACTCATCTTTATCCAATCTTTCAAGTCGCCGAAGACTGATCAGTACTTCTATACGATAATCATCTTCATCAGATACCGGACATTCTGTGAGGTACAGACGTGTAATGATTACAATAATGCAGTTGCAGTTCATAGCTACAGCTGAAAAATTGTCATTGTTTATAATGGAGAAGAGAAGTGTGACGTCAGGTTACCATGGTAGCAAAATTTCTGGATCTCAACAACCTTTCTTGACAGAGGCGGCCATCTACATTTTTGAACAATGGAAGAAAAGTATGGGCTACCGTTTTGTTCCTGAGTGCAATCATGCACAGGAAAATGATACATGTTATTTTTCTTCATTTTTTCTGCCATATTTGCATGACCACGGCTTGTTGAGATTCAGAAATTTTGCTACCGTGGCAACTTGTCGTAAAGACTTCTCCTATTTAATTGACAATTATGGTGACATATGTATCTTACATGGATAATCCAAAATCAGGAGGTTCCTTTCAATTAAAATACATCATGTACAAATTTATGTGAAGATATGATCATCGCAGTGGTAATTGCAATTTAAGCAATTGCAAATTAACCCCACAACAATATTTCGGGACTTCAACGGGATTCGAACTCATGGCCTCTGCGTTCGCGCTGCAGTGCTCTAACCAACTGAGCTATGAAGACCCATACATGGGAGCAGGCCGACTTGTTGATTTCATCTTAACCCGTGAAAGGAATGAAACATAGAATGATGATATGAATTGCCGAAATATAAATTTATGTCAAGATATGATCGTCGCAGTGGTACTTGCAATTTAAGCAATTGCAAAGTAACCCGAAAAAAAATTACATACAATTGAAAAAGAGGAATGGGATTAAAACTTAAAAAGTAAAAGAGACAACAACAACAACAGATCAGAGCAGCGTACATTCGCCTTTAATCCGTATCCATAAAGAACTAACTGTGAAACTAAGTTTCTCTTATTCTCTCAGTTTTCTAAAAAATGTGCCCGATAAATAGGGTTCTCTTTTGGGAATGATGAATTGTGTAATTGTCATGAGGTGTCCAATCTGATTTTGTCGTACGTTTGAATCATAGCTGAGGTACGAGAAATGTTCTGATTTTGACTGTTCAGAACGAGGCTAACCCTTTCACTAGTTATAGAGGCGAAATGAATAATAAATAGATAAAACTCATGGAGTAAAGGGGTTAAGAGCACGCCCTACATTGTACACGTGATGAAAGATTGTGATAAGCCGGTCTCGTAAATCCCAAAAGAGAGGGAACTAACAAAAAATAGTAAGAATAACAAATAATTACCAGTGCACTCACCCATCAAAAGTAGCGCTCTTAAAAGCGGTAGACATTTTAGTTTGGCGACCTCCTTCATGTCTGAAACATTGTTCCCCCTGTGAAAGAAAAAGACACAAATTTTGCTTGCTGTGTTTACTGCTTAACACGACACTTAAAACATATGAATTAACTTCTAATGTTTAAAACAGTCAATCATTTTACGAAATATCTGCAATAATCGATGACGATTTTCAACTGTACCCACCGTAAATTAAGGTACTGTAGATTTTTCATATTTTCAGAGAATCCATCCAGCTTCTCAATCTGGTTATCACGGAGATGTAGCTTTGCTAGATGTTCCAGTCTGTCCAGTCCCTCAAGACTGCGGATCGTGTTCGCTGCCTGAAGGCAAAAAAATAATGATAAATAGAAAACGTTTACTACAGTGAGTTTTTTCGTGAGAAAACATACATTTAAAACATTACAAATAGTCAGCTTTTCAAAGGGGAAAGTAGCCTCTTATTATTGAAGGTCGCTGCTTTAAATGGCCTCTTGGCCTCGTCCACACGTATCCCGATATTCTTTAATCCACAACTCTTTCTTTCCGGATTCAAAAACTTCCACGTCCACACGCATCCGTTTTTCAAATCGAATTTGCCCGTCCACACGTATCCGACACGTATCTGAAATCACCCTAGTACTCAGGACTCCTCTGGGAATATTGGCAACAGAGCATGCGTCGAGGTTGCCATCTTAGAATACAGTATTCACGATAAAGAACTGGGCTCGATCTTGCCACGTCGCTGGATGAAAAACTATCCGGATTTAGCATCCACACGATTCCGGATTCATAGCGGATTCAAAAACTTGTGCATTCGTACGCTGAATTCACCGGATACGTGTGGACTGAAGCCGTATCCGGAAAGAAAAAGTTGCGGCTTCAAAAATAATTAAAATTAGTAAAGGCCAAGTAATACAGGCAACATTTTCACTCATCTTGTCGCACAACATTGTTTCATTGAAATTTGAAAAGCGTTGTTGCCCGTATTACCACCTTCACTCTTAACTTGTCAGGTAACAAATTTCAATGTTGCAAGTTGCGGCTCATCTAGAAAATCCTGCGTTGTGATTGGTCAACGGTGTGTCTTGTGTCACGAAACAAAATGGCGGACGCGCTGGCCTTTCTAAGTAAACGACGGATAGCCACCCTTAGTTTAGGATTATCAACGGACGAAGAAGGTCAAACCACGCAAAAGAAACCGAAAGGTTTATACGAGAGAGTGGATTGCTTTGCAGGAAGAAAGGGGGCTTTACCATCAGCTTGTAAAGGAACTTGAGTCGCGGAACATTATTGCTTAAATTTTTTTACATAACTCATCCAAAGCTCTTGTCCTTCGCTACTTGTTTTTATAATCTGATCCACAAGTTTCCCACAGGCATGGGTGCTTTTCAAGTTTTTTGCATATATCTTTTCTGTGGGCCTCTGACATTTTTTTCACTTTTTAATTCACAATCTTGGGTCTCAACATTTTCAACCTCCACAACCTCCGCAATGTTTACTTCCCGCCTAAATTTGCCCGAGGTCTAGCGCGCGTACACACCATCTTTCCCGCGCTTTTAGTGCGAAAAAATCGACCAATCACAACCGTTGTGACGTATGGCATTTTTTGACGCGAGTGATAAAATTGAAAGTTTGTTGCAAAAAGTAGAACTCGGGTCTACTTTGCAGAACATGTTGCCGCAACTTACAACATTGAAATTTGTTACGTGGCAAGTTGAGGGCGAAGGTGGTAGTACAGGATACAATGCTTTGAAACTTGCAATGCAACGTTGTTTCGCGACAAGTTGAGCGAAAATGTTGCCCGTATTACTTGACTTTACGGCTTCTTTGTTCCATCGCACATAAAAAAAAGAGCGGGTCGCAAAACTGCACCTGTGACCGAAAGGTAACAAGTTAAGACTGCGAGCATCATTCGTGATGCTCGTGAATTCGTGCGCTCCCCTATCTACATCTGAAGACACAGACATACACTGTAGACAAATTAGCAATTTATGAATGAGACTGAGTAGGATATGAAAATTAAGCAGATCGAGGAGGGTGTTATCCACCAAACCAAGGGCGAGGTGGATAACATTCTCCCAGATCTGCTTAATTCTTCATATCCTACGAAAGCCGAACTCATTAATTGTTTTATTATTCATTCAAAATAATTCCTAGTTTAAAAACATAGCTAAAACATGCTTACCTGCATCGATGTTAAAGTTCACCTTCGATAGCGTACGTTTAGGTTTGTCCAGCTCCGCAGATAATCTCCAAATAGCAGATGTCGCCCTCCGAGTTGTCTTCTTACTGTTTTTGCCATGTTCTTAGCTCTTATTTCGCCTAGTTCCAGCTGTAGTTCTTACTCTTGAAACGAGTGAAATATCCGCCATTTTTTTTCACAACCAAAACAACTCAACCTCGTCCCCGGGTCTTCTCGCTAACGGTGCCTTAACCTGTAGCGGGTTGCATTTTTGACGTCATTTTCTCGTTAAACACAAAATTCTTCCAAATTTGGTCATCAGTAACTGGTTATGGTGAATTATGCGTGTGCTTTTAGCCAATCAGAATTGGGGAATTATTTTGAATGAATACTAAGACACTTATTTTACGTGATAAATATTCTAAGCCGTACGGTTAGATATAGAGAACTGCTCGTAGTCTATAACAAACAAACAAAACCACCAAAACAGAGAAGGAAGAAAAGAAGCTACAAGGTCGGCTCTGGAAAGCACAGAAACATACAAATTGGAGCTGTTTTATTAACGCTGGTTTTCACAAGTAATAGACCTTTTTAGTCTGTATGTTTTGTTTTCCCATTTCAGACCACGTGATGGTACCTCTGAGAACTGTTTCGTTCAAATTCCGTGCTATCCACGTGCATACACGTGCATACAGGTAATACATAATCGGAAAAGACAAAAGGCAAATTCCCCAGGGAACATCACGTGGTCTGAATTAGGAAAACAAAACATACAGGCCAACAGGTCTATTGAACTGCAGTCGGACACGTACAGCTGTAAGGGGAGTCGTTAGAGTGCTTGTGATCCAGTTGTGGGGGACGGACACAGAAGACAACGACTTCCTTTTTCTATTTCCCAAGTTCGGTACACTCCTTTAGAATTCAACTCCGGTAAAATTTGCCTACATTGGACGAATCGAACGAGATGGAATAAGCGCGACGAAGCTTGAAGCAGCGCAAATTCGCTTTTCCGGCGAGTGACGTTGCCGTCACCGTGATTACACCGTTTACGATCTACGGTAGACAAACAAGCAATCAACAACAACAGCAACAACAACAAAAACGGAGGATACAGATGCAGAAACCTGTGAGGCAATGCACATTCCCACTCTTTGCATTTAAGTTAATTACTCCGACAATTCAGTTTACACAGATCATCGGAGTCATAGCAGAGCAAAAGACGTTGCTCCGACAATTTTGGTTTGATCTTCATTCTTTGCTTCTGATTATGCCTCCGATTCTGTTATGAGTGAAATACCAGTCTCAAACAATACATCTACATTTCTTTCCTATTTTAGTTTCGCAAGAGACGTTTCCTTTGCTGCTGCTGTCCTTGTATGTTTAAACTCCCTTTTATATGGCTCAAATTATTTTTTTAAACGATAATTCTTAAACGATTTTTTGAACACACTAATCTTGATATCTTGGACAAAACTTTTAGGCATTTTTCTAAACCGATTTTAAAGAACGTTACTAATCTTCATTGAACATCTAGGCGTCGTTTTGAAAATATGTAGGAAAGTGGACATTGGGGAAAACTTTTGACTTAGCAAAAAAATAAAATAATATTGCATTTCTTAAATAGTTTTTATATATAATTTAATTTCAATTTAGGATTTACAGATGTATAGGATTTCTAAGATGAAAAGCTGTGAATAAGTAGAAAATTATTAATAAATTATTATCATTATTATTATTATCTTTCAAAACTTTTACAAGATTGTGATAGGATTTTTACCCATAATTGCTATTACAAGCAAGATGCTAATAATAATTACCGTACTAGTGTTATCTTACCAGATAAAGCTCTTTTAAGTTTGGAAGGTTAAACAGTCCCACTGTGGTCATCAGTTTGTTACCACGCAGCTCCAGCACCTTCAGTCTGCCCAACTTGTTAGGATCAAATCCAGTCACCTCTACAATTTCATTAACTAGAGCATGAATTATGCAGAAAGCACATCATTAGTTTTAACTAGTGATTTGCATACATTCATTGTTGTTCTCAGTTTCCAATACATGTCACAGGACAGCTCCAGATCTTTTATCTTTTCCAAATTGAGTGGGGGGAGGGGGTGGGGGCTCCAAAACTTTTGGGAGGGCTGTGTGACTGGTACACTGAAACCAGTAGCAGCACTTGTCCCCTGATAGGGTTTAAGTAGTAGTTAACTAGTAGTTTGAGACGGAAGGTGATTGAAGGTCTGTGAGTAGAATGGTTAATGCCCAACATGGACAGGCAACCTCGTTCCCCACAATTTCTCTAATTCCTAGGATGAGTAAGTAGTTGTCCCAGGCAAGCAAAATGAGAGAGCTGCTTGCCCAAAGGACAGCTGGAAATTCAAGTTTTTTTTTAGCACTGCGGTCAAGAGAGAGTGATTGTTGTGATGTAGAACTTTTGCTACCATGGTAACACGATGCTACACTTCTCCTCTCTGCACTGTACTTACAAGACAAATTGAGTTGTTCCAACAGAGGGTGATTGATGCCTTCTGTGTCCATTATTTTGTTATTGGCAAAGCTTGCAATCTGTATATAAGGCAGCTACAATTGTACAGACGAGACACAGATTACACAAAATCCATTGTGCAACCAGTTAATTGCATCTGATCAAGAGGATAATTATTTTAAGTAGGATTCTACAAAATATCGGAAAGTGCAGATGTATCTGGTGGTCCCAGGTGTTGGGGGCTGGGGGATTAGGGGGTAAATGGAATGTTAGTTATAGCCAATCCTGTTAGTATTATGTACTTCTTTGAACAACAGCCATGATGGATTGGAATGATGTAGTGATAACTTGATCACTTGATTTACCAGGAACAATTAATAATACAATGCAATGTATCACACACTAACATAGAAAGGATTTTTCCAGAAATTTCCAGTCTTTAGAGCTTTTCAGGAACAGAACAAAATATGTAAAACTTCCAAGACCCAGAGCTCACTCACTTTAAGGAAAAATTTAAACAATAAGGGTTGGTTATTTAAATGAAGTCTAACTTAGGCTGCAGTTTAAGAAGTAATTGGACCTCCAGTTCTCTTTCTTACTGGGTTAATAATATTTAAGAAAATAAGTGCTTTTCCAGTCTATGCTATAATATATACATCTGTATGCTTTATTCAAGATGTTCATGAAAAATCAACAGTGTTTAGATACTGGTAAAAGCATTGGGCAAACTGAAAATGGAAACTCTGTTGTAATAACAGGCCCTTAAAATTTTTACCTCCCGCTCTATTCCTCCACTGCATGAATCACAATCTATGTGACATACCAGAGTGATGTTACTTAATCCATGAGATAGATAGCAGACTAACGAGTATGTATTGCACTTTATAATTGATTTCCTTCTTTTCTTTTGTTTTTTCTACAGTAGTCATTTTTTTTATTTTCCATAGGTTAAACAAATTTACAGAAACAAATAATTAAGAAATAACTGAACAGAAAAAAGGGCAGAAATAGTAAAACTAATACATTGTCCTAACGGATAGAAAAATATAAAAGATTCCTAATTAAGTCGATACAACGATGAAGAATAAATGAATAAAAAAATAAAAATTAAATCAAATACTAATACAGAAAAACAAAACGATAACACCGAGCCTTATCATGTTGTAATCACTTGGCTCAGGACACAGATCTCGTTTGAACTCTTAAGATCGGTACATGCATGCGTCAGAGGTTCGCGAACGCCATTTCGTAGCAAGATAGAGCAATCATTGGACTGTAAAATAAATGCCGCTAGTGCAGATATCTGAAATACGTGTCTATATGCTTTTACACTTAGGGCTTTTTATGGACACTGGTTTAGCCGTCATTAGTATTATTCGATTGTATGATCTTAATATCTGTGCATAATAGAATTCTTAATTTTATAGAATTTTGAACTTTTATTATTAATTATATCTATTTCCTCTTCTTTTATGTAAGGTTAAGTTACTTCTATTTTTTAGAATTTGTAAGTGAATGGGGGTTTCTTTTGTAACGGATGGAATTGTAGATAGTGTTTTGATGAATTAATTAGATTTTTTGCAACAGCAGGTTGATTGTAAATAGGATTTTAAATGAGGTTTTGTAATAAAGATTTTAATTTCTTATAAAACGATAACAATAAGCTTGTTTTCTTAAGTAACTATATTGGGTATTAATAATTGTCACATACTGTTCATTTCACAGGTTTAGTAAAATCACTCTAGACAAACTGTGCTCTCTAACCTCATCTAGCTTGGCTGAATGTAAGAGATTCCTTTCTGCTTTTAGTGTAAGGAGATGAGTTAATGAGTTCAAAGGAGAAACATCTCTCAGCTGGTTACCACTGATATCCTGTAAAAACAAAAGACAAAATAATGTGTATCACATGATTGTGCAGGGTTGTCACTAAGATTTTATGTTGCCGGGAAAATACAACAAGTAGGCGGGGAATCAAACAGCTAGGGATTTCTTTTGCTTTTATTTTTCTTCTACTTTCCTTTGAAAATAGCTGTGGACCACATTTATCATAGCCGGGGGAAATCCCCAGTCCCCGCCTCTTAATGACAGCTCTGATTGTGTAGTTTAAGGGCAGGGTGCAAAGAAAGTCAGTTTTACAGCCTGCCATTCGGGCAAGCGGTAGCTAGTATGTACTAGCCCACAAGTCATTTTAACTAGCCCCAAAACCCTTTTTGATTGGCAGGATTGATAACAATCCTTCTGTAATTTGAATTTCCCCCCAAAAAAGCACTTGCCCGTCGGGCAAGTTAAGAACAAAATACACTAGCCCGGTAGCAAAATCCACTAGCCCCGGGATATCGGACACGACTTTCATTGCACGCTGAAGGGAAACATTACTTCTGACCAACAAAGACATTGCTTTAAGATTAGATTATTAGAGTTTGTTCTTACCACGTATCTTAAGTGAATGAAGCAGTTTAGAATGCTTATGTCTGTCAGTTCCCTGTAGTTAAAGAAAAGAGGGGTTAATACATGAAAACTGCATTGCCCCATAATGCAAGGCAGTCTTGGATTCTGTATACTGTCTAAACTGCTTGTTTCAGCAGAAAATCGTCAGGAAGGGATGTGTGACTAAGCCCTAAGAATGTCATGGGTATGTAGGAGGCTTCTTGGGTATAGAACTTTTTCCACTTTATTTTAATCATGTATAAATCAATTAATTAATTTATTTATTTCTTAACGAACTTACTTACTTATTATTTTATTCAAAGCTATTATTATTCTTATTTTACTTGTGCATTATGCCATATGTTTACAGGAGTTTCAATAAGGACTGATGGCCGAAGAAACACGTTGGCTACTTTACCCATAGAGGTCGGCTACTTTTTCCAGAAATAATAAGCAACTAATTTGAATAACACTGTAAACAGGAAATATATCATAAAATCTGAATGCACAAGTACCGTAATTATGAGGCCCACTGATTTCATTATACTTTAGTCATGCTATATTTCACTGAGTCATTTTTTCACAAGTTTCTTTATAACACACGCTGTTTTGTCCCCAAATTTAGTCACCAGAACACTGAAAATTGCATTTCACACTGTTTTAGGGCTTTGAAATTTCAAAATTTTCTAGGGCAGAATGCGCCGACCAGACCCTCTGCCATCCTCCATCTTAAGGGGAACTAATGGCCCCTTGTTGATACAGTCGGTTACTCTATTCAAACCTGCTGGCTACTTCATACTTTTATCGAAGCCCCTGCGTTTACATGTACCCAATAATGTTATTAGAAATTACATAATAGTAGTTTCAGAATATCTGCCGATGATGAATAACCACAAACACGAACCTAACAAACATTTGAAACGTAAACATCATGTTGCGTGGTAAATTTATGGACTTCAGTTGTTCAGATCCGTTCATATGCACAAATTATTCACAGCATACACATAAGTTTACATTTGTACAGATCACAAAGCTCTGAGTGATCATTTACAATGTACATTACAAGCTTATAAAATTTTTCAAGACTTGCAAAAGCGCAATGCTTAATTACAGAGTTACAGAGAACTTGAGCTTACTTTTCATGAATATCGAGGCGCACATATGCATGTGCTAGTCCATCTCCAGTCTTACACAGCAAAGAAAGGCTGTCTGCTAACATTTCCTCCGTTAGAGGATTCTCCGGGGGTTTCTAGATGAGCACAGATACACAAAAAGTGAAGAAAAAATCAGTCAAAGTTTCAAAGCGCGCCAAAACAAGAACGTAAAAACCCAATTTTACAGCTAGTCTCAAATTGTTCGATATGCAGTAAGCATGAATATTGATAGCTTAGGTTTTTAGAAACACGAACCTCTTCTTCTTCTTGTCCTTCATCTTCATTTTCATCATCTAAGACCGGTTCATCTACTCCTTCTTCGTCCTCGAAATCCGACATCTTGCTTTCTTCTCTTTTTGGTGACAACGTTGCCTGGCAACATTACGCTACCGCGCCTTCAATTATTCGGAGAAAAACTGGAAATAAGTTGAAACAAAAATGGCGGGCGACTGCGGATGAAATCGGGTTAGCTGTGTTTTGAAAGTAACTTTCGGTATGGAAAGGAGACCTGCGAAGAAGAAATCAGACGACGGAAATGTAATAAAAGGAGACTGGAGTGGCTGGGTGAGTTGTCAGCTGATACCGAGGCTTCTACACGAGTGTACTCAAGAGTTGATTGTACTGTCGCGCCAATAACAACTGCAAGTTGCAAATGTTAGCGACACCAAAGTTAAATTTGCACTGCACTAAACACTGAAGTGCTGAAAAATCAGTCAATTAATTTTAAACATAGCAAATTGAATTTTGCAATTGACCCCAATAACGCGAACCGCTGCTTACTCAAACTGTTTCTTCGTTTTCCTTCAGATGAGGCCCTGCCCGGGGCGGCGGGGTGCATGTCGGCCGTCTGAATTTTAAAACGTCTCGTGTCGGTGTTTATAAATTCTTGTTGCTTATTGTCTGCCGAGGGAGGTTGTCTCTTGTCACAATTTCATTTATGCACTGTCGCTACTTTTTGGGCCATGTCGCTTGTCGGAATTTACCCTGGCAGGGCCTCTCTACTGTATGGGATTTGAACTCAACACCATAGAAGTAAACAAATTCCAATGCAACAGGAGTTGCCCCGGTTAGAAATGGGTTTCATTTAACTGATGTATAAGCTTAGCAATAAAGGGAGCACCAGCTTGCAAAGATAGTTGTGTCCTATAGCTTAGAGCTAGTTAATTTTGCCACTAGAGTAGTAGAACTTGCCCCACAGTTTTTCTGGGAAAAAAATGTTCTATAAGTAGACCTTGTCACAGTTTTGGAAGCCATCTTGATTAGTAGGCAACCGCGTGAGAAATTACTGTCACAAGCCTGACATTTTTAATTGAAACCAATGATAAAAATAACTAATTAACATCTCTTCAGGAAAGGTAGGGACAAAAAATCTGCCACAAATTAGCAAATGATAAAACTATAAGAAGATGTAGCGAAAATTTTTCAACTAAGTTTCCAAGGGATGTCGTTTGTATGAGAATCTAATGTCCAATTATTTCTGTAAAAAGGCTGTTCTGAAAAAAAAAAAAAATGAATTGTACACTAAAGCAACACAGCAAAGGATTCTAGTAACAAATTTGTGGGTCCCTTACCCATGCTTAAATTTCTCCAGACTCTTGCTTTAGATATAAGTTGATATTTGTCTGCAATTTTTCCCAGGAAATTTTAGTTAGCATACAGAAAATTTTAAAAAGTGGTTCTAGCATATGTAGCTGCATGTAAGGCCCTCGGATTTTTTTCAGTAAAATCCTCAGGAGTGAAGTTTTAGTTTACAATTCATGTTTTTTTCAGAAGAGCCATTTTACGGAAATTATTCAACATTAGACACTCGTACAAACAGTGTAATTTCCCACGCAGTTGCCTACTCGTCAAGATGTCTTCCAAAACCATGACAAGGTCTATTAATAATAATATTTATTATTTGGTATTACGCAAATTAACATATATCAAATGATCAAATGAGCCCTATTACCGGTAAGCTTAATTTACATGGATCGATTGCTGCTTTTCAATCCTGAATCTGATGTATATAATACACTTATTAATTACAATGAATTATTACAGGTAATTCACTAGTGATGTAATTAATTCATAAATGATAATAAATTCATTATAAATCGTGCTCGTCAAAAACTTTGTTCGGCTAGTTAAAATGACTCAGGGGCTAGTACATGCTACTGAGTGGCTACAATCGGTTCTGTTTGTTATACCAATTAAAATCAAATGGCTGTAGTGTTTGTTTTAGTGTTTTTACCGATTATGCAACAAGAAGAGCTAATAGGATGGCATCCTGGAAGTGGAGTTAGAAGGACCAGAATTCGAGTTATCGGGGTAAATTTCAGTGAAATTTTTTTGATCAAGGGAACTTCGAGTTAGCAGGGAATTAGAATTATCTGAGTTTGAGTTAACCAACTAAAAATGACTGAGAAGTGGGGGGAAATCCACAGGAATTAGGGCCTAGTTCGAGTTAGCGGGAGTTTGAGTTAACTGAATTTGAGTTATTGAGGTTCTAATGTATACTACAATTTATCTTATTCCATACCTGGCCAGCAATAAATTAAATACTGATTTTACAACAATAGTTTTTATCAAAATTCTTATCAGGGTGAATATATGCAAGCGAAAGTACAGAAATTAGATGCTCAGTTTAAAGAGGATGTTCCAAAAGTGCCAGAGGATGTGTAAGTCAACCTACTAATTTTATTCATGTACCTGTGTTAGAACTAGGAAATGAATCTGACTTTTCTACTATTAATAGCTGTGAACTTCACTATGTTATTTTTATTAACCTTGCACCAAGTAACCTATGCCACTCACTGATGATGATTATATAATCAAGGGAATAAAGGGAGATATAAAGGATCAACCATAAGAGGACAAACAAGGGTCATTTTTGTGGGTTGGACTTACCAATTGCATCACGCAGCCATGCACAAAAATGATCCTTACTCACCAACGAGTCCTCAATAGATCAATTTTTAGAGCATCCGATCTAGAACACGGAGGGTCGTAGGTTTGAATTCCATCTGAGGCTCAAATATTTCTGTGTCCTCTTATGGTAACCGTTGATTCTTATATCTTGCACCCAGTAACCTACAGTGTAGTAAATTATTATGCACTGGCCTTCAGAGGTTGCTGATTGTGACAAAAGCCAGACACATGTAAAATCTTGCATTAAAAGTGTGAAGACAGAGTTAGCTTAGTGTTTCCATATGATACAGAGGAAATTTAACAGAAGCTAATCAATAAGTTGTCTTACATGAGATGGTTGTGGCCCAGGAGGTACTCTGTATTTCAGGTGATGGGGATGACTGAATGTGGGCAAAAATCAAAACTCAAATCAATCCCTAGGGTTTCCAATGAAACCCAAAAAATCCTTGGAACAAAAATCAGCTCATAAATAAATCCCGTGCCGAATATTGTTAAAATGGTATACTGGTAACCGGTTTTATGAAACAGATACAATGTAATGTTTTAAATACAAAACAGTCGCAAAACAAGTTTGGTTGTACATGTACTTTATTCACTGAACTACACAGGCATTATTGTCGTTAGAATTGTACCAAACTGTTCTGCACAAAAGTCAGAGATTTTCTAGCAATAAAATGTGGATTCAGCTGATTCGAGAAATACAAACTGTTGCAATTTTATAAACATTTTAGTTAATTAAATGATGGTTTGTCCTGTCACTTGGTGTAATTTGATAGTTTCTACATCCTAAAAAGATTGTGCACCAAAATGACAAATTTATCCCAGTAACACTACCACCAATCTTCAGTTAAACTCATCGCAAATTGATGAGCTTGGGAACTGGTGCCTTAAAAGTTAGCGGGGAAGGGCCAGAGGTAATTCAGGCACCGCTAGGAGGTCTCCATGGCAACCCGGCAAGCGGGAACCACCCCAGTAGCAGCCGCTAACAGGCACTGTCACACTGAAACTAGTCCAGTGGAAATACTTACCTAACCCGATACTTACTTCTGCAATCCAGAAGCCCTCTGGGACGGGAGGGTGGGGCTAATGAATCCACAAAGATTCGCTCACAGAAGCAGTGATCGCAACGATCGCTAGCAAGCAAGGCTGTACGTAGTTTGCCCCTGCGAACTCCAAAGGGGCGCCCCCACGGATCCTGTGCAAACTGGGCGAGACCGCTGGCAGCATTAGCTCGAGATTAACCTTGCCTAAATTACATTTAGCCACATATTGTTTTGAATACCCCAAAAAATCCCTACTTAAATCAAGGCACCCCAAAAATATTACCTTAATTTTCCTACCTCCAAAATCCTTCAGCCATCCCCATCACTTGAAATCTGGTGTATCTCCCCCCTACCTAGGTTTGTGGGATGTTTAAATAGCATTTTGCTCATTTTTGTTAGAAACTATAATCTTTATCAACCTGTAAAATTATTTTGACTTTAATTTATCAAATGTTGTAAGGATTTAACCAGTCAAATGCAAGAAAAACAAACAAATCAATTCATTTGATTGACAGAAAAATTTGCATTTGCTATTGACTTGTTTTAATAGGCGCAATTCTGTAATGAAAATTATACAGTGTTTGTTATTTTGTAATTTAACTCAAGTCAGAGTAGATTGTCTAATCTTTGTCCTTTTCTGCAGAGATGTTCCTAAGATATTTGACAAGGTTGTTATTTACATTAATGGATATACAGGTGATCAACTTAACATGATTTAAGCCATTTGTTTGTTAGGTTTTCTTAATGTACATGAGACCACGTTTACTGAGGGTATTCTCTGGCTTGATATTTCACAGTTACCTATACATGCAGGTCACAGATATGTAAAAAAGGTTACTTAAATATGTTACACATATGTTCTCATGAAGCATCAAAGCTTGTAGATTTGCTACATGTATGTTGCATACATGTACCCGTATGTAAATATTATGTCCACATATGGGCAGCAATGAAAGATAATTATGTTACCTACATGTGACATATATGTGGTTTTGGTAAAGCTGCCTGCCAATTATTTGACAGTGAGGGATCACTTGATTTCCTAGGACCTCAATAAAGCTGGATCTATTTTCTAACATCCAGTAACTAGCAATTCTTATTGGTGTTTATTATAGTGGTTGAATAAGTGTCTAGATACTTCAAACTTGGATAACTCGAATTCCCCACTAACTCAAACTAAATTTCCTTTCCCTTGATCACAATTTCACTGAAATTTACCCCAGTGACTTGAATCCTCTGCTTATTCAAACTGTTTTTCGTTTTCCTCCAGAGGTTGAGTTACCGGGGTACTTCTGTATTAGTTTTGGAATACATCCTTGTAGTTTGGCTAATAACCATGCATATTTTATTATTATTTGCAGTGCCACCAGCTGATGAACTTCGTCGTCTTTTGTACTTGCATGGAGGCCGTTGCCAACAGTATTATACCAAACGTTCTGTTACACACATCATTGCCACCAATCTACCAAACAGCAAAATTTCAGAGCTCAGGTAATCCTATTTAACAGATTAAAGAAATTCCATTTTCTGTTAGTATTACATTGTACATTTACATTGACCTTCAAACCTCAGTTTTGGTCCAACTAAAAATTATGTTTGTGAAGTTTGGGCCCCAGGGTGTGTGTCTGGGGGAGGGGGAGGTACTCAACAAAGTTTCACATACACAATGTATGTGGCAGTGATTCTGTTACCAATACATGTAGTTATAGTTAATCCTGGGACTCATCTTGTGAACAAATCGTGAGTCCCAGTCCAGAATCATTGAGTCCCAGTAAAAAAAACAATAAGTCCGAAATTGAAAATGCTTGGACCCTTATGACCAGACAGGTAAAAGATATTCATTTGTAAAGCACAATGAAGACTAAAAGAAATATGCATCGCTAAACAACAGCCACAGAAATCACATGAACAGGATATTCTACAAAAACATCTTCAGATTGATTGATCTTTGCATCCTACGGGATGCGTGCCATGAACTTTTGTGTGTCTTTGGGATTTTTTATGCGTCAGGGATGCAGGACTCAGCGGTAGCAAAATCCCTGATCGTGAAACCCCTCCCTGAGGTTTAACCATGTCCCTCTTTTAGTTTATATACCATTTTTGACGAAAAAGGTGCGCCTTTTGCATATCTTTTATTGATAAATGGTACTCCGTTACACACCTACGTAGTTTAGTCTAGCACAGAACTTTGCATCTCTTTCAACTGCTGTGAATTAACTGTCTTTAAAGGTAAGTAAATCACAAAAATAGAAAGTTTTCTTGACTTTTTCACAGCCATAAATTTCATCTCTTAGCCCTTTTGAGCCTTTTAATAGCTCGAAATGACAGATTTCCCCACCCTTGCATATAGTTCAACTTGTGAAATCTCTACCCTTTCATATACACGTTACCAACTCCTGTAAAACGTACCCCTTTCTGGCGGAGCCTCCCGTATAGGTCATTATAGGGAGTTCCCCCATCCCCCGGTGGCTTGGGCCTAGTAACATAGCTTAGAGGGCTGATTAGCAAGGATGTAAAGGAATAATGATCGAATTAATAAATTTGAAAACATTTTCTACTTCAATAAGCTTTTGCTTTGTAAAAGCCATAGTAATTCTTATTCATAATTCTAACCACAATCTTGGACAGAAAAATATGGAACAGCAATCCCCCGTCCTCCCAAAATCAAGGATAAAGCCGCGCAAAACCAAAACGCTCCATTTTCCCATCTTTAGTTGGTTTTGGGGGGTAGGGACGGTGGTACAAATTTTCCATCTATTTTGTCCAAGATTGTAGCAAGACTTGTCTTGCGGAACTTTACCTGTACCAGTCCTTTTTGTACGAAATTTTTTTCCTGTTTTCTTTGCAGGGATGAACTTGTTGTACATCCGTCATGGATTTTAGACAGCATCAAAGCTCGCGTTCTGCTCCCTGCTACACAGTACCTTCTTTATCAACAAAGGAAAGCTGCACAGAAAGTTCTAAATTTCGCTTCCAATTCCAAATCAACTTCTACATGTACAATAACTAAACCTTCCCCAATGGGAGTCCCCTCAGTAACAACGTCACCTAGTTTGGGATTGCCCTTAAGGGATATATCTTCAGTGCATTCGTCCTCAATACCTCCCTCCACGGGAGAACCGTCAATGGACTCGCGTAATGAAGTCAGTGCAGACATTGAAGACTGTGAAACAGAGAAAAATGTTAGTGATCAAGATGAAACAGGAGGAAATAAAGACTCAGTCAGTACCACAAATAATATGTCACATGAGAAGGCTGTAGCCCGTAAAGATGAAGATACTGGACACATTGGAGGAGATTTAAATCTTGAAGAACCAAATCTTACTTTACAAGAAATGACCAGTGTAGATGGAAAGACAGCAAAGAAAGCTTCTGACAGTGTAGTATTCAAAAAGCCCAGCACAAGTGGCTTGCCCCGAGCTGGCGATGCAAATTTTGTATCAGAATTCTACAACAATTCCAGATTGCATTATTTATCAACCTGGGGAGCAGAATTCAAGAAGTACACAAGTGAAATCATCAAATCTTCCGCAAGCAATGGCTGGAAGGGTAGAGGAACAGGTCGGGTTGGACCCCATGGCCGGGTGGTTATGCATATAGATATGGACTCATTCTTTGTTTCTGTGACATTGCGTGACCAACCACATCTCAGGGGAAAGCCGATTGCTGTGTGTCACGCAGGCAAAGGCAATTCAGCTGACCAAGGTAGGTGTAGAGTATTATCTAATGAAAAGAGTCCCCCACCCCCCTTGGGTTTGGGATTGAAATGTTACATTTGGTGAACCTTACATTAGACTAAACCTAAACCACTCCCCTGGCCACCACAGGCAGACCACCCTCTGTGTGTGTGGCCGTTATTGCAATCTGAGCTTCGGTCTTTTATGCTCAATAGAAAAAATGCAGATGAACATTACGGCGGATTCAGTGCACTCCAAAGTACAGATTTAAATCTAAATGTTCTTGAAAGCAAAGGTCAAGTAAAATGCTAACTTAGTCATCTGTCATGTTTTTTTTACCGTCATGAGCTGTTTAAAGCATTATTTTGTGAGATGATTAATTATTTGACCGGTAGCTTAGAGTGGTTTGCCTATGCCGCCACTCTTTTTCACGGAGTTATGAGGGTCGTGTTTTATACTTTGTCCAACTGTTCGCAACCAGTACAACAAGAAGATAAATCCCCTAAGAATAATTATTTATTACTGCTATCACTATGCTTATCCGTCACACAGTGCCCCCCAGCTGTGTGTTGCTGATAAATCATACTTAATGAAGAGTAAAACGAATGTCTTGTCTATTGTTGGTGCTGCAAAAGCTTGACGGATCCGTTGCCCTTGTTTAGCCCAATTGTCTAAGCAAGCCTCATTTGCCCAAAAAACTCACTGGTCAAGGGCACCTTAGAGGTGGGGGGGGGGGGGGGGGATGGGGGGAGTTATCTCTTGTAAAGGATGGTTTTCGCTAGCGACAGAGTCGGAGTTGGAGTCGTAAGTGGAGTCGTGAGAGCGCTTTTGACCTAGTGAAAATCAAAAACCGGAATCGTAAGCTGAGTCATAAGCGGGACGGAATCGGAGTCAGAAGAATCAGGACGTTTCTGTTTTCTTACGACTCCTTCGCTTACGTTCCGCTTATGTTCTAGTGAAAACCAGATTGTTGGAGTCAGAAGCAGAGGCGGAAGGATAAACCAATCACAATGCGCGTTCCCACGCTTTGTGATTGATCTAGTTCTTCCGCTTCTGCTTGCGACACTAAAGACCCAGTTTTCACTAGATTGTGAAGTACTACGCTTCTGATTACGACTCCGACTCCATCGCTAGTGAAAACCAGCCTTTTTTGCCCGCCTTTGGCCTAATCGTCCTAATGCTTAAGAGAGTACCCTCTCGCAAGACAAGATTTATTACTGATTATAATTATTTTTCCCAGCATCTGCAAATAACCCTTACACGTCACCGAAGAAGTCATCGTCATTTTTTAACTCGATGTCGGAGATCGCTTCATGCAGTTATGAAGCCCGAGCTGTTGGTGTTCGCAATGGAATGTTCCTGGGTCCAGCTCGTAAACTGTGTCCCGACATCCACTGTGTTCCTTATCAGTTTGAGGACTATCGGCAAGTATCACAGAAGCTTTATGACATTTTGGTCTCGTACAGTCATGAGATTGAAGCTGTCAGCTGCGACGAGGCTTACATCGATGTATCCGAGGCATTAGAAGGTATGAACCGGAAATATATTGGTAAATCGCCTTCTTATGGTTGATTCTTTACATCTCCCTTTATGTCGACCTGTGTTTGCTGAATCGTGCAAAGCGTTTTCAGAAGTTTGCTGTTAAATTTTAATTTGGATTAAGCCTTCATATTTTTCAGTATGTTCGTCACTGTCTTTGGAAAATGTCTGCGACTCCTGGTGCATGCATCAAACCGGGTTTAGTTCGCAGGGCTGCAAATAACGGCCGGTCAACGGACAATGTCCGGCCTGATCGCGGACTTGACCGGTCAAACTCCGGTCTTGCCGGTCATTTTGACCGGTCATTTTTGGATACAAACACTTTATTTTCCATACAGTTGTCGCTTAATGCTCTATAACGCTGCAATGATTTCTTTTTTCTTTGGTGTTTTTTGCTGCTTTGCACTAAACACTTCTAAGAAAAAGAACGCCGCAATAAATTAATTTCATGTCGTCATGTCGTAATCTAACGCAACAAAGTGAATAACAAACTGAGTTGGAAAGTAACGCAACGTTGCAAGTCGTACTGTACTTTTGGCTTTGCTGTACTCAGCAATGTGACCTTCTTCACTTCTTTGGGAATTCGAAGGAATTCAGGCAAATCGATTGCAATTCTCAACAGGTCGTCTTGTGTTTCTCCGGGAATAAATCTTAGCGCATCGATTAATAATAATTTCTTTTATGTCGAACATGAATCTCGTTTGCAGACTCGATTCCAGAATGGTCTGATAAAAATTTAGGCTACTCAAGAGCGAAGGTCGTCGTCTATCGCGGCGCTAGATTCTCGTTCTTGTAAACAACTTTATGCAAATTTCTGTTGACATTTGAGCCCTTAGCGATAAAATGTTGCGCGATGACCCAAATTTATTTATTGACTTCTGATCATCAACACGCTGTTTGTGGAACAAACTTCTCGCCAATGCAAATCAACTTCTTTGCCGAAAATATCAGCGACGATTCTTCTTTGGGGAAGTGACTTTCGATCACGTGCCAGGCAAGGAAAAAGATCAAGTTTCACCGATGTTCATTTCGGAACATCAACGTAAAACAAGCGTGTGCAGATTTTGTAAAATAACCCATTTTTTTTTTTTTTCGTAGTTTCTAAAGTTTGCTGAACTGTATGTGTATTCCGTTTCCTGAACCTTGGGAGTTTGAAAAGGATTTACGCTTCACTTTTTACCTCAAGAGACTTCAGACACCGCCATGCAATGATACTCAAGGTAGAACGTAACATTAAAACGTGCGAAAACCGCGGAAAGGAACTCTACAACGTGCGAATGTATTTTTCACCAATTTGCTATCAAAAATGTGAACGTCAATGTAGTAATAACGATCTATTGCCAGCATAATTGGATATTCCTTAGGCAAAAAAAAAATTATTAGTATTCATTATTTGACCGGCCAGAATCGGGGTTTGTCCGGGTTGAAAAATATTTGGCCGGTCATCATGACCGGCAACCTGCTGTCCGTTATTTGCAGCCCTGGTTCGGCGGCCGTTTTGCCACAAAGTAAATTTACCGAGTTGTGTAGCTCGGCGGCGCCAGTGGATCATGACTTGTGATATTTTCGGCACCGGACAAACTAACACTTTAACTCTATGTCATTTATTAGGAAAAACTTATAAACCAGCCCACAGTAGCGCCACTCTCAAGTCACTGAAATCAACACGCTCGACCAAATTACTGGAAAAGTTATTGACGTGAGCCGCACGCACATTCCATTGAAGGCTTTGACAGGGCTAGTGCGAAGTTTGAATTCAGATATGAAAGCTTTTCAAACAGTAAATTCAATGTAATTCATTTTGTCAACAAGTTGATGATTGGATGCTCTTAAAAATAACAGAGAAAATTATCCGAAGAAATGTTTTGGAAGAAAGAAAAAGAATCCCGGGTTAAGCACTAATCGGCCTTTGAGCAACTACGCCCTGTAACTCGCGCCAGTAAAACAAAATGTTCTATTTAAATAGCCTGCGTGGCACTCTGGCCAATGTCTCCTCCGATTACAAACGCTTGACACCGAACCATACGATATCTTCTCAAAACCTTCTTACAATGATGCACAGTTCTAAATCTAAATCTAAATATCGTTATGTCGGCAAAATCGTTTGGGACATCACGCCAACTCTAAGATAATAATAAATAAAACTATACTAGAATATACAAAACTATTAAAAACTATTAAGAAACTATTAAAGACTATTTTAAACTACTGATAAAAGGAAAACTAAGAAAACTAAATTAGTTTGCTTTTAAAAATACAGAGGGATTGGCTGGAAACAGTTTCTTCTGGAAGTTTGTTCCATTCAGTTATTGTCCTGGGAAAAAAAGAAAATCTAAAAATATCTTTATGTCCTTTCGGTACAATAAATTTAAAATCATGGCTTCCCAGGGTTCTCCTTTCTTTGCTTGTTATCAAATAATCCCCCCAGTCCCCATCTAGGAGGCCGTTGCACGTCTTGTATATAGTGGAGAGCCTTGCGTGTCTTCTCATTGTTTCAAGTGTGTCCCACTGTAGGTCTTGCAGCATTTCCGTCACGCTCGTTGTTCGATCGTAATTTCCAGTGACAAAGCGGGCTGCTTTCCGCTGTACCCTTTCTAGAGCGGCTTTATCTTTCTGGTAATGTGGGTCCCATGCGCTACAGGCATACTGGAGTTTTAGCCTCACAAGTGTCATATACACGGTTTCTTTCACTGACTTTGGACAATTCCACAGATTTCGCTTGATAAGTCCCAAGACCTTATTTGCCCTAGATGTGATTGTTTCAATGTGTGGTGACCACCTCATTTTGTTATCGAGCACTACCCCCAGATAAGGGTGAGATTCCACTTCTTCTAGGATTTGTCCACAAAATACGTATTCCCGCTTTGGTGGATCTCTCCTGGTTGTAAAACACATGATCTTGCACTTTGAAGGATTAAATTCCATCTTCCACTTTTGTTGCCAATCTTCTAATCTATACAAGTCCTCTTGGAGATCGGCTGTGTTTTCATCACAACAAATTGTCCCATATAACAATGCATCACCAGCAAAAAGTCTAACAGTAGAGTTAAGACTATCAGGTAAATCATTTATATACATTAATAACAGTAGCGGTCCTAAGACTGTTCCTTGGGGAACACCAGATGTCGTAACTACAGGGGCAGATGATGCCCCCTCAATTACCACTGATTGGGTACGCTGTGTTAGAAACGATTCAAACCAGTTATGTAGTGGGCCACGAATTCCATAATAATCAAGTTTCTTCAAGAGTCGGCGATGGGGAACTTTGTCGAATGCTTTTGAAAAATCAAGGATTGCGGCGTGAATTGTTTTGTTAGACTGGATAGCACTTGCTATGTCATGAATGGTACATATGAGCTGTGTTTCTGTTGATCGTTTCGCTCTAAAGCCATGTTGACAATCAGTGAGCACTCCATATCGTGAAAGATGCTTCATAACATGGCTGTGTACAATATGCTCAAGTACCTTTGATGCAATGCAGGTAAGTGACACGGGCCTATAATTTGAAGGATCCGATTTCTTTCCTTTCTTGTGAATAGCGCATACGTTGGCATGTTTCCATTGGATAGGCACAGTTCCGGTATCAATACAATCTTGATATATATCAGTAAGAACCTTTGATATTTCATGGGCATTCTCCTTTAAAAACCAGGGTGGAATTCCATCCGGGCCATACGCTTTGTCTACCTTCAACTCGCTAAGTTGCTTTTCAAGTCCACAGGTTGTGATGTTTATTGTTCCAATAGTCGGAATAGGGCTTTCGCCAGGGTCTGGGATATTCTCTGATTCTTCGTTGTTGAAAACACTGGAGAACTGACTATTTAGCACTTCGGCCTTAGCTCTCGGTTCGGTAAACACTTCATTTCTAACTTTGAGGTCTTGGGTATCTGTATCCTCTTTTCCTAGTTTTTTGATGTGTGAACAAAAAGCCTTCGGGTTTTGTTTTATAGAATCACCGAAAAAGTCAGAAAGATAATTGTTCCTGGACTCATTCAAGTTCTTGTGTAATTGTTTCCTGACTAGTTTAAATTTATTCCAATCAGATTGCCTTCCAGATTTCTTCGCCCTGTTGTATAGCCTTTGCTTTTTCCTTGTCTGTCTTCTCAAGCTACGGTTAAACCACGGTAGGTTATGGCGTGAGGTAGTGAACTTGTGTGGTATACAGGAGTCCATAATTCCAGTGAGCCTTTGTTGAAATATATTCCACTTTGCGTCTACGGATTCGTTCTTCATTTCTTCAAAGTCATTCGCAAAGTCTTGTAATTCTTTCTTTATACGGGTGGTATCTGCCCTTTTCCTCATATAAATCTTGCGTCTCACTGGCTTTTTCTTTCTACATGCCAGGTTCACTTCAAAAAGAACCATATCGTGATCGCTTATTCCCGGGATTACCCTAACATTGTTGATGATATTGACATTATTTGTCAACACAAGATCGAGAATGTTGTCATCTCTAGTAGGTACCTTTACTAGTTGGGTAAGTCCATGTTCATCGATGATTTCAAGCAGCTGTTCAGAATTGAAGGAGCAATTTGTTGATTCAAGGTCGTTCCATTTAAGGTCCGGGGCGTTGAAATCTCCCGCCACGATTACATTGCTAGTATTTAATCTATCGCCTAATTTGAATAAAGATGAGTCAAGTTCATGTAGACTGCTTATATCGGTCTTGTTTGGGCGATAGAAGGAAGCGAAGAATAGAGATTTTGATCTCTTATTTTGGATCTGACATTGGGTCCAAATAATCTCACAGTCCGTATTCAGTTTAAATAGAGGTTTCGCTGTACGCAACCGTTACGTCCAAACTATGCGATAATCATATTTATCTATATCGCAACCACCCTCCCGCCTCAACTGCTACCTCTACGCCTAACAAACATATCGAACGCACTCTCCTAAGCTCCGATTACTCCTAGTATTAATATCAGGTGGCATAGGTTGGTTGGCTGGAGGCTCCTTCAAGGGTGGGTAGGTACTTCATATATGATTATTATTATGTACCTAAACATACCTATTATCCGTGTTTCCGCTGACCAGTTGTTGGTTTTCATTGATCGCAGGCTCAAGTCCATAATGAAAAGGGCACTTAATAGATAACTTGTTGACCTCGTCCGTTCGGTCTTTACAGGGAAATCTCTCAGACCTCGGCCTTTATGTAGTGACCGAGCGACCGTCCTCGGTCTGAGATTTCCCCGTAATGACCTCACTATCGGTTAACAAGTAGTATGTAAATCAAGGAAACTTATTCTGACAGCCTTTTGACCAAGCGAAGTAAAAGTAATTTGTAAGTGCTGTCAAATCAATCAAGACATTTTTTTCCTTCAGTTGGTTCAATATCAATATACTTGCCGAATGTTCATTAACATACATGACCATCTCCAAAGACAAGATAACATAACGAAACAAATTGAACCAAGCCTAAATTTGAGACGAAGCATATAATTTTGTTTTTTGAATCACGTTTAAAGTGCTTTTTTAAATTCATGTGAAGACTCGCTCAATACCAGCCGAGATGCCTGAAAAGGACGTGTACAGAATATAGTCCGCGTTAAAGCGCTAGCAAACCGGCAGCGAACCGACCATCTGACCTGTTAAATGGTCCTTACCAGTTGCTTCATTTTGTTATTCATAGAGGGTGAAACCCCTACCCAGCTGGCAGAGAAGATTCGCGCAGAGATCAATGAAGCAACGCGCTGTACTGCATCTGTTGGTATTGGCGCTAATGTTCTACTCGCTAGACTGTGCACCAGAGTAGCTAAACCTGACGGCTGCTACCACCTTTCACATGAAGATGATGTTAATCAGTTTATGGGTAAGTAATGTATCAGGTTTTATAGGGAAACCTGCGTTGATAAATTCTACAGCAGAAAATGTCTGTTACTTTGAATGGAGGGACACTCCACTTTAAAGACCAGATTATTTAGCTTGCCTAGCTCGTGCGTTGTATCGCACGCGACTGCGTAATTCGACCGGTGCTTTTGTTGTCTTTGTTTAGGCTCAAAAGCCCGCGATATCTATTTTTTTTTTTCAGAGGACACGCTTGAGAACACAGGGGGCCCCCTGTAAATGTACTGGATTTACCGTTTGCTTCACCTATAACGATATATCGCTAAGTATGTATATAAATCAATGTTAAATAAGCGTTGAATTACCTTACCTGTGGTATATCGTCGTCCTTTTACCTCAAAAGCGGTTTTTTGAGCGATTTTGAAGGATTTTGAGTTCGCCGTTCACTGTTTCTAGTAGTAGAAGGACCTTCTTTTGTTAGGAATAGTAAACTGCAAACTAGCGATATATCGTTATAGGTGAAGCAAACGGTAAATCCTGTACATTTACTATAAAATAACAATCGGTTACACACACACAGTGGGCCCCCTGTGCTTGAGACAATTAAGCTTGAACAAGTGAAACAAAAGAGCCTGTTAAAGTTTTTAAACATAAGCCCCGTGCAAAAACAACAAGAATAACACGCTTTCAGTGTGCGTAAAAGCACGCAAGGCGTGTTATCTAAAGCTAAATTTCCTCTACAAAAACGAACCGTGAAAGATTACAAATGGCACCCTTTTCTGGGCTTATGCGGGCGAGTGAACTCGGCTGCTCGTAACAATCGAGAAGGAAAAAGTTCTACCTCGTGGTGATCGCAGCGATTATATGGAAACCAATCTCCAGCAATCGTAGGCTCATAGCGACAGCAAAACTACCAGAAATTTGTAGGCAAGACTGTAGAAGCTTGGAGATTTGGCACATAATTTCTGTTGTGGACATGTACCTGATTTTTTCTGTTCTCCATCAATGCGTGTTCTAATTGGTCACTTCAAGATCGCGCGACATCTCGCATTAAAACGTTTTCCCGCCAAAATTTTCGGTGTACTGTTACTCGCGAATGTTAACCACTCGCAGAGATTTACTTTAATTCATTTCTACACGTAAAAGTTTTCCTTCATTGGCTGTTTAACAAATAGCTTTTTGACTCGTCTCGTTGGGGTGGGAGTGCCGGCTTCCCAACAATTCACAAAGCGCGTGATCGACGTTGAAGTCCTTCTCTCATGCATTTACTGGGGCTTGTTTTTTGAATGTTTATTGTGGGCTACAAGAGGAGCCCTCAATCCTAATCTCCAGGTTTTTATTACGCATGCGTCGCATGTATGTATCATGCATTCGTTTCGACCTCTACTAAGAATGAATGGAATGCACAGAGCGCTATTTGATCACGTGCGTTTGGACGTTCTATAACTTGTAATGTGATGACGCGTGTTTGGACCATCTCTCACGTGAAACTTACGCAAAGCACAGCTATGGAGCAAAACCGTTTTGAACTTCGATTGTTGTTGCCCGCACTCCGTAACCATTAATTATTACTAGATTACATATACATGCACTCGTTAAGAATGACTTTATTAGTGAACACAACCTATAAACCATTTTTCTGACCCCTTATGGCCTGAATGGAACTTGAAATAGCACTGTCAACTTTTACGTTTTTACGGTTCCTGTGTCTGCGAGAAATCGATTTAAGAAAGTTGTTTTAGTAATCCATTTACACCTACTTTGCTAGCATTCTGTTGCTGTTAAAATAAATAAAAAAAATAATAAATTTCCTTTACTTACCATTTATTTTTTATTTTTATTTATTTTATTATCATTTTGCCATTTAAGTTAAATATATGCATAAAACTGAAATACAAAGATGAGGCAAGGGAGCCTAAGGCTGCGTGCAAACAGACGCAACAACTCCCAACATTGTTGCGCCAACAATGTTGGGAGTTGTTGCGTGCGTGTTGGCAGTGGTGTGCAAATGGACGCAACAACTTCCAACAATGTTGGGACCTGCAGTGCATCGTGGGAAGGATACAACCTATAAGTCTTTGTAAACCATGCGTAATGAGCGTGCGTGGCCCCAACAATGTTGGAAGAGCTGTGCAAACGGATCCAACATTGTTGCGCTACGCTTCGGCGATCACGGAACAAAAGAAATGTTGGGAGATGTTTGCTGAAAAGTTTGACCGGTTTCAAACTTTGAGCAAACAACATCCAACAACATGCAACAGGGTGTGCAAACGGACGCAACATGTAACATCCAACAATGTTGGGAGTTGTTGGCCAACAATGTTGTGTCCGTTTGCACGGGGCTTAAGGAAGCCAATAAGGCTTATGAAAAGGACCGCCTTTAAAAATATATTACCCAATTGATAAATAAAATACTGGCATCGGCAAGACAATTTAACTATATAAGCAAATACAATTTCTTTACAACGTAGAAGATAATCATTAAATAGGATAAAAATAGATAAGGCTGAACGTGCAAGTGCAAAAACGAAAAGGAAAAAGTGAGAAAACATAATGCAACAATGTACGAGAAAAAAAGTGAAAGAAGCGAAAAACTGCACACAAGCATTTAGCTAGAGAAGTAAAGTGTGCTTATACCAAGAAAAAGACTTTCGTTTGGAAGTGAAAACAGCAATACTAGAGGCATTTTGAATTTCGGAGCCCTTGGCAGTATTTATAGCACTTATTCTAGTGGGGCTGAGCAACACCTGAAGCATAGAAGTTATGTCAAATTTAATGGGGTTAAGAATCCCAACTGGCTGGAGGCAAACCAGTTGGCTATTTTCCAGATTGGTTTGCAGATTTCAATTCAGGATTACCGAGAAGAAGTCCAGCTAGCGGTTAGGGTGGCACTTGACTTGGGGCCTCCGAATTGCAAGTCCAGCGCTGTAACCGCTAGGTCGTGCTGCCTCCGTAAAGTTCAAAGAGACTTTTACTTGTTGAGAAGGAACCTTCCAGTATTGGACTTCTGATTCACCACATTTCGTTTATGGAAACTAAGAGGTGTAGATTCTCGTGACATTACATCCATTCACCGATTAAGAAGTGAGAAGTGAGAAGGAAACTGGAGCCGAAATGCGTCTCGCAATTGCTTCTGGGATGGTTACTGTCCCTAGTAACAATCCCAGAAGTCTTTGCGAAAGTTATCTCGACCTAGGTTCTCTTTCGTCTGTAGCCCTTGTTCTTCTCATCAGATTTTTTCCCCTTTTTTTTTTTCAGCTTCCCAGAAGGTTGATGATCTGCCAGGAGTCGGTTGGAGCCTGGGACAGAAACTTCAAACTCTGGGGGCAGAGACGTGTGCAGACTTACAGAAATTTAGCTGCCAAGCGCTTCAGAAAGAGTTTGGTCCCAAGACTGGTCTCCTCTTGTATCAGTATTGCCGAGGTATAGACGATAGAAATCTTAAAACTGAGCGAGAAAGGAGATCTGTATCAGCTGAGATCAACTATGGTATCCGCTTTACAAAGGTAAGGAGGGATTTTGTGTAGTCTTGGGGCATTTCCATTTACCAGCAAAAAAATTCCTGAGAATTCGATGGAAATGTCTATCGAGAGAAAATCGTGTTTGATTTGACACGAGTTCCATTCGTTTGCTGCTCTCCTCAAAATTCAAAATTGCGGCACGGATATAGTCGTCAATAGCCTGAAACTGTGAGAACTCGTAAAAGGAACAGGTGTTTCCTCCACTTATTCCGGAGAATTTTCTTGTGGAACGCCCCTAAGAAACGCGTGTTTCGTTTTCATCTCAACTGGAAGTTCCGAAATCTCTTTGTAAGTGAAAAGTGCCCGTAATATCATTTGTAACAGTGTTTACGAGACGTCAACTTTCATCATGGGGACTGAAGAAATTACTCTTCAACGGTGCTGCCTCCTAAAATTAGGTGTTGCTTGCATGTGCAGTTTGCTGAGATGTTTTTAGGAAGTATATCTATTCACAGTTTAGTGGAATGAAAACAAGAAAAAAAAAATGGCGAGGGGAAGTGGAGAAGGTAAAAGGAGGAAACGCTTGTGCTTTGTGCCCTCCATGCTCTCCCCAGTTCCCCTCGCGATTTTTCGTTCCTTTCTCTATGTCGCGTTGCCCCTCCGTCCAAAAGAAATATATGGATACCCCTTGAAATAGCCCAACAATATAGCTGTTTGAAATTTCGTCTCATTATGTTTTTCGGGTTCCAGCTAAATACAGTGCTTAGTTGAAGACTGAGATACTAGCGGAGTTTTGACCAGAAAACATCCTAGATGCCTTTAATGGAGGACAAACCAGCGAGCGAATCGCCGCTGATCGTTTCATTTCCTGTTCTATTTTAGGAGAGTGAAGCGATTCAGTTTATCAATGAACTGGCCGAGGAGGTACAAAAGAGACTAAAGGCACTTGATTTGAAAGGAAGGTGCATCACTTTAAAGGTAAAAGGATCCACGTTTTACCTTGTGTATGTCTGTCTCTCTGTGATTCCAATAACCTGAGATCAGGCTCAATTTTCGTTTCGCTAAAATTGGGCCTGATCTCAGGTTATGGTTCTAAATGAAATCCTATAGTTATATAGTTTACAGATACATCACATACTTTCTACATTGCTATTGAATATTTAAGTGGAGAAACCTGAAATCAAGAGAACCTAATTAGTTGGTAAGGGAACTGTTTCCCCGTCCTTTCTTCCAACCTCCAGAGCCGAGCTGTTCAAAGATGGGTTAAGATAACCCAGGGTTAGTGCGAAATTAAAACACAGAAATGAAAGCTATAAAAGTAAATTTAGTCTGTCTAATTCTTTTCGTCTACAGTTGGATGATTGGATGCTCTAAAGAGAATGGAAAAAATTATCCGAAAAAATGCTTTCGGAAAAAAAAAAAAAAAAAAACTAGATTTAAATTTAACCCCGGGTTAGCGCTAATCGGCTTTCGATCAACTGGCCCCAGTTGTTCTAAAGGTGGATAGGTCTATTCATTGGATAAAATATCTTATCCACTAAATTAAAGTGATTTAACTGGTGGATCCAGCGGATAACGCAAATAATTGTTTTCACGGTTTTAATTATTTTCCTTAATAAAGGGCCGGGATTCCACTAAATTAAAGTGATTTAACATTGGTGGATAGCGCCAACGTTCCACTGAGCGACAATTTTGAACACCTGTTTTTTGCGCCAGTTTTGCATGCGGTTCTAAGAATGGCAGCAAATAATTGTTTTCACGGTTTTAACTTATTGACAGCTATCACGGATGCCCGGACTCAAAGGTATAAAGGAACACAGACGTCCAGGGCTTATGGATTTTACTGATATGAATCGTTTTAAGAACACTTTTATTCCTGATATTTTTTAGACTAGTTTGATTAATTCGTTTTTATTCATTTTTTGTTTTTGTGTAATTTCAATTTAAATTTTTGAGTTTTGTAATTGTACGTCGTTCATGTTCTCATTTGATCCTATCATCAGCAGTCCGTTTTTATTATTTACTTTAAAGGAATGATTCATTGTTTCATTTTACAGCAGTCCGTTTTCCTATTTAACAAGGAATGATTCATTGTTTCATTTGTTCGCCGTTCCAACAACCTGGAATAGCGAAAACATAGGGCCAGTACAACGCCTATGCTCAAAGCCAGTGTTCTATGTTGTCACGTGTACAGTGGCATCACAAGAAAGTGTTTCGGCCCATAACGCCTGTCTCATGTCTCACCCTTACAGTACTTAAAAGCAGTTTAGGCTTGGTTTCCAGATAATGGTCCTGGATCTCCTCTATACCTGGGGCGATTTGGACATGTCGAGTGACTATATGGACACAACCTTGTATATATGTACACCTTGGTTCTATCCAGGCCTTTGCGAGCCCCCTAATCGTTCGTGCTGTGCGTAGACTACGTGCAGTCGCCCTTCTTTGCTCAGTGTGACATCAAAAGATCAAGAGACTGCTTGCTTTTTGTGTCTTCCGGTATGGCATCAGAAGTGTTTCAAACGTCGCTTGGTAACAGATAAATAGTGTTTTCTATTTTGTCCTTCTGAACTCTTTTTGTTGAAAGGTTTATTTGTCCTTTGGCGTCTTTAGATAGATCAAACGCCAAGAGACTCATGAATAGCGAAATTGCTCTATTGCGGTTGCCCTAACCGTTTGCTTTTTTCTTGTACAGATGAAAGTGCGGAAAGCAGGAGCGCCAACCCCGCGAAAGTTTATGGGTCACGGAATCTGTGATAACATAGCTCGCTCCTGCACCTTACCGTCCGTCACGGATGATTCACAAGTTATAGCGAAGCAGTGCCACGCTCTCCTCAAGCAACTGAATGTCGCTCCAGAAGATATACGAGGCATGGGGATACAAGTCAGCAAGTTGGATGAGAAGAATGCCTCTTCTGGTGCGAAAAATGTGAGATCTTTGTTTGATTTTATGAAACCACAGGCGAACACTAACGAAGACGCCTTGAAAGTTGTTGCCTCAGAAAGAGAAGATGGAATCTCTGAAGAAGTCCGCGCGCCTGTTGAAGGAAGACGTCCTGAAAATGAACAGAGCAAACTTCCACCGCTACCAAGATTCTCTCCCCAGAAAATTCAGCAGACACGTGATTGCTCGTCCGAGAAAAGACTTGGTGACCTGGGGGAGAGTCTATATTTGCCATCGCCGTCCCAGATTGATCCTTCTGTGTTTGAAGCTTTACCTGAGGATATTCGAAGAAGTATTGAAAAATCTTACGCTGCTAGAAATCAGAGGATTTCACTTCATCGTGCTGAAAGACAAGAGGTTAGTAAAGGATATTCTCCTTATAGTAATGATCATCATCATCTTTATCAACACCGTCATCCTCCTCCTCATCCTCATCTTCATCCCCATGATGATGATGATGATGATGATGAGAGTGTTCCCCTGGTAAATTTTGTATCGTTTATTATTTCATCATTATCGATATGTGTGGAATATAGACAGAATTAGTATCTATGTTAGAGAAGCATTTGATATTGTATTTTTGTTGTTGTCTGTTTGCTTTTTCTTGAAGTCAAGATAGCGACTTTGATTTTCAGCTTTAAGAACAGTAACTTCGTCACAGGGAAAGTCTTTCTGTTCCTGAGTGAGAGTTCAGGCACCTCTCCGTATGTGTCTCTGTAATGGTGGTGGTGGTGGTGGTGGTGGTGGTGTTGGAGGTGAAGTGGAGTGGAGCACCATTTGACAATCTTACGCAAAATAGTGAACAGCAGTTTAGTGTCTTGTGGTTTGATGCAGAGATTTTTTTTGTCACAGGAAGAAGCATTTGAACCTCAGCAGCCTCCGCAACAAAAAACCACCAAAAACAAACAAAGTAAGACAGCGTCCAGACCTACTCGAACTCTATTTCAAGCAAGCACTTCATCAGAAGCAGCTCCTAGTACATCAGATCTTCTACCATCACCATCCCAAATCGACCCAGAATTCCTGGCGGCCCTTCCAGATGACGTCAGAGAAGAACTTGAGCAGGCCTATAAACTGAAGGATTCAAATATGACAGGCAATCGTGCCCAGGCTGAAGCTTCGAGTGCCCCGGTTTTGCCTGTGGAGAGAGGCCTGGGAAATGGTAAAGGGGCTCTCCAGTCGGGCGCTATTCAAAAGGAAGAAACTGAAAAAGGCAACCATCCTCCATCAAAACAGAAACAGGTAAATTTAATCCGTTACGATAAGGACGACGCGGCACTAGTCCGACGTCAAATACGGTCAAACCCCGTTAATAGGCTGATTTAGCAACAGGACGGGAACGTCAGTTGACAACGGCGCGCGCAAATCAAACAACTGGCTTGACCAATGGCAGAGCGGCAAATTAAGCACCGGAAGTCGTGTTTAGTCCTTTCCGCGCGCCTTCCCGTCGCCAACTGACGTTCCCGTCCTGTTGCTAAATCACCCTAATACGTCCCCAAGGGGGCCATAGTAATGTCCGTATCAAGCGGGTTGAATTTTTTTAAGAAAATGTAAGGAGTTTCTAGTTTCCCCAGGGACAAAGCAAACTGTCAGTAATAATGAGGTGTCTGTATAAAGCGGGATTTGACTGTACAATTGTAAGTAGTAGTCACCGTTGCCTCTCTTGTTTCGTGAATGGGCGATACCAAAATACCCCCTGGATAATGTTAAAAATAAGGTAAAATAGAAAGGATTCTCTAGACAGTCTCAGAAAGATCAGAGATGAATCCACGTCAAAAGGTCAGGAAAGTGCTTCAGGTTCCCTTATTATAGATTTATCAGTTATACAAAACACCTGCACCGACACCTATCCCGTAGTCATGGTGACCGTTGGGGCGTCACGGACCTAGCAACCCTTTCCCTCCATTTGATTTTGTTTTCAGATTCTCTTAGGGCGTCGCAAAACCTCAACTCTGTCCACTCAGAGATGTTATTCTCTCAACGCATCTTTTGTCGGCCTCTTCTTCTCCCTCCCTTCTCTTTTCTTTGTAAAATTGTCTTGGCAAGCCCTGCTGGTCTGGATTTATGCTCAAACTATTTTAACTTGCGTTTCTTTACTGTGGTCGAGATGTCATCATAGGGCCCGATGGCTTACCTGATTCTATCTCTGACTGCATCGTTAGTGATGTGGTTTCTAAACAGCAAACTGTAAATTTGTAATTTGTAGCAAATGAGCTTGCTATTATTTTAGTGTGGCTATAGTTCTACATCTAAATTTATATATTGACAGTCGAGGTGTCCTAGAAATGGCGCCGACTGTTCGCGAAAGGGAACTTGCTTTGCCGTGGTGGTCAAGAAACAACCTCGTTCAAATATTTTCCCTCTGTTTCGTTTTTTCACTTAGCTGTTACAAACATTTCTTGTCATCAGGTGAGTTTAGGAGAAGCCATTACACTTCCAGAAGTAAAGCAGGTCATCAGACAATGGACTGAAGCTTATGAAGGTAGGAATTGTTAGGTCTTGAAGTGTTTTAAGGGACTGACTGACAAGCAGCACACAGTTGGCCACGTAGTCAAGAACGCGCATTAAGGTTCGCCATCTTGTTTTTACCCTCTCATTTCACTCCTACAATCCCGGATGTACAAAATAGTGCCTAGTACACCACAGACGATTTTAACACGTGACCAAGTTTTTCCTTTACTTGCTAAGTACTATTTATTTTATCTACCAAAAAATTTGTAGTTTTATGCCAGGTTCATCCACATAAAGTATTTTGGACAGGTTTTACCTGCTCCTCTCCTGAATTGAGACATTTTCAACTTGAATCTCGCATTTGCCAGTTGTCGTAAACGTGATTCTAAAAATGTCTATTTTCGTAACAAGGCACAAGCACTTCCCTCGAGAAGTGTGATATTTTAATACGTCAGTACTCTTAGTCACCCTGGAAAGTAAAAGTTAAAAGGTTTTAAAATTCCTATTTGTTGGCAAACCTTGAGTAGCAGTACAAACAAACCAAATGTATTTGGCAAGTTTCCAGGTTGAATACGCTTCTATGTAAAGCGATCAATACTGAGAACAGTTGTGCTCCGTTTTGTTCAGTTGCGTCTCGTTGCAATCGGCGAAAATCTGGTCCCTCTTGCTGGTAATGAAGATGAACACAAGTAAAAGCAAATTGACTCAAACTTGTACAATTCCTGCCCTAAAGACGTCGCAAGTTCAGAACTATTTCTCGAATATCTTATACCCCATTACAGTGTTCTTTGGAGGAGCTTCTCATTAAAGGCCTGAGAAAACAGCCCGTATCTTGCGACAACATCACTGATTTCCCTGCGAAATGACGCCTGCGAAACAACTGTCAGTAGAAATTGCAAACTGATAACGCGTCCTTACTGAGATCTGGGTACTGCCTCTCTTTGATTAGTTAATGTCAATTTCCCACGCAACTCTTCAATCAGAAGCACAACCAGGCAATCGGAAATGTTGAGAATTACACTCTTCCGCACTGCTAGTGGCCAAAGGTCCTTCGAATATAGAGCAACGTTTTTTGAAATAAGTTGTAACCAGAACTCAAGCTAAGCGAATCAGTTCAAAATTTTAAGCGTCAACTTAGACGACTTCTTCTGGACGCCTCCTTTAGTTAGTTAATTATTTTTCGTGTTTTTAGCTTTCTGTGTTCCAAATGTGTATTGTAACATTGACTCTGAAAAGCCCTGTGGGGACGAGCCAATAAAATACGTATGTATGTAACCCAGATCTGGGTAGTGACACGTCATCAGTATGGAATTTCGACGTTCGTTCCTCAGACGTCGATAGCCCACGTTTGTCATATTAAAATTCTGACATGACTCCGAGACTTTCTGGTCATTTTTCTATATTTGGTTTGGTTTTCTCTGTGCTCGTCTCTTCTGGGAATTGCGAGACAATGGGGTCGTGAAAAATTTACAATTTTGTCCCCAAAGCCTCTGAGTCATGTTAGAATTTAAATACATCGAACGTGGGCTATTGGCAGGGAAACCAATGGTGACGTCACAAAATGTCGGCAGTTTTCTTAGACTACACAGTAACGGCCTGGAAAATAAAATTCGGCCCTTTTGGGTGAGCATGAAATTGGCTTAGTGTTTTTTTTTTTTATGATCTTTGCTGTGATTATATATCGGCAGCTCCTTTGGAAGAAGACGTGGAAGTGTTAAGTGCTTACCTTATACAGCTTGTTGGAACACAAAACTTAGAGCAGCTTTGGAAAGTCTTGAAGTTTCTTGACAGGTATGCTACGAATTTTTGGCTGCTGTTTTAACTGTAAAATTGGACATGTCGTGTTGATTAGGAGTGAAATACGGGCATACAGGCAAACGGGCATACAGGGTATACAAGGTATACAGGCATGCGGGCATACAGGGCACACAGGTATACGGGCACCCAGGGCATACGGGGAGTGATCGAATGTTATGGGATATACAGCAATGGTTAGGGATGAAATGAGAGAAAGGGGAATGTAGGGGGAAGTATTGGTTGAATCCACCAATAGACTGTAAAACTGCCCGTAGTTTTGCTTAATGGAGAACGGAAGAACAGTCAAACAAAACGTCTGGAGCGAGAGTGAGGCTCGCGCGCCTTGCGCGCGAGAGACTTTAACGCTGCCTGCGTTTCGCGCCTCTAAAGAAAGTTTTCAGAAAAGAAAAAAAAAAGGCCTTGTTCTGCAGTCTAATTCGCGACCAAGGTGGAACTTAAACTTTGGACCGAAAAGAAAACTGCGATGTGCAAACGGTATAAGACGTCCGATTCTTCTCACCTGTAGAAAGCGCTCCCTACCTTCTCCACCCTAATATTTAAATTTTCGCCTGTAATTATGGTAGTTTCATGGTTTTGTGGAAGGGTGCAATCACCAAATGACGCCATACAAAAGATTAAAAAAAAAAACAAGACAAGGATAGCAACTACACGACAACACAAGATTGAACCAACAATGGCTTCCTCAACACCACGAAACATCCCCTGTAATACGGAGAACATTCTCCTGACTGGGGTAGGGAGAGGCCTTGTGGGGGAAAGGTCTTGCCAAAAGTCGAGCAATTCACGCGAGCAGGTCAAATAACTTATTTCTAATTACTAATTTCTAATAGAATTATTTTCTCTCAAAAATGAAACTTTTTCTTCGTTTTTTAATATGACGATTCTCGTCTGTTTTGCTTAAAGGACGGTTGATGGTCGCGAAGAGTGGCAGATTTCTTGTTGTACCGTGTTATCTCAAGTTCAACAAGTCCTCAGCCAGAAATATCACACCAAACTTTCTGTAAATTCTTTAAAATTTGCCAAGTTAATTCCCGCCGGAAACTTTTTGGATCCACTCCTGAATAACTAAACTGGTTGAGTATTAAATCCATATGTGCTTTATTTTAATAAATAACTGAATATCCAGCCGGTTTTTTGAAAACGAGACTAGTGGAAAAGTGGGGCCAAAAGGCAGGGGTTTGTTTGCGTCCTATAATCCCGAAAATCGCACTAACGAAAGAAAGGATAGAAAAAACAGCAAAGAGCGAGAATAACGAAAGGAGGAGGAGAAGATGAAGAAACAATAGGCCATATGTACGATGACGTCATTTTACTACTAAGACCAGAATCCTTTTCGTTTTTCCTTTCATATTTAAATTTTGTAATCCCAGTGAGGTTTAAATAACAAAAGCTCTAATTTTAAAGCAAAACCCTGAAGGATTCTGGTCGTAGTAGTAAAATGATGTCATAGTGCAAATGGTCTATTGTTGCACTATTAGAGTTTACTTTGGGGGTAGGTTTTGAATAAACAAAACTGCTTGACGGAAAAAGTCTATTTGGCTGTAACGTTTTCAAAAATTCTGCCGGATATAAGATAAATAATGTTCAAAAAGAATGATAGCAACAATAATAAAGACAATATTGATACAATTTGTCGTCCACCAAACCAGTTTATTTGAGCTAGTTCCAGTCCACCCGCCTGCAGGCAGTTTTCTACCCTTGAATATTACACCGCTGACCAGTCACTACTTTACTACCTGCTACATATACTCTAAAACCAAAGATTTGTCCTGGTTACACTACAACCATCTTCAAACCAATTGGTTTAATACATTGTACGTGTCACACACCGGTTTTCGCTCTGGTTGAACAGACCAATTCGAACTCCCAGAAATGAACTGAAAATATTTAACAGTCGAAGCTAATAAAGAGATCTCAGTCAAACTTTCTGCGTGTGAAGCAAACGCGGCCCGTGTCTCGACCGTAACGTAGTTTCAGTTTATTGTAGAGACTACGAGCATGGTCTGTTAAAAAGGACTGTTGCTGTTTTAACCGTTTTGTGAGGTGAAAGTGCAGTTAAAGTTTTAAACTTTGTCATACCTCGCGAGGTTGAATTGCAATTTTACGTTTTTACGGAGCTGTTTCACGGCTTCTGCAGCAGAAAAAATTCAGCCCCAAGTTTGCCGTTTGTTATCCCATTTCGTCTCCTTTTAGTAACCTCTCCACCTACCCCTCCCCTAGCCGAACATTTTGCCCTAAATGATTAGTCATTGTCAACGTTGCATTAGGGGAGGGGTGAGTGGGAAGATACTGATTCAACAATCCTTTATCTTTGATAGTTTACTCTGATGTCTAATGTGTCTTTACTTTACCCGAGTAATAATTTGAGATTCTCTTAAATTTCAAGATAATGCACGCTGCAAAATAATGATTAAACCGCATCGTTACCAACTACCTCTCATACATTTATACATTACTTCTTATACTATGTGTTTCATAGATTTCCTCTGGAAGATTTTTCTACTGGGTTATTTTAAGTTTTCAAATTGTGCTTAGTGTTGTATAATTGTTAGTCGAGAAGGAAAGATAGCCAAAACTGAGCTAAGCAAAGCTAGAAATACTGTTTTATGGAAGGGTGTGGCTTTAAGCACCTTGTTACATATAATTTGAAAATTATTAATGACTTATCCGGTCCGTGTCTAGAACATGAGAAAAGAGACTGAAGCGGAATTGTTTACGGCAAAATATACTAGATAAGAAAAACAAACAAAAGAAGAAACAAAAAAAGGAGAAGTGCTATCAATCTACTTCTAATCTTCCTTTCAATTGCTTATCTTTCAAACACTGGAACTTCATAACGTTTGTGCTTCTCTAAGGCTGCTAAAGAACCTCTCTCTCTCTCTTGACAGACGAGGCCATTTAGAACCCTAAAGTAAGCTCATGCGAGTTTCTTTGCTTTCGTATACTCAAACGGAGTTGTTCATGTAGACAATCAAGTTTAATCCCTCTCATTCGGAAAGTTCCTCTCCACATTAATCTGAGCCCTACGTTAAATATCTGTACAACCTCACCAACGCAAAATAGACAACGCGTAGGTGGTATTAATTTAATAAATAATTTTGTGGTATATGATTCTTTTTTTTGTGAAAAAACAAACAAACAAACAAAAAGCAACACCAGATTATCCAAAAAGGCCTTGCATAAGCTCTTATTCCAAGTGAGCTGTAAATTAATTCTTGTAATAATAAAATAACCGCCCTCTTTTAAACCGTAGATTTTATAATTAACGTGTAGCAGCTATATAATACCACTGCACATTCTCGGAGTCCATAGATGATTCTACGCGACATTGATAAAATTATTGAAGATTTCTTTGTAAATGAATATCCCCTTAGAGGGGGGTGGTAATAATGACATTGTTAAAGTAATACCCATGTGTATTGCGACTCGTAAATGAGTGACCTTAAAATACCCTTCATTATGGCCTTTTTTTGTAAACCAAGCTTAACTCTCCAACAATATTTCGTAGCATAATAAATTGTGACCCTTCCTTAATATTTGACCATATATCGGCAAGGTACGTGCCATAATCTTTCGATGTATGGCGTAACAAATACCGAATTAGAAAATGAAAAAAATAATTTTTGTTATAGTAAAATAAACAAAGGAAAAATATTAAAATTTCATAGGACCTTACCAAAAATTTGCAATATTTTTTGGACGCATTTCGCAAACCCAAAGCGCAGTGCAAAACGCAAATCTTGTGTTGTTCCCTACAGATAACAGATCCTTTTTAACTCTGAAATATCCGCTTTAATCCAAATTTACCAAATCTTAATAACTCTAGTCATATCTGACAATTAATTCAATTTGTCTAATTTCTAATCCTTAAGGAAGACAGCCACTTTTGTACAATGTAAAACACACGCAACGCACACAAGATACAAGGTTTCTGATTTATCCAACCCAAAACTAGAAATTTCTCTTTTAACGAAGGTTGCAAGAAGCGAAAATGCTTTGCAAATTACATGTGGAGAACCTTTTTTTCCCCTTGTATAAACGGGAAAGTGTTTTTGACACTATATCTTTTTGCAGCTATATAAGTGCTTGAAAAGATGTCAGACAACACCTAGAGAGTGTGACGTAAAGCTACACAATCCAAAATGTAGATCGCGCAACAAGGTTAGCAGTGAGAACTTTCGCGTCTTGCAACTTCCTTTCTAATTTTATTACTATGTCACACACACATACACAAATACGTCACGGTATGTAATCTTCTTCCAAATCGTCAGCACTTTCGCCATCACTCTTTCCTCCAATCAAACTATGATGCTCTGACAGCGCTTGTTTGGCTAGATACGCCTCGCGCTTGATCTTGATCTCAAGGGATTGTGGGATATCTGGTACCAGTAAGTCGATCAGTCGAGAAACGAAGAAGACAAAATGCTGTGGAAAGAACCAGGCTGTTTGGTTGGGAGGAAAAAGCCCAATAATTGCTCACGTTTGTTTACCAAATTACACTGGAGTCTTGCTTAACCTGGATACTAGGGGTTTTTTGTCACTAATATCAAAGACAGACTCAACAGAAACCGGAAACCACGCAAATTCTGTGGCACCCATGGTAAATGTCGCTTTGCCAACGCCTGCTAATACGGACAACTCGTTTTTACGGACTGTTTTCTTTGTCCGTTGGGAAAGCTCCTTTTTTTCTAAACTCAAACCGCTTAATACCGACACCCGTTCGCGCGGACAACGGACTCTTTTTTCTTGTCCAATTACAAGTTTGTCATAGAAAGGTTAACGAACACCTTTGTCAACTTTGCACTGCAATAAGTTTTAAATTTATGAAGGTAAAAAAAAACGTTGGACGACAGAAGACGGGGTGAGGACTAGACGCCAGCGTCTGACTATTTTTGCAATAAAAAAGGTCTGCATTGCTTCGTTTGTGTGTTAAGCATTTTAACGGACTTGTTCGGCAGAATGACGACCTTTGAGTAAGTTAGAGAGTGTTCACTTTGCCTTGAAACTAATTTAATTCGGTATGCCCGGTGCGGACCAAGAAAACAAGGTACGCATGTGTTTCATTATACCGTAATTCATGATACTCGAGAGAACACGAATGCACTAGTAAGTGCCTTGTTTGCTGCCTTTGCCATCGGGTAGCCCAGCTTCTTATTCATGGAAGTTATCGACGGCCTTACGAAAACTGAAACCGACAACGTGTATTTAGTTGACTTTAGAATCGGGTCTAAATATGACTCACCTCAAACATGATCACAAATCCAAGCCTCAGGGCCAACAGATGCCAGTAGAAACCGGTGAAATGACCTTGACGATCTCTAAACTCCGGATACCTTATTAAGACAAAAAATAAATAAAAAAGTGTATCATTTACACATGCAGCTACCCATATCTTCCGCGTGTTCACCGTCAATATCGGCAGGGCTTACAATTGGAAGGATAGTTTTAAAATAGATAGCGCTTTTACAGCATTTAAAAGGAATACAGCGTTCCAAATAAAGCATGTAAAAGTGGTACCATTTGGTAATAGGAGGTATACTTCTTGCGAAAGTGGTACCTTTTCTGTCCATAATTATGTTATTTGAAAGGTTACGGGGTTGGACCTCAGGGTGGAGACTCCCCCTTCCCCTTTATAAAACTTTGTTGAGCGCCCTCCGCCAAATATCAAAGTGATGAATTTTCTATCAAACCTACCTGCATGGTGTACTGGTGGTATTCGGTGGAGCCCAGGCCAATGAAAAGTTTAGGTAGCCATTCAGGGAATTGTCTGGCGACACAGCAAAACGATACAGCAGTTTGGGCAAGAAAGTTGACGTGAAGGCGATGAGAAAGGCCTGCAGAACGTAGATAATAAAGAAAAAATGTTGAAAAAAAATTCCATACAACAGATTCAAATAGCTCGAGCAAATATCGACCTAAAATAGACCTTGCTCATTTGCCCGGTTGTGTAATGAAACTGCAAACATTAGTTTCTTCACTTTAGTCTTGCTATTTTTTTTTTTACATCATCTCTCTCTTTTTTTCTTTCAATGTTTCTGTGCTGGCAGAGGTCTCTCACCGCAAGACTCGGGAGAAGGAGAGAAAGGAGAAAGACCTCTGCCAGCCCCGGCTCGTTCTGTCACGTAGCCGCCGACCACATTTGTGGTCCAAAATTACCGGTTTTCAAAACCGGTCTCGTTTAATGTGGAATTTTGACACTGTGCATTGGAAATTCCTGAGCCCACAGTTGATATTGCGTAAATCAGTTCTGTAAGTTATGTCTCACGCGACTAAAACCTTACTGCTTGTCAAGGAAACGCTAGTACATGGATAATAGAAAACTCATCAGTTCTCTCTCTTTCCTCTCCTTCTTCTCTTGCAGTGAGAGACCTCTGCTAGGGGGAAATTCAGCAATCAGATACATTTTTCTCATTGAAAAATTCAACCATAAGGCGGTGTTAGTAGCTTCCCTTCTTTTGAAATGCACGTACATCTAGGATATACCCAAGTGTAATAACGTTGTCTTAAAAATGAGAAAAAAAAGTTAGTTCTAATCAGCCTCCTACATACGTTACTGATGACTGCTATTTTAGCGACGCTGTCCAGGATGTCAAACCAGATTCCGATGTCTTGAGCTCGGTCGGCGATTGGTCGTCTCACTTCACACACAAACTTGTCGGAGTCGATTCGGATCTCGAAGATGTTGTTGGCGAGCGCGAAAAATGGAGCCAGTGGGAATGCAGCCACAAAGATGGTGATGAAACCGAATTGGAGAACTGCGAAGAACAATTTAACATGACAACTTTGAGTACTATCATCAGGAATCTTAAGGTTATCGATAAATACACCAAACAAAATGAAGACTGCAGTACGGCTAGGCCTGAAGGAACACCCTATTCACACAATCAACTCGTCATTATTATCATATGCTTTCGGACCAGACTGAAAAAATTTAGGCAATTTCGTAAATCTGAGAACATCGCTAATACAGGCTGCCTTTGAGGATGTCACATTAGCGCCGGAAGTTTAGCTGTATTTTATTAATGCTAATTTTTCATAAACAGTAATACGAGGGAAACCGAAGAGAAGAAGGAACAGCTATTCGTTTGCAATTCGCCCGAAAAAACTGAGTAAAAAGCAATTGTTGATCTAATGGACATTTTCAGTTCCTCTTACGTCGATAATTGATTATAACCTGAAAATCAAGGGACTGAAATTCGATCGACGAACTTTAAAATCCCTTAAAACCTCAGCTTTATTTCAAAAGCTTAGGCCTGGTCTTGTTAACTTGTGAGAGGAATTTCCTTCAGGCCTTTGATACTGCGTCATTTGTCTACAAGGCTTCAGTGAGTCATCAAGTGCGATATCGACTTTTTTTCTACAAAATACTCGAGAAGCGCCGTGAAGACAAGAGCGAGGAAGGACAGTAATGGGACGTAATCTGCAACATCTAATAGTGAGGTGTATTTTTGTACTCACTCATCTCCAAGTATTCTTGGAATAGTCCTTCATTTTCGACCAGTTCGTAGTCAGCTTCCCAACGCGGTTTATTCTCTTCTTTCTTCGTTCCACGCTTCTTTCTTTTAACCCACTGTTTCAGCATTCTACAGAGGAAAGAATTACGTAAATAAATGATTAGAATAAAACTATATTTTCTTTCACTGCTTGCGTCGTGAGTATGGTGGTGAGAGCGAACAGCTTTTTGTGTCAACAGCCTGAAGAGTCCGGGTTCTCATTTCTTCACAGACTTATCGCGCATCAAGACGGGTCATTTTTCCGAATTTTTTCCAGCTTTTTCTGTCCACGTTTTAGCTTACTGGGTTTCTGCTAACTACCGGATGACAAAGTGAAAATTTTCCAAAGAGCGCCTTGCTCGTCTGTACAATGGAGTGGGATTTGAATTTCGTAAAGCATTCGCCCACTGCAAATGATAGGTATTTCAGAGACTTCCAGAAGCAACGGATAAGCTTAGACATGGTCAAAACAAAGGGAAATGAGTCTTCACTTCTTTAACTACTCACGGAATAACAATCTCCTGAACGTTATTGATTGTCTGTTTTCCAACCATGATGATAACAAGCTGCTGAGCAAGCTCCATCAGACAACCACTGGGTGCGCACTGAAAAAAACAACCAATCACGAGTGAGTATATGGTTCACATGACCTTGAAACCAAAGAAGCGGACTGCCGATTATTGTGTTCTTAACTTTGTGTTGTGCCTGTCTACAGAAACTAGAGTTACCAGAATTCCTTTCGTTGTTTTCTTTGTAATTCCAGAAAGAAACAAAAGCCATAAAGAACTCCACAAGGCAACAAAATTCTGAAGGATTCTGGAAGTTGTCATCAAATGACACACCGAGCAAGTAAGTTTTAATGATTTACCTCTTCTTGTCTGAGTCCAAAAAGTCTTCGGTAATGTCCAGGATAACCAACTAACCTACATATTAAACATAATAGATAATATCTTGAGCAAGATGCCGCTTTAAACATAAAACAACGCCCTTGGAACTATTATAAGAAAGAAACTAGCAAATGAATATAAAAAAGAAAAAAATAGCTATCGCAATTTACTTACTTTCCCTTAAAGAAGGCAATGTAAAAGATGGAGGAGTAAAAGTTCACAAACTGGAACACGAACACTTTGAATGTCAAACTATCTTCGTATTCTGTTTGCGTTCGATGCATTTCTGAAGAGGAAGAAGACGAGCAGATAGGTTTAGATACCATTGGCATGAGTGACCACTAATGGCCATGTAACTAAATAACAATTATAATAATCATAAACTAGAATTGTATTAAACGCAGGTTGAATATTAGTAGACCAGACGAAGTGGAGATCTCGGGCGCTTTCCTTTCAACAAAAATTCCGGTACTGGGGGCAACAATTTTGTAAAATGGAAAAAAACATTTCTGTCCTATCGACCGAAATGACCAGACCGGTCAAAGTGGACCACCTTCAAAACTGGTCCCGAATACTCCGGTCGGACCAAACCGAAGTGGTTTGTTCCAGTTGATGTACCAACCGAAATTCCCGGAATTTTGCGGTTGAATGGAGAGCGCCCCCCTCCCCTCGCCCCTTTTTTAGCTCGTTTTTTGAAATGGTTGTTGTAGCCTGGAGCAGGTCAACCCTCTAAGGGGCTCTTTACATGGAGAAAGGAAGATCCTAGCACCAGGAAGATCCTAGAAGGCGGACCAACTTTACATTGGGTTTACATACAGAAATTTTGGTCCGTATGGTACCCAAATATAGAATGTTTGAGAAGGAATTAAAAATGGCGGGCGGCAGAAACAAACATACAATTTAGGCCCTTCTGCTCTCTTTACTGGTGTTAACAACTACCTTTTAGCAGAATTGTCACAATAATCAGCTCGTGGTAACACCAAACGAAATGGTTGGCCTTTATTGCCGTTATGAGCCACTGAACGACCCGCCGCTATTTTTGTCTTGTTTGTCCGTAGTACTAGGATCTTCCTAGCGAAGGCAGTTTACATGGTGCTAGGATCTTCCTAGTACTAGGATATTCCTACCTGTCAGCTAGGAAGATCCTAGAACTAGGAAGATCCCAGCTCTAGGAACAAGTACAACCCTTTGCATGTAAACTGAATACAGGAAACATATGGTGCTAGGGTGATCCGCCTTCTAGGATCTTCCTCCCTTCATGTAAACAGCCCCTAAGTCCGAAGAGTGACCAAAATCAATTTTCTTCTAACAAGATCAAAAAAATAGTCAAGAGTAAAAGGTCATGAGAATTAATAATATAACCCCATTGGGGAAACTGCTTTAAAGTAATCTTGAAAAAAATTCTCCCACTTACCTAGTACCTCAGCATTCATTTAAATCCTATCTCAAGACCACATCATGGTCGTTAAATATAACCATATTGGCCATGCCACAAGTGGAGGTGATACCGGTTGTTATGAGAATTGATAAAATTATCACATAATGGAAAACACTTTGATCCCTTTTTTTTCTTAATTCTCTCAACTGCTTCTTTAGGAAAATGGCTGGAGATTAGTCTGGAAATATTTTGTGGGGATTTCGGCTTTTCAAGGGTCAAAACTTTTGTATAAGTGTGTGACCATAAAATCTTTATATTTTCAATAACCGAAGAGTGGTATCAGGGTGTTATTGGATGGAAAGAAGTAATCGAAAACTAAAATCATGATTAATACAAATGATTAACAGGTTTTGTCGAGGATGCTCCTTACCCCAGTGGGTCAAAGCCAACGCAACTCTTTCGTAAACCTGCAATGGAAATTACTTTCGGTAAGTTTAATTTAGTTCTTTTCTTTTTCGTCTTTTCTTTTCTTAATTGTAACGGAGTCAATGGAACATTTAATTCCATGGTTTTAACTCATAGATCGTAGTGTTTTGTAATGATTACTTGAGTGGCTAATGAAAAAAGTGAATATTTTCTTTACTCAGTAATTAAGAAAACTTAAAGAAGCACCAAGCCTTGAATACGACACAGCGTTATTCCGTTCTGTTGTGAAAAATGCACCATGAATCCGGTTGCTTAAAATACCTGTAAAAAGCAAGAATCGTTTCTACATCACCAAATAATAAAATTTAGTGCTTTTCTAATACAAGAAATGATCGGAGCCACAGTATGTTAGTAACCTGTTGAAAGTATCGGCCAAAGTTTTGTTTCACTTTTATCTAATCATCTTTATAGTTTACAAACATGCATATATGAAGTAGACACTACAGACCCTGCTGAGTATCATGATAATTGTCAAGTTAACAAATGCGCCCGTGATGTTGGCGATCTGCGGTGCGCGTGCACGAGTTGATGGATTGGCTGACAGTGGACGGTAGATTAACAGCTTGTAGACAATCACTCCCACCATAAACACCAACACTAGCGAAACCTGAAAAACAACGACAACAAATATACAGCTCAGTTTTGAGAAGGCATCCCACAAAAGAGATGTTTTAAGTATTCTCGTCACTTTGGAATCGAGAGGGAAACTGAGCCCAGAAAATTTTTGCGGAGAATTCTGGGACAGGGAAAAAATTGGCCAATAGCTGACCAGCAGGTCCTCAGTAACGATCCCAGAAGCAATTGGGGGGCGCATTTCCGCTCCAGTCCCCCTCTCGTTTTTTAAGTGGCGAAATAAATTTGCTCAAGCACGTACATTCAAGCAAGGTCAAGCATACCCCCATAGTTCAAGGAATTCATTATTCGAAAATTGTAAGTCGTTTCTGTTATCAGATTCATTTCCTCATTCTTGCTGATGTAATTTGCAGTAGTGAATTCAGACACGAAGGGGTTAAAAATTTCTGTCAGCTCCGATTTCTTATTGAACCTGATATAAATGTCTTCATAGGAACTTTATCCGTTCAAAGTGAAAACGGTTTTTCAATCCGACCGAATCTACTCCTCTTTATATGGCATGAATGCAGATTTGAACGAATTATGTACTAGTAGTGGCAATGACTAACGGATTCATTTTTCAAGCAATGTGACATAACGCCTTTCGCAGTATAAGCTGGTATATGCTGAATTAAAACCAACTGGACCGATTGCTTTTAGCATGGGATGCATCTGTCCCGCGTACGGCAGTGTTGATACAGGTTGGTACCCGCTAACCCCTTTTTTTTCCTTACCATAGTGACAACAATAGCTATCCCCGAAAATATTCGTGGTTGCCTCTTTTCATCTGGGAAATGAGGTTCCATTATTCCTGTCACCGGGTTTCGTTCTACTGTTGGCGCTAACGCTGCAAATGTTGGCCGTGGCCGTTCCTACAAAAAGAACCAAATATCTACATCTTAATTTCAACTGAATGGCAATGTTCAAAGGAGGCGTTTATTTTTAAATTATATTTCTGAAATCACTGACAACTGATAAAGGAAATATATTTTAAAATTATATTGAAGCAATTGTGTACAGTTCCAATGTCTCACTTTTTCGCTTAATTAGAATCGCAATACTCTGGATGGTGTAGAATACCTAGTTGTAACAGAAACTCATACGTTATGAGTTGCTAGTTGTACCATAGTTGTTATTTTATTTTATTACAATTTTCGGATTGACCTGCGAGCAAGGAGTCGCAAGAAGTCACGCGAGAGTCACACGTGAAAAGAGGCGCGAGTGAGAAGCCGGCGAGCTTCAACGCTCGCTCGCGCGTTCTCTCGCAGGTCGCTTTGCTTGCCATAATAAGGACCTTAAGATCCTACGACGGCGACGGCGACGGCGACGGCAACGAGAACGTCAAAATAACCAAAACAACAATTTTGCACGTGCATCACGCTTTTTTGTACGTTTCTTTTCCGTCACTGCACGACTACGACGTGAAAATGCCTAATTTCACGTTTAACAGACGAAGTAACACAAGCGACGACGAAATTGAACTTGGATATGGTCGTTAGGGATTCATCTTTAGGAGGGTTAATCTACATTTGACAAAGTTAGTGACTTGTAGTAATCGTGATAAAGATTGAAAGAACGCGAATTCACTTTTTCAGCGACGTTTTTGCTGTCGTCGCCGTCCTCGGATCTTGACGTCCCTAATGGGAGAGCTTACTCGCAGGCTATCCTCGAATAAACTCCATATTCGTCTGATTGGATGCGTCGTTTATTGAGGGCGGCGTTTACAGTTATTTTTTGCTTCCACCTGCGGTGCTTAATCGAGGACGGGGTTTTACTGAATATCAACATACGGTAATTGAATAAAATTAAAATTGTGGTTACCTCTTCCTCCTCGTACTCCAGCACATCCCAGTGATAGGCCAGAGTGACTTCCTTTCTTTTCCAGAACTCCAGGAAAAACACAGCTATAGTGCAACAAACATACTTTATTTCTTACATCTTGGTTGAGCAAAAAGGACTTAAACACAGTGCAGTTTTAAATACCCATCAGTGCAGTTAAATAGATCTAAACAGCATGTAGACATTATCGCACACAATCAGTTCTTACCCCAGAAAGAGACAAAAACTGCAAAGAAGACGGTTGCTGCGTTGTCAAATAAGTAGGAAATCTGCAAAAGACACAGTTGGATAGGAGTATACCTTTTGATAAATACACTATTATTTATTGAATAAACACTATTTCAGGAATGTATGGTTGCGCATTGTATTGTGTTGGATTGCATTGTATTGTACGACATTGTAATGTATTGTATAACATTGCATTATGATGTATTTTGTTGGATTGCTTTGCATTTTATTGCATTAAATTGCTTTGCATTGTATTGTATTGTATCACCGGTTTTGCACTGCATTGCATTGTTTTTTATTGTATTGTATCGTACTTCATTGTTGTTTTGTATTGTATTTGCAGATCATAAGCAACAGAAGTTAATTGGCTACCTTTCCAAGCATACAAGAGTCGTGTAGATCGACAAAGTGACAGCCAAGGGATTCGTCACACAATGGACACATTTTATAGGTTAGTGGAGGACTTTCGCACACGTCAATACTGAAAGGAAAAGATGATTTCAACTTAGAACCCGTTTATATGGAGAAAAGGTGTCCTGGGGAAAAAAGGCCACCCTCCCAGCCGAGCCATCTTTAGCGAGCGTTAATATATGGGGAAATTTTGACCCCTTTGCCTGTCAAGAGCGCTTGCACATGCTCTAATTGTGTTGCCTTCATCGAGTCGAGCAAAAGTGTCAAAATGGACAAAAGGCGGGTCACCCTTCTAGCTGATCCAACGCATGTGACTGGTTCGCTAGGTTTTGAGAGGAAATGTAGGCAAAGTTGGCTGGCCCAGTTTAGCTCGGGAATATCAAATAAAGGAATTGACCAATGGAACAAGGATTAAAATCAAAATAAGGGTTGTGAAATGGTGGATGATTATAACAAAACAGATGGATGAAGAAATGAATAAGTCAATAAACGAACAAATCAGCTGCGACAGAGAAATGTAAAAAGAATCGACACAAATCAAACATGAACGAACGAACGATTAAGGGAAACAAAAGGAAAAAATGCTCTTAGGGTAGAATGGATAAAGGAGAAATCATCAACAACAAAATCAACAATTATTTTAACAAACAAGCTTAAAACATTTCACGAATATAAGTTGAAAGCATCTTACGCAGGTCTGTTATCAGGTCCATTCATTGTGATTATGCCGTACAAGAAAACCAACAGCCCAACAAATGATGGCATTAGAAGCCAGGCAGTGTATTGACCTAAATACAGATACCCAGGAAAAAGAAATTGATAAGATGCAACGTTTAAGGTCTCTCATATATTAAACAATTATTGGATGTAATATTCGAAATAATCAAGGTTGACCCGGCATTGTTTTGAAGAAAATAGCGACAAACACGCTGTCACAAGCAACCTGAATTGATACTGTTAATGGAAATCATGCATTGCGCGCGCAACCTACAGATTAGTCAGTTATCTGGTACAGTGGAACCCCGATATAACGATATGCCAAGGGAGCAGCGGAATTAGATCGTTATATCGAGGTATCGTTATATCGAGACTCCCGATATAACGATATTGCCGTAAAATAACCGAAAATATCGTCATATCGGGATAAAATGAACATGTACTTTTTTTACTACATATTGTTTAATTAAACTTGTAATGAGTATCAAATGACTAACAGATGTAGCTTTTCAAGCACGCAGCAATGTCCTTAAACAATTTGCAAAGCATTACACAACAGAGTCTGTGGTATGAAACAAAACAAAACTTAAACATTTGAAGTTGCGACTGTAATCGTCTTTACTTTTCGCTGTTTGCGTGTTCATTGTTTTTCTTTTTTAACAGACACTTGTTCATTAATTAAAGTACTCTTCAAGTTTGGTTTGCCTTAGCCTGTGCTAGGTTTGCCTCATTTGTTTTATTTGAAATCTTGAAAACGCATCCTCCATCGCTGAAAGAGAGGAAAGGAATTCTCTCTCTCGTTTGCCCGAATCATCCAACGTAATAATAAAATCTCTAATTGCTTACTTTTTGTCACAAGAAGGAGTCAAAAATACTAAAACTGAAAGAACTACTACATGACGAGGAGGATAAAGAGGCATCGTAAACTGAAAGCTGTTGACAGAAACGTTGCAGATTACTGTACTCGATTACTGTAATGTTATTGTATTAAATTCAAGGTTTTGTTTAAATTGTATCTGTGTACTGAAACTGTAATATATAGATTTAGCCAGGGCTAAAAGCGAGGCTCCCATTAGTAAATTTATAATTTAAATTAAACAATAAACTTGTATTCGAATTCCACAATTCAGTTAACTTTAGAGCACATTTATGTGACTTTTGAGGGAAAGGCTACCTGATTTTAGAGAAAAATAATTTGCAAACAGCCCAAGAGTGAACCAAATCTTACATCGAGTTGATAGCCTCATATGTACACTCAAAAACTGGTAATCATCTTTTATCACATTTAAGAGCCGTAATGGCTATTGATCACCGTAGATCAATTAGGCTTAGAAAAAAAACCAGGCCAACGTTTTGGCGTTCGACAAGTTTACTTTGCAAAATCTTGCCAACAAATCTGGGTGCGTGTAAACCAACCTTTTATACCATGGACAGAAAGCAGTATTTCACAATACAAATTGCTCTCATTCAATATTCATAAACTGTTAAAAAAATTTTCCAAAATCACCTATACGGCCATCCGGTTCTCACTTTTGTAGTGCGAGCTGTAGCGAGTGTTTGAATGAACATTAACAGAGTTACGCTCCAAGATAATAAAGAATTTATCATGTTTATTTTTTATTTGATGGTTTAACGCGCGGCATTTTGAGAACTCCTGCAAGCGATGTTCACTGAACGACTGAAAACAATCGGCACAGCGATTAAAATTGCAAGAGAGACTGCTAACAATCAATAAAAGAAATATAATTCGGTGAAACATAAACAGAGACAACAATTTTCATTCAGGAAGACAAGTATTACAGTGTCCCTAAATATCCTGAATCTTCAAGCTTTAAGCTTAGTTTGCTGAAGTTTTAAGCCACCTTCCCGGTGTTTGTTTTTTCAAAGACGAACTCGAGGCAAGAAAATCGCTCAAAGCTTTCTTTTCCGGCTAGAATTACAACTAAAGATTCTTTGGAACATTTTCTTTCTATTTGCGGTGAGAAACTGCCTAAAGGCTTTTTAAAGTTCTGTAAGATTATATCAAACCAGATACTCGGTGAGATCGTTGTCTCAAATCTTACAAACGCGCATAAACTAAATTCCCGCATAAACTACGCTCCACTTCATTAAATTAGATACAAAAAAACAAACATGAAATACAATAATTTCTCTGGCTTACCATTCGAGATGCAGCTCCTGAAAGTTATCAGGTAAAGCCAGTATCGCTTCAGACTTTGCAATCCTCTTACGCATCAAGCAAGGTGAAAACGAAAACGATGCCATCCGAAATCGGATTTCCGACTTTGACAAGCGACGTTTTCTCAACCAAAAACCCAATAAACAAACTAGCCATGAGTAACAGAAGACTCCTGATAGCAGCTGAATTTCATTTTGTACATCCAGTGGAAAAAGACAGTTAAAAACATCACAAGTTGACACAAAACTCTGTCAGCTTCAGCTGTTAAAGTAAACAAGATTCAAGATGCTGCATAAATTTTGCGCATGAACTCACCTGTCAAATTTTGACCAATCAGAGCATAAAAATTGGACGTAGAGCGTGACCAACGCGTGACCATTGTGAGAAAAAACAAAAGCAACTGTCTTCCCTGCCTGTAACAGCTGGCTGAATTTTCACGTCCGAGGTCAGTTTGCAATCAAAATTTTAATTGTGCAGCACATAAACACAACATATTTCATATGAATTAAGAAAAAAAATTGAACTTGAGCCTACGATCACTTGAAAACTAGTTTACTTGTCAGCGGATAACTTCAAAAAATACTTGACCTCGACGGGTCAACACCTGAGCCCGCGATACGGTCAAGTGATACTGGTCAGCGGGTACTCTGTTTTGACAGCTGTCAATTGATCAAAACATTGATGTCCAATATGTGTGCATTATCAGTTTTCCTGTGCTCCCAAACTAGTAAAAGTATGAGATTGAACGTTGTTCGCGATCTAGTAAAACAGTTGACTGGTCAGCGGACAGCTTCCAAATAAATCACGTCACCTCGATGAGTTGACACATGAGCCCGCGATATGGTCATGGGATACTGGTCAGTGGCTATCCTGTTTGGACAGCTGTCAATTGACCATATTGTTAATGTCCTATATTAAAGATGTGGACTTGCCAAGACACGCCTGAGACACCCCTCCCTTCCTTTTGATAGTCTCCCCTACCCCACCCATACAATCTGTAGACGCGTACGTACGTACGAACGTACGCTCGGTCAATCACGTGACAACCAAACGAAAAGAGGTTGACCATATTCCATGGGTATGGGGCTCTGTCCCACGCGCGCTTCGCGCGCGCGGGAGCCCCGCTAATATCGTTATATCGGGGAAGATTTGACGCTCGGTGCGCTAAAAGCTCATCGTTATATCGGGAATATCGTTATATCGAAGATCGTTATATCGGGGTTCTGTCCCATACATTTTACAGTAACTTTTGCCGGGACATAGCATATTTATCGTTATACCGGGAATATCGTTATATCGAAGATCGTTATATCGGGGTTCTGTCCCATACATTTTACAGTAACTTTTGCCGGGACATAGCATATTTATCGTTATACCGGGGATATCGTTATATCGAGGATCGTTGTATCGGGGTTCCACTGTAGCAGATAACTAATTAGTCTGTAGGTTGCGCCGATTTCCAGAATTAGCTGTACATAGGCTCTTAGCTAATAAAAAGACAGATAGTGAGTACAATCTATAATAAATAGGATAGTACATGTCCTTGTCTAGTCCGTGAATACAGCCGTTTCTCCTCGCTCCCCGCCGGGGGAGATGTTTTACAGGAGAGACGTCTGCGATTCGGCCCTAAACATTCCATACTGAATGCGTGGATTTGTTTAGAATCTGGTCAACGAGAGCTGATTCGTAGTTATTTTTCATTAATGATAAGCACAAGGTAAAAAAGTCACAACAATCAAATGTAAACGCCATAAACTTACTAAAAACAGTCATTATTCGTGAAATGTGTTCTTCTTTTTAATAAGCATTTTTTAACATCTAAAAACATTCTTTAGTTCTAATAAATTTCCATAGATGTTGGCTCTTTTGACCTTCACCGCATTCCGCTTTTGAGCCCTCAGTGCCGAAGCATACAGTATGAAACGAGATTAAGGCTTGAGTCGTCTTGGGTGTACAAATGCAAATACAGAAATACAAATCACTGTATTTAGTCACCCCAGGTAAGCCTTGAGTTTATGCCCTGTTCACAGATATGCTAGAACAGTCTATTTAGAAGAGAAAATATTTTGAAGCAACTACTATACCTAGCCAAGCGAAATAAATTCCAATTTTTTCTCCGAAGTAATCTCTGAAATGAAAGGGAGAAAAAATAGTTATTTGACGTTGCTGCCATTCTTACGAGTTGTATAGATGCATACTCGGCTCTTACATTAACTGGTAAACAAGGGCTTTGACTGAGATTCCTCGTACATGTTTTAAAGAAAGTGTTTTTATAAGAGGAAGCTAAATTTTTATAACCTCTTGGCCAGTCAAAACCTCGAGAATTTTTTATTTATTTATTTTTTTTTTACCAGAGAAAACAACCAAATTATGAAGCAAATTTCAACCAATCAGAAGCACCGTCCAGATCTGGGTGCTAACACCTTATTAGTATGGCGCTCGCTTTTCAGTCGTCATTGTGCGGGAAGGTTAGTGGTGGTGTTGCGATATGTCGGCTGCTAACTAACCTGATGTGATCCAGAGGCTGGTATTTGAGCCACTTTCCCCACCGAGCCCAGTATTCTTTAAGAATCTGTCGTTTGTTGAGTTTGAGTTCCTCTGGACCATCCGGTCCTTCCTTCCATTCCTTTGGTAATTCAGCTGGACCCTGTAGGTGAGCAAGTTTTTAATCATTAGGGAGCTTCAGCAATGAAGATGGCGACGTCAACAAGACGGGCAAAAAGCAGTTGGTTTAGTTTAGCAAAACAACACCTTTGCACTTGCATCACGATTTTTTGTACAATTCTTTGCCGTCACTGCACGACTACGACGTGAAAATACGTAATTTCACGTTTTGTGGAGACGTGAACACAAGACAACGACTTTCTCCTTCTTTTCCTGACCTTCGATTCAGAGTTTTAGAATGCAACTCCAGAAATAGTTGCCGGCAATGTTTGGCGAATTGAACGAGATGGAACAAGTGCGATGAAGTTTAAAGCATTGCGAATTCACTGTTTAAGTGACGTTTTCGTTGCCGTCGCCGTTGTTGTTGCTTAAGCTCCCTTAATATTTCCAATTACGCGTCTTTATACGCCATAGAACTTAACGTTAACAAAGAATTTACTTGTGAATGGCAAAATGTACAGCTTTGTGGCAAACAATTGTCTCCCAACTGTTACATCAAACTTTGAAAAACTGTTATGCTAACATAAACCACAATTGCAATCCGTTTTAATCTTCTTCCAGCTTGTCCATCTGTGGCTTGATTCGTATGTGTTTGTACTTTTTTTTTAAATGTTCTGAGAGGATATTTTTATGTTTCACGGAATTTATTTGCAGTTTCCACTGTATGAATTTTAATGATTCCTTTAATATCATCGAAACATAAATATATGTATAAATATGTCACTTTAAAACTCGGGAGAGAAAAATGTCTGAGTTCTCAGCGGGAATCGAACCCATGACCTTCCAGAATACCGGCTAGAATTCTCCAATCACTGAGATTTATTGAAGGGGCAATCAATCAGATGTTAAACCCACCACATGAAGAGGGTAGCCAGCCTTGAACACACCTTCCTCGACAAGGCGATTAATTCCTAATAAAAAATAAAACATTAACAAAACGCTATTAACCAACCTATATTGCTTTGCCTGCAATAATCACCCCCCAAAAGTATTATGGGTAGTGCTCCATGATAAAATTTAAATTCGCTTAATAGCTTCTTAGGAGCAGCTTTCTTTGTATCGCTAAAGGCAGGTAACGTCAGCACAGAATTGACCTAAAACAGCAAAATCCTCGTAACACAGCACCGTTGGCCGGCTATGAAGAATTAGCCAATTAGAAGCGGCGAAATATTTTGAATGAATATGACCATACCAATTTCTCCTCTCTGCCGTTTGCCATAGGGAGCCGTTTCCATAATTTCATACACCTAAAAGAAGAAAGTCATGTTATTCTTGGCAACTATCCTTTAAATCGTTTATGGAACTTAGGCGTTTTAGAAACTGGAAGCGGTGAGATCCGAGCACCAGATATCCATGCCAACCATTTGAAAGGCAAAAAGAAAGAGAGTTAGGTGCAGCATCAATGGAGGGCAGCATTATAATAGAACGTAAGGGTTATAAACCTACATCTTGCCTAATATCTTAGTTTACATTGACTGATTGTTAATTGAAGAGATTCATTCATTGTGCTGGTGGACCAGGGTAGCCATTTTTACAGCAATGTCATATAAATTACCCCACAGGAGGCTGCTTCTTCACGTGAAACTTATGTTTAGTTTGGCGATGCTGTTCTCCTGCTTTATTTCTGTAGTATTTTGATGGAATCAAGGTGTATTTTTGACCTTAATAACATGACCCGCTTAATGCAGACACCCCGTTAATACGGTCACTTTCTATGGCCCCTTTGTAGAGTTTTAGGTTTTTACATTTCCTTCCGTTGCACCTACATGTATCGTGTTCGTATTTGTATCACTATCAAATGATAATTTTGTCTTTTACTTCACTACATTCGCACATACGACGTCTAAAACCCGTTCCCAGGAGACCATGACACTACATCCTTGAGTGTCCGAATTAACGAGGTTTGACTGTCATTAAAGCTAGTTGAAGCTACACAGAAAGGAGAGAAGTTAAAACAAGGATGTGATGACCCCGAGGATCGCTTTCGTGACTTTGCGCACCCACCGAGGGCCGCGCACTAACCAAATGTGCAATCCTTGCTCCTACAACAACTTACCACTCTTGTCCTTTCTGTTTCTGTAAAGTATGTGTCTGGATCTTCATGACCGATAAACCTGCAAATTAAAATTAAAAACGTTACTTAAAAGAAGAGCAATAAACTGTACTAGCAATGCATTTTACTTTACGTGAAAAGTCATTCGCCTTAAAAGATGGCTTCTTTATTTCTAAGTATTTGTTGCAACGGAGAATCATATTTATAAAAAGGCTTGATCTTGAGTTACATTTGGGTATTTTCTAAGTAATTGTCTATCACTACATGCATGTGACGAGTCTATAACTCTCAGACAGCTTTTTCAACTTTCTATGAACAAATCTTACTTGTTAAGTTTGTTGGCTTGAAATGTACAAGTGAAGTAGTCATTTGGCTGTCCAGGCACATCATCTTTGAAGATATTTGGCAAGTGAAGCTTTTGCAAGATTCTGTCTGACCAATTTATTTTTTGAGTAGTGCGAAGCTAAGACAAAGATAAAAAAAAAAAGAACATCACTGATTTAAGCCCTGACCACACTAATGCGTTTTCGTTGCCATCGAAAACGCATCGATCGATTCGCGTCCACACTACAGTTTGGATGCGTTTTTGACAGTCCACTCTAAAACGTTCGAAAATGATAGAAATGTACGTTGCAAAGAGACTACCAACCTCGAGAGGGGCTCTGAAGTTTAATTCTTCTGCATAAAACAGCAAAACTTCCCAAGGAGCATGGCATTTGATGAAATGCAACTTGACTTTTTTGTCTTGAGTCACCTCCTGTCAATTTCAAATGAATCCTTTAAAGATAAGTTCAAATATCTATTAAGGCTGGTTTTCACTAGCGACGGAATCGGAGTCGGAGTCGTAATCAGAAGCGTAGAGATTATGATCTAGTGAAAACAGCGTTCCGATTCCGCTTACGTTCCGCTTATGATCTAGTGAAAACCAGATTGTCAGAGTCGGAAGCAGAAGCAGAAGAACCAACCCAATCACAAAGCGTGGGAAGGTGCATTGTGATTGGTTTATCCTTCCGCTTCTGCTTCCGACTTCGACAATCTGGTTTTCTCTAGATCATAAGCGGAACGTAAGCGACGGAGTCGTAAGCGGAGTCGGAAGAAACGGAAACGTTCTGATTCTTCTGACTCCGATTCCGTCGCGCTTATTTATGACTCCGCTTACGACTCCGATTTTTGATGTTCACTATGTCATAAGCGCTCTTATGACTCCGACTCCGTCGCTGGTGAAAACCAGCCTTTAGGAATACATTTACCTTTTGAATAGAGCACTATATCAAGTGACAAACTGGCCTCACATAAACCTTAAACGCCAATTTTCTTGAAAAGAGAATGGACAGGATGACTGATAACTAGAATTTTTTTTTCCTCTAGCAGCCATGTTAAAACTTAGTTACGCTTCCTCTGGATGGTAAATATAAAGATTACCAGTAACTAATCTCCGATTATCATTCGACGCAATTTTTCCTCCCATTTCATTGGCCGAGAGCCCACCACGTGTCCTGCAAATAACCGCCTACAAATAATGGTCTGTTCATGCGCAATGTCGTCCAGCCGTGTTTGGCTGCAAATCGCGAAATTTTGCCCAGTCTCGTCCTCATCCTCGTCTCAGCCTTTGATCATTTTTATGTTAAAAGGTGCTATAGGAAATTTATAAATTATTAAATTATTATTATTATTGATTGTTAAATATTGAAAGGGAATATAGTAGTAGCCATCCGCTTCTTAGAATACGTTTTGGTGTTTTAAGAAACATTTTTTCTATGGTACAATTCTTGCCTCTTCAAATTCCAGCTGTGATTTAGCTAAGTTTCCCAGGAATTTCTGTCGATATTCCAGATGCTTAGGCGGAGGAGCTTTCTCTCCTTCTTCATAGACAAGCACAAAGTCTGCGAAGGAAATTTTTTAAAAGTTATTTTCTAACAGTAGAACAGTAAAGAACACGACTTTCAGTGTATAAAGCCTAAATATATTCAAAAAAACTCCTCGTGTCAAGATTTAAAGTTAGTTAGTCGATGTCTGTTCCTTGTCAAGCCCTTGGTTACTGCGTTTTCTCATTGACTGACAAGGAACTCCTATGGCGCTTACTAGAAGTCAGAACAGCTCAGCCAGACCGTACATATTATATTGTTTCACGAGTTTAGCAAAATCACTCGAATGGGTACATAGCATGAAGAGGTTCTTATGACAGAATTCTGTTGCATCTTTAACTTTTCAAATGACGAAATATTGGTCAGTATCTAGCTTACCGATTCGTCTCCTGCCATCCTTAAAGAAGCAGCCTCTCTCTCCGCTCATATCTTCATCATTGTCAAAATTCTATTGGGAAATAAACGTAACTTCTTAGTCAGAGATGAAAAACGTAGATGCACAGTACATTTCTTTTTCAACATATAACTTGTGTAAACGTGTAATTTGTATAATATGATTTAAACTAAACCACTTTGTACAGCTAGCACTCTCTTTTAGACAGAGTAAAGCGGTGAAGTGTATGATCTACACAGTATGGGTGATTGCTTCACTTAATTTGCGCGTGACTAGGGAATAAGTTGCATTGCAGAGATTTTCTGCTACCATGTGTCTGTCGTGTCTAGGGAAACATTGTACTCTAAAATTGCATTCCCGAAAATGTACTAGTCCAAGATAAAAACCCTAATTTAAGATAAAACCCCAACTGAAATTGAATACTTTTTGTAGTTATTGCATTGTAAAAGCTATTAATTTTGTAACAATGTAACTTAACTTATCTTATCTTATCCCTATATTGATAGTGTTTTACTATGCTACGCGCGCAACCGTGAACACCAGACAAAACGTTTGACATACTTTTGACAAGTTGGGATGACTGATGTCTGGCAAGTGGCCAATCACAGCGGAGAAAATCTTGTAACAGGGCGGAGCCGAACGACAAGTTGATCCCGGCGCTACCAAAGAGAGCGTTTTCAGTAAACAGCATGGCGGCTTATCAGGTGAACGTGAAGTACGGAGAAGAAAGGTTTTGCACTTTCTTAATCAAGGATATCACTTTCGCGAAGCTTATGCAGCAGATAAAACGCAACTGTTCGCCACTCGCGTACTTACCCGCTTCAAACATTCGTGTACGTTATCGCGACGAAGACGGTGATATGATCAGTTTATGGGAAGATTCAAGTGGTTTTTCTTTTGGAGAAATGCTGAGGAGTACCAAAGAAGTAAAAGAACGGGATTATAAGAAAATATTTCTACAAGCAAGTGAAATAGATTCACCGCTACCCAGTAAAATAAGACGAACCGACCTGGGAATGCCGAGTTCGGAAGCTGACAACGAGTCGCTGCAACCGAAGCATTTGTCTTTTACACCAGAAGCCGCGCGTCCCGCGGCAACAACAGGCAAACGCGCTCAAAAAAGTCCTTTGGACTTCCAGCGACAAGAAATTGAAGAAAATGTGTAGATTTTGAAAGTACAAGTTGCTAGCGCCAAAGAAGAACGGGAGAAATTGAACTGTGAATCCAGGCACTTTCATTCTCTAAGTTAAATTCGAGGCCGGCTGTGTAACAACTGTCATTGCTGTGGGCATACAAAAGTTAAGTGTTCAAAAGCTCCTTGCACGGACATTAACGCATGTAAAATAGAGGAAAAGCACCCCGAGCACAAAGCTAAAATTAGCCAACTTCAGCGGGAAATAAGATCTCTTGAAACCAAGGCCCAAGAAGAGGAAGCCCACCTCAAAGGTTTTACAGCTGCACAATCGTCGTTTTTTTGTGTAATGAGACCTAGAACCAAGTTGAATATTCAAACAGTAGTCGGTTGGACAGAGATCTTATAATTTTACAAAGAGCGATAAAAGAGGTTCCCGATTGGCCCGAAGATGAAGATTGGAGACTTCCGCTGATTATAGAACAGTACGAGAACTCGAATGTAAACTTTTATTTGAACGAATGAACTAGTACTCCAAAATTTCAGCCCGGAAAAAGGCTCCCGAAAATTCTAGGTGACCTTTTTTGGGTAAAAATCCGTTAAAAATGGGCAATTATACCATTTTCTAGATGTTCGAAAATCCTAGGAGAGGCAGGCAAGCAAGAAATTTTACAACAAATGTTCCGAAAATTCTAGATCTCAAATCGTCTTCCGAACAGATATTTTCCGAAAATTGACGTTGGATGCCCCTGATTTTCAATCATGTTAATTTGTTGGTTATAAGACGTTTTATTAATCTCGGTCTCATATAGCGTTGAGACTGTAAGAGTCATTTGTTCCATTTCTGATGTTTTTTTCACTAAGAAATTAGTCGCGATTAGTTTGAGTTATGTACTGTCTGCCCTGCTTCAGCGGTCTGTTCAACAATGCCAACATTCAGCAGTGTTCAAAAAATATAGAATTCGTTAAAAATATGTAAGTTGTGTTCGAAGGCATTACGTAGGTTTTTTAACGTCAGTTTTCTGGACTTTATAATTACCAAGTCCTAACTTAAAAATATCCACAGTGCTTGAAATACGCATAGGAGTTATCCGCGGTGATGTTGAGGATCGCCTGTGCTATTGCGATTTTTGTTTCATTGACAGCTAGCATGTTGTGGCGACGTAAAAAGGCTTTTATTGCATTAAAGCAATATTCGCAAGTATTAAAATGCGATGAGTAAGGTGGCTGAAATAGTAGTCTTACACCGCAATCCGGTAACATGGCGCTGAGCACTGGTTCAAAACGATGGCCGTGGTGAAAGCCACCATTATCCATGATCACGCAATCTCCGCGCTCAAGCACTGCACTTCCATCAGCTCGCTGCTCTTGAGAAACTTCGTCAAAGAAGTTAAGCATTTCTAACGCATTAGACGGGCGTTCCAGTATATTATAAAAGTCCACGCCACAAAATGAGTGCAACAGATTTATAGTAAAATTTTCATTAGACGCGTAACGCTGTATTTAAAGAGCGAGCTCTCCGAGTGGAGCACTCCCATATTTTCTGTATCCTGTAGTTTTGATCGTGGGTTGATGTCAGCTATGTCGGTGAGAAAATCATCAATTGCCGCTGTCGTCTCAGGGTTTGTGGATTCAAGTGGAATGGCAGTAATTTTCTTTCTTGTCATCATAAGATCTTTGCGGATGACTTTATTGATCTGTGATACGCTAGGTAAATAAGCGCGATGGACAACACCATCCAATAAAAGTCTCTGTTGTATTTCGCTCACATAAATGCTTGGTTTTCTTACTTTCTGTGCTTCTATATATTTTAAGGCTGCTTCATCAATGTTTGGCTCGGGATAGTTAACTCTTGCGGCTCTAAGGGATGTATCTTGTTCATTGTAACGATTTATCACTTTCTGCACAAAGCCAGGACTCGAACGAAGTTTCCGTGCGATTTGGCAGTGACCGAATCCATCATGATAAAGGTCCAATACTCGTTCCCTTTGCATCTCAGGAAGAGGTCTGCCATTATCAAAATATCCACCGTACCTATTAAATCTCAGTTGAACATTAGCGGGTGTAAAATAGTAAACATATCTTTTGTTAAGAGACACTTGTCGTAATGGTTTCATCTATTTATAGCAAAGGCAAAAAATGGTAAAAACTCTACTTACAAACATTTGTAACCCGACCGTGTAGCATTCTAGAAATTTTAAGAGCCTTCCTTGATCAGTATTATAGTAATTACAAAGTTTATATTATTTCACAAAAGGTGAACTAAAAGAAAAACGACAGAGTAAGTCAATTGCTTTCCCGCCAATATCACGCTGGTCATCAAACTTGTCAAAAATATGTCAAAAAATGTCAAAAGTTTTGTCTGGTGTTCACGGTAGCGCGCGTAGCACAGTAAACATGTACATTTTTAGGTACGATATGATTAAAAACTTTTTCTCAAACTAAACCTATTCTAACATCAAATAATTTAAAATTCATATTAGTATTATTTCATAGTGCTATTTCTAGTTTCAAAAGTTCAATGTTATTTTAGTGGTCCCAAAAGGCTAAATACCTGAATTCTCAAATCAGGATTCAAATAAAGTTCATGCATTCAATAATTTTATATTACTTTAAAATTTTTGCTGCTATTCTCTTTAAAAAGCATTTCCATCGTTGTCAGTGATTATTATTTTAATTTTTATTTACACAGAATCTGGATATCAATATAAACAATAGTTGTACTGAGTTTAATTTCAATCTAATTGCCTTTGCTTAATGACATAAATATATTTACGTGCCGACAAGCGTGTCCAATAGAGTTATTTTCGGTAAGAATATGAAATGATTAATAAAAATAATCAGTAACCATTTTCCGAAAATTGAAGATAGTTTTGTTGTTAAGATATTGATGACAATGTCAACGACGACGATTATGACGATGATTATAACGATATTGAATACAACGTGAAATGCTAAATATTTTGGCTTTTTGCTATCAATTTTAAATCTAAGAAATGCAGATTTTTGGTCAAAAGTAGAGTTTGATTTTACGTGACTTACGTCATCATCGAGTACGGATAAGGTCATGGACGGTAAAAGTTTAGATAACTGGGTGGAAGATGATATATAGTTTTTCTTACATCTTAGTAGTATCCAGGATGCAAGAAACGCGGTAAATAACGTAAATTGAAGAAATCCAATGGTGCATTCTACATGTTCTCACTAAAGCTTCTCGAATGTAAATATCACTTGTCTGTCTCTACCTCACTTTCATTGAAATCGCTCATAAAATTTCACTCTTTCAAATTTTTCAGGTAATTCACAAGGATTTTTGACTTTGAAAAATGAGCTGCCTTTGCTTTATCGAATGATTAACCCTTTCCTTACTAACATCAATATTTCTTAAGTTTAGAAGCATGCTTTAGATTTTTATCAAAGAAGAGAACCTTGTAAATTCCGTTGTAAGCTGGATCAAAAGTATTATAAGAAGCCATTTCCTAGAAAGAGATCAGAAGAAAAAGAAGAGAATTAAAATTCAGGACTCTGCAATTTTTTACAAAAATACAAAAACATCAGAATAAAGTATTTTCACATGACGTCACGTCCAGGATATTGTCATCTCTCAAAGCAAGGAAAAGGCGGCCATGTTGGTGACCCAATAAAATCCCGTATGAGCTGAACCTTTTTCTTACGTAAAAATTTGCTGTTTTTCCAATAAATTTGCAAAGCTGCCGGCCACGTGAGTGAAAACGCTTTATAGAGTGTTTTCACATGACGTCACGGCGGCCATATTGGTAGCCCAATTAAAACAATGAAACGGCGGCCATGTTGGTGTCCCAAACCACTCATGTAGGGGTTGAACTCCTTTCTTATGCAAACGTTTTCTTTTGTTCCAATAAATTTGCATAGATGCCAGCCATGTGAGTGAAAACGCTTTATAGTTAGTCAAAGAATTCATGGCTCAAGCACAGAGTTGGTGGCCATTGAAAGGAGAGATAAGGAAAAGGGTAGATCGGAAAGAATTCCAGTTGTTTCATTTTTTTCCAAGCTCTTTAGAGTAGTGAAACTCTGACTACATTGCAGAAAATGTTTGTTTACAATACACTGCAACTAGCGTGCACTCGCCATGTAGTTTAAATAAAAGGTATATTGAGATATGTCAGGGATTTTAAGCAGTAATTTATTTCTCTAATAATCTTCAAAAACTTATAGCAATAGTCATAGTCATGCGGCGCAAACAGACATGTTCCATTACAACTCCAATTCTACACAAAAGCAGTTTAAATTTGAAAATGACGTACTGTATGTTCCGCTTTTTTTATATTGCATTAAGACAAGGAAAAGTATCCACTTCATAAACAATGGCAAAAAAAGCAGCAACAGCGAACAAACGAAAAACGAAGCAAACCCTAACAATAATTATATTGTGCAAACCTCATGGACTTTTCTGCGTTTTATTTATCGCGTATGTAGATTATGCCAATCCTTTCAAAGTCAGCAAACTGTCACTAAAGGTACATAATTTAACTTTTATGTTACAAAAGTACTTATAGACAGTAGATGAAAAATCGTATTTAAACAGATATTCAATTAAAATGATCTGCTGTGGCATTAATTAATAATGTATGATTTGCATGATCTGCTTGGGCGTTTACAACGGTGTGTCTTCGTCCATACTGATGTTCAGCTCATATTTCATCTTGTACTTAAAATCATTGGCGTTACTGTTGATATTGTTGTATTCCTAGACTTTTCACTCAACTAAAAAGAGACTGGTATGATAGCATGCCGGAGAGTGGTGACACAAATATATTTGAAAAGTGCATGTGATTTCGAAGTTTCTTCATTTCGTATTACGTCATTCGTTATGATGAGTGACATGGGACCAATTTGTTAACGTAATGCTTTCTCGTGGTAAAAACAAAACTCACCGAAACAAAATTGCGTGCATACCGAAAATAATCAAGTCACATATAAAGATATATCTCATGGTATCTACTCCAAAACATTGTAAAATATTGTGTCTTTTATACACAAATGTACGTAGAAAGGTTGTTCTTCTAGTCAGTTTGTGTGAAAATTGGATAGTCATAGATTATAATCACATTGCCGCCGTAGTGTCGAATTTGTCAATTCCTTGCAACACAACAAGACAAAAAGAAATCAATTAGACCATAATAAGATGTTAATAATATATGGTGGTATATCATAGTGATGCTAGAAATAACACTAATCTACCCAATAATCTAATTCAGAACGAAAGTACAACTGTAATGCTATTGCTATTTCTAACTATAACATTGCTAAATCGCCTCACTCGATTTGCATACATTTGTGGGATACTAAATAGAGGCATCAAATGCCTCTACCTCTGGCACATTGAGAGCTCTTACAGCTCGGCGGGAAAGTCCCCTTGCTCTGGAACCCACTGAAGATATCCCTGTGTCATTAGTTTTCTACTCAATACGTTATAATGTATTCTGTTACCGTATTAAAAAACAGCGTGGAAGAATACTTTTACAAGCGAATGGTAAATGAGGTCAGATTTGAAGAACGGCATGAGGGAAGTGCATAGGGTTGCACAAAATTGCCCTAAGAACTATTTTCGAAGTTATTTTTTTGTTATGTTCCCACTATAACGTGGTTTGATCATGCTCGTAATACCGGCGACAACATTGGCCACTTGCCAATAGTAACACTGACGATCTAACTAAGAACCCACTCTAACCATGGGCATCAAAGGGCATCAAAGGAGGCACTACTTAAGATTTAATACGATAGCTATAGGGGTTGATATAATTGGTAATTATATCATGATGATTGTAGTATTATGACTCTACAAAAAAAGATAACGGAGTTATTAACTGAGCTATCTGTCAAGACATAAATGCAATTGTTGTACAGGCCAAATATTTGTTTGTCTTTTTCGCGCTCTGGAATTTACAATGAGACCAAGGGCACCATGTGATTAACAGAAATTCACAGGTATCTTATTAAGCAGTTTTCATTTAATATTTGAAATATTTTCCCTGTTCAAAAACAAACTCACACTGCAATTCGCGTTTGTTGTGTTGGTAAACATGACAAATTTCGAAGTTTGATACCAAAGCTCCATTGTGTTGTTTATCTAATTTATAATCAGATTAAACCTAATTTCTAGACTATTAAGTTCGAAAGCTCGTCCGTCTTCCAATGAAGTTTATGTCTATCTTGATTTAGCTTCGGTTTATGATTCCGTTGAATTGTATGTCACAGTATGTCGCAATCTTTTTTTTCCCTAAGAGACAAACATCCTTCATAACAAATAACACGGAAGTAGGGGAATTGATATTTGAATTGATTTTTTGTAACTGCGCCATCTTGACTGACATACTGGTCAAGAAGCGGAATCACACTGTCAATATCATCTACAGATACCTGCTCTCCCTCATTATTCTTTGGCTCAGCCTGGTCTTCCTGATCTTCTTGAGTTTCCATTCTCTAATTTTATGTGATCTTTCTTATCTCTTCGCCTCCATACAAAAAATACCACGCATTTCCATCTACCACACCAGCAGAAACTACAAACGGTTTCTCAGCAGGCGATACTATTCACATCCTTGTTGACAATTGAATGTTTGTTTAATTCTCTACTACCAAATATGTCAGCCATTCGAGAGACAAATATTTTCGTTTTGAAAAAGTAAATCAGCCATCCACAATCCTGGCTTATCCAGTCCACATTAGAACCGTTATTAATGATCTAGGCCGTTTGAGGGGGTGTAACTTTCAAGTTCTATTAAATGGATAACTTTATAATGTAATATAATGTTAATGACAGTGAAAATTCTAAGTGATAATATCTTGTTAAAGAAGTTGTTTAGCAAAGTGGAACAGGTACTACCTGCCCTTATGACTGTTAAGTGATTAATATAACATTGACAACTTTTAGTCAGTCATTTAGAAGTTCAATTTCATTCTAACAAAACGCTAAAACCATCAAACAAAAACGTTAATTTGACATGTAAAATGTAAACCACTTAACTTAAATAAAAGTTTTTCAAAATATCGAGAAATATCAAATTAGTTGAACTTTGCTTTCATTGTTTAAGACAGGTTATCTTTTACGTTTTGATCTGTAACCAAAATCTCAATACAACCGCAAATTTCTGACTTAACTATATTTGCTACGAATTTACTTCCCTTCAGTTTTTCGTGAAAAAAATTCCGTATTAAAGGTTTAAGTTGCCTGACACACGTACATTTGCTTCACATTTATTTTCAAAACTGCTACAATCAAATTTGAGGGCGCTGAAATTTAAATTTCAAGTCCTGGCTCTTTCATATGGGGTCAAAAAACCGCAGTTGTGGGGTAAAAAATACTTAGCTAGGTATCGCATATGCAGTAAGAATTAATCAGTTGAGCGAATACAAAAATAAACACAAACGTTCAGAAAATGCAATTTGAATGGTTCAGAATGCGTTTGAAACAAACAATGGGGGTGGGGAGGGATATTGCTTTGTTAGGTGAATTCCTTACTAAGTATCATTACACTACCAAAAATGCTTTGGTTGAGTTATGGAGAAGATATCACACAAATTTCATCAAAGGGTACAAACCATTATAGTACTACATGAGAAATTTCTGCAATCTGATAGGCTTAGAGCAGTGGTATTTCAGCTTAATTTGACATACCTACATGTGAAAATTACAAACCTTTTGCAGGTAGTAGTATAAACAAATGATAGCATGATTTGTACGTGATATTTGGCATAAATACCACTCGTGATATTTCAAAATTGTCTCAAATTTCACTCGCCTAACGGCTCGTGAAATTATGTATAACAGTTTCGAAATATCACTCGTGGTATTTGTGTCAAATATCACTACAAATCATGCTATTACCTATACTAATATCATAGCATTGAAACTTGAAAACGTTGGCTAAACTCAGCCTGAATTTCATCCGATTACTTCGAGTCGTTACTACTCCCTCAGTAACGTCTTTGCTGAGAGGAGAAAACGGCTCGAAGCAGTCGAATGAAATTCAGGCTAAGCTAAACTTTTTAAAGGCTTATTTAATATCCGTCCTTGCCCCTGATCAGTAGCAACAGACGACAGGAAACAGATTCAATGCCTAGATATAGTCTTGACCCTACAACAGTGTATTGAACAAATCACCAATTATTGTTTTAGCACTACAAGGTTTCATAGCAACGTTACAACCCACAAAAACCCCTCATTTTAGCTATTAGCGGTAATATAATTCAATAACACTTGGTTACCCCCCATCTATCTCATCGAATTGTAATCAAAATGTCAAATTTACCTTTTTACAAGGTTTAAGAAATGCTCCATGAAGAAAGTTCAGAGCCACTTTAAAAACGTCGAACTGATAAAGTAGCTCTGCTGAACTCCCTTGACAGAAAAACACCACACCAACAAAAACGGCCCCCCACGTTTTGGTGGCGAAAAACATTTACGGATGTTTTTGACAATACCTTTGACATCAGCGACTTCAGAGCGCACATTTTCTGCCCTCAGACGACTCAAGAACTAGCTAACAATCACCAACAACAACTGCCTACTGATGCACTGTCACAAATCGATTACGTACACATTAGACACTGTGGAGATTGCTTGTGCCAACGAATGGCGCATAGGGCAGTTTGGAAAATTTGAGTAGGGGTATGAGTACGGCTAAGTGGAAGATGAGCCCCCCTACCCCGTTTCAAAGCACTCCGCCGCCTCTGTAATCATTCAGTTAGTTTGACTCAATCTTTAATGCTATTTCTGATTGAAAATAAAATATATCTATGGACTCACGGCTTGTCTTAAATTTTGCATTTATTTGTGGTCAATGAATTTTTCTCTTCCGAGGGAGGAATACATTAAAGACAAGAATCATGTGTAATGGAAATATTGATTTTTCACCATGTCGGCTAGCAGTTGGATTGCTTACGAAGTAAAACAGATTTCGCACTGTAAGGCAAAAAACTTCCAAATGTTGTAATCTTCCTAGCTCTACCAACTTCCCACGTAAGTTTATTAAGCAGGTAAACCAACGGAAAGCTTGGGCTCTTTTTAAATCCATTGATTATTAAATTTTGTTTTCTTTAGTGGAACAAATTGTGACGATTTAGGTTAACGAGTGTCGACATGTTTAACAATGTTTTAATGTGGTTATAAGTCGAAAATCAAATGTCCGTCGGGCTGAGTTGGTTCGATTTTGCCGACAACGTCTCATTATCGAGTTTCTTTTGGGCAGGACATAACGATCTATGTCTTGGGTTTTTTTTAGCATTTCATGTTTCTCATTGAACGTATTTGAAAACATCTGATGTTGGTTCAGTGAGCCTCGAAGTGTTTTATGAGGCATGCACGTACATTTACCCTCATATTAGTTGGATAGGACAGGATAAAACTTCGTTGTTAACCAGTTCTAGAAGCTATCTCAGATGTTATACTTTTTGTGATACTTTGCAGCTCATGAGGTAATTTCATAATTTATGAATGGATAATGCTTAAAGTTTGTTTTAAAAACTACATGCCGAGGGAGTTAATGAAATTCTTTTCACGTGGAGAGGTCGAAACAATAACGTATTATCGCCTTCGATAACCCCAGTTACTGTTTATAGATTTTACCTAAAAATTAGACGGTTCTTTGAAGTTAAGGAAGTAACTCTATGACCATTACATCTAGATCTATTGAAAAGGAAAACTGACCCTGACTTTTCACTTTGAAAATTCTCAGACATTCTATGTATCCACGACACCTTCAGTGAAAGCAAGACTTAAATTCCAAAACAAACAAAACTAGATCTTCTTTTTATCGTTCATTTGAAAAGGACGTCGATATGCAAATTAACGCCATGTCTTTAGAAAACTCTGTAAACATTTGTATCAGCGAAGCGTATCGAGGAACATACAGAGCCCTTTAAATTTTCCATCGTCGGTTTGGCATGTCGAGTTCCTGCACGGAAAGGCGAATATGGCATGTGGAGCATAATTAATCTTTGGGAACCTCCCTGCGGTTATATTTTCGTGTTTATGAACTTGCTCTGTCACCATAGAAAATGAATATAGCCGGTCTTCATAAAAGCGTCTTCCAAGCCTTATTCTACACGTTCCTTATCTTTTTCATAATCTTTTGATAAGTTCTAGCGTTACATTTGCCTTCCCATATTGACAACGAAAGTACTGAACTAAATCACGGACTTTAAAAACAAACAGTTATTCAATTATTTCGACGCACACAAACCAATTTGAAGACCTAAGGCGTTTTCGATTACTTTTGTTGTCACTTAAGCTTATATCTAAATGCATATTCCTGCATTTTTGGATTCTCATTTTCTAGAACTTGTCTAATATTTCCAGTCTGAATTTTTCCGTGTTTTATGTACGACCAGTAAATACTCGAATGTAAGGTCGGATAGTGTGAATAAAACTAGCGATCATCAAACGCATGGGATGGTTAAAATTGAAAATGACAAATATAAAACATTCCAAAAACGGTAGGCAGCTAGAAAAAAAGATTGCGTAAAAATTGAACTTTTCTAGCGGTCAAACCTATATTACGCCCGATTTTGTTTAATTTTTAATGACCTCAAATCTCGCAGTTGGCTTGAATCGATCTTTGATCGACTCAAAATCATGGCCAAATTAAAAAACATGACAAATTCGAAGCGCTGGGTATAGACTGAAATTTTAGTTTAATTGTGTTCCAGTCACTAGACGCGGAAAAGAATGACAACACAAGCAAAATCATTGAAAAGTTGACATTCATGAATCTAAAACTAACAGGTAATAATTCTGCGTTCAGTGAAATCGTTTTATTTCACGGTTATTTTTTTCCTTTCATTCGATAAACATCTGGATGAAGATATTTGCAACCTTCGTAGAGGTTTTTTGGTATCATAAATCGATGCGAAATTCGACGCGAAATTTTAACAAATAGAACCTCGCCAGTGCGATGGATGCAAGCTATAGCTAGCTATAGTTGACTGACGTATATAAACGATTTTAGTGGAAAATTATATTTCGCAAGTAGCAATGACAAAGAAAAGATAATAGTTTAACCGAAACATAAAATTATTTTTCATGTATCAATATGAAATATGATAAATACCAGAGATTCGTTTGCGGCCAAGGGATCCGTGTCGTCCATTTTGTTGTACGACCTGGGCATGGCTTCTCTTCGTGAATCGACCCAAATATATCAACTTGCTGCCAACTATGCCGATTGTAAATCCTTCTTCACGACATTATAAATCAAAATGAGTGGAATTATACCGAAGTGTGAGCAAAGATCGGCAATATTTTTGTCCCATAAGTTCAGAATATTACAGATCACCACGGTGAGAGACAGATTCAAATCAGATCGTCAAGAAATTCGGAAGAAATCAAAATAGAAGCCCCCGCGCACGCTGTCAGCCAATCAGCGATCAAAAAACATCTTCTTTGAACAGTATTTCGGTGACAGCTGTTCTTAGCGAACTTCCATGTCTAATGGATTCGCAATTCAGGGAAGCGTTCTTTTTTTCTTAACTATTGCTGTATATAAAAAACAATTTCCAAACTTTAATAGGCCTCTCTTAACTTCGGTTTGACCGTATTTTCGAACAACGAACATTTTGCGCGTTGACCGCGTTTTAAAGTTGAAGTTGTTCGATTTTCAATTTTATGATAATTTATTCAAAGAGCCACAAGGCCGAATAAAGGTGAATACCCGTATTTTCCTTTAATTGAATATTCAATAATTTTGTTGAACTATTATACTATAATAGTTTTGTGGGGAAAATCTCTCAGGTCATTTGTCGTATCGAGGTTTAGTAGCGTTGCATTAAAACACTTGATTAAAACGGTTTACTATCCTGGGGAAAATATAAACTTACTTCAAGTTTTTGAGAACGGTAAAATTGAATTTGCGTCAGGTGAATGTATATCTAATTCACCACTGAAATTTTGGTAACAGGAAGAGAAAACAGAGGATTTAGCATCTACATAACTTTGGACCAAAAGATTTGTTCAGGTTTTAATCTGTCGTTTCGAACATTTATGCACTAGCCGTAAAAATATGAAGTAAAGTAAGATAATTAAAAAAAATACAACAGTTCATAGTTATCATTTGTTATGGCTTTCAAACAGAAAAGTATATATATGTTTCTTAATGATTTTGCGAGATTATTTTTTGTTAATTTTAATTATTGTAAAAACTGCATCACAGTAACGTTAAATTTTATTTTCTGGTTAGTTAATCCGTCGCAATGAGGCGTTTATTATAATTAAAGCGAGAGCCCAATGGGAAAAAAATTAAACTGGCTAAACTTGATAATTATGCCCGTACAAAAACTGCTTGCTCTTGCTGTTGCCCTTGACTGAATCTTTAGTCGCAGTCATTAATCTGTTTATCGTCAAATGAATCGGTAGTGAAACATAAAATCGTTCAGGGTCTGGAAAAGGTGGTCCCGTCCCGTTCCGTCCCCGTCCCGCATTCCCGCTCCTTTTTCACGAGAATCCCGCACCCCGAGATTCTGTCGTCGCTATCCGGAAAGTATCGTTTTTTTTTCCAATACCGCATCTGTACCCAATTTATGGTGAATCCCGCTTCCAGGTAGCAGTCAAATCTCGTATTCCGTTAACTTTTCCCGAATCCCGCGGTGTATTTTGGCCAAATTCCGGATCACGAGAATAGCGTTCCAGACCCTTATCATTGTGTGAGACAATTCTTTCTTTGCGGCACTTTTTTTTACACTATTTTTAGAATAAAATGAACCTTTCCACACTTATAAACTACGCTTTTCAGCAAGGAAACTATAATTATATATTCATGAACCTCTCCTCTCCGAATGGTGTTACAAAATATTTGTTTATCTTCTTTAGCGTGTGGACAGAAACCGTAAGCAACTGTGAATGTTATATGTAAGGCGCACGCTTCTATAACACTGATCTAAACAGGCATAGTCCCATCGAAAACTTAAATATAAAATTTTTTATGAAAGATTTGAAGCGAGGAGTCATTTTATAAGTAGGCTGAGTATCATCCTCCGAGTGAACGTTGTACTGAATAGGACTGCTGTTGACAGTGACTGTCAACAACAGTCCTATTCAGGACTACGTTCACCCGGACGATCATACTAAACCTACATAAAATTTGCTATTAGCAAATGGGGCTTGATCATCCTTTTTGTAGGCCCACTTGATTTGCTTTACATATATTGATCACACATGGCCGGTAAACACGTGGCTTGAACAATTGCTTATTCAATAACGAAAAGATCTATTCATTCACTTGTGAATTAATTACTTGTTACTTGTATGAAGAGCGTTTTAACCCCTAAATCCCAATCAATACCCTGCTTACAACATCATTACATAATCAAGGATTAGGCCATTAGAATGAGTGAAATTATTACCTAAGGAAAATAATTATTTGATCACGAAACAAATTTTATTACTAGTGATTAAATCTTTAAACTTCTACCACATCGTGGTCGTAAATATTATGCGTTAATATCATAATTATGTGGCTATAGAATAAGTTGAGAGGATAATGGTTGTCGTCAGAGCTATGAGAATAATCTCTAATAGTCTGAATAAGTCGTTTTAGAATAAGCTTAAATTGGTTCACTTTTAGGCTCGCAGACCAAAGAGGCTCATCATTTAGATAAATCTTTAATGTTACTGTTGTTTATTCCTTGTATTGATGGATTCAGTTTATCTTCCTCAGCTATTTTAAATTCCCCTAAACTGAGGTAAACAGTAGCACTGAACATGCGCATTACGTCTCAAACTTTTAAATAAGATACGAAAAGAAATAGGCTATTTGCATGATGACGTCATTTACTACTTCGACCAGAATCCTTTAGGGTTTTGCTTTCTTCTGCAAATTAGGGCTTTTGTTATTTAAACCATAGTTATTAGAGGAGACTGGTTATGAAAAGCGGCAAACATCAATGATAAGAACAACAGTGCTGCAGTTTATGTTGGAAGTACCGTGAAAGTGCACAATCCTTTGTTTTCTGTTGGCAAATTGTTACGGAATAAATTAATGCAACGTTTTTGTTGGTCAATACAATTAAAATGATAGGAATTCTTTTGAACGTTGTGCACTTTCAGGTCCACAAAAACATATAACAAAGGAGTATGACGGATTTCATAACCATTCCACTCAATTAACTATGTTTAAACCTTGCTGGGATTTCCAAATTTAACGAAAAATGTTCTGGTCGTAGTAGTAAAATAACGCCATCTTGCAAATGTCGTTCCTGATTACTACCGCGAAGTTGAGAAGGTTGGTGTATTTTCTAATTCTTATTAGGGTCAAGTTTCTAAAGACTTAGGAGCTGTCCACACGTGATGCTTGTTGGGAACCAGTGTCTGGGTACTGCCACAAAATGGTGTTGTGTCATCACAGCTTGAGTACCCAATAAGTGACCTTGTACATCTAGCCGGATTTTTGAAAACGTTATCGCCAAATGGATCTTTTGCGTCCAACAATTTTTTCGGCCAAAAATCTCCAAAGTAGCTAATATAAAAACTAAGAGTGCAACCATTGCTTTTTTCTCTTCTCCTACTTTCTTTCTCCTCGCTCTTTCTTTTTCTCTTTCTCCTTTCGTTTTGGAGCTTATCGGGTTTAAGAAACCTGCCATGTGACGCCTTTTCACTCAAATGACTTCAAATTTCGTTAGGTTCCTTTTCAAAACATCGGTTAGACATACATGTCGTTACTCCATTTCGCCCTGTCAGGCGCTAGTTTGAGACATCAGCTTAGCAGCGAGTACAAAACTGTGGGCTACGCCAGAACTTACAAAAATTGTCAGACGCTTGTTTGAAACATCAACTTAGCAGCGAGTACAAAACAGTGGACTACCCCAGAACTTACAAGAATTAGGTGTAAACGCTGCCTTATTCTGCATTCGAGGGAAGCTACATAAGAAACACTAAACATTGCTTCACCCAAAAATTGAATTCACTGAATTTTGGCTTAGAGTGCAAAACCCCAGATACCGTAAAATTCCGAAAATAAGCCCCGGGACTTATATTTTTCAAAGGCCTTTTTTGAGGGGCTTATTTTTGCAGGGGCTTATATTCGGAGGGGCTTATCTGCGGAGGGAAATTTGCGTTTCAAAATCGATTGGGCTAGCCTTATAGTTTGAAGAAAATTTACCGCTTTGGCTTTGTTTTACTTTGTATTTGAGGGCAATTTTCCAAGTACAAGCCCCTGGGGGGCTTATATTTGGAGGGGCTTATTTTCGGAATTTTACGGTATATATTTTTAGGTACTTAGAAGTTTGTGAGATACTAAGAAAATCGAAAGGTACAATAAATATACGATTTTCTTTAATATTTAGGACTTTTTCTGGTGTTTTCCCTTTATTCAAACGAGCCCGCAATCAAACTATCCAGTGCTGAAAATTTCCGGTAATGTATCCCAGAATTACAATGGATGCTAGTTTTAAAAAAGTAGGACACTGTTTATTATACTCGGGGCAATATCAATCACATTCCCCGTCACAACAGGCACTTTAGTCGCCGCTCTGGTTAAAAAAAAAAAAGTTACAATTCAATATCCTGAGATATAGAGATATTCTCTGAACTTCCGAGATATGTAGAAAATTTCACGATATATTTACAATTTTTTTAACGTGTTTAATGTCTGAGAATTGACGCGACCTGCGTTTCGTTCCAATTCTTCGCCCGGCTTTTTTTTTCTTGCACTCGTTAACCTTGTAATTCACTTCGATTAACTAGCCTGTAATAGCAGAGCCGTAGCTAGCGGGGGCAGCTGCCCCCTCCTCCCGGACCTGTTAAGCCAGACATATCAAGTCTGTGGATGGAGTGGTTATAGTGACTTGCAATTGTTTGCCATTTTCATATTCGAAATCGATTTTTCGGAGACATATCTCATGACAAGTGCTGAAAATAGCGTTTCGGAGCCTCCAAATTTGAAAATGTTCCGGGGGAAGATACCCCCACAACCCCTGCCTTCGGCACTCGCGCGCGATAATGCCCCTTCGCCCCCCGCCCCGTCAACTAGCTATGCTAGCTACGGCCCTGAATAGGTTTTGTAAACTGTTTCAATAAAGATTGAATGTATTCTTTGTAAATAATTAATTTTGATTATTTTTGAGGTACGAGTGGTACTCTTAGAATCCCACTGATGTTTCAATAATTTAACCTTGACATTTGGCAAATTTTAAGCTACATCTCTTCCTATGATAATAACAGTAGTATTCGCTGTTGTCACGTTTCTAATTCCAGCAAGAAATCTTCTGTCGTTGGCGAGCTTCCCATTAGTCCGTGATGATCTGACATGATCTGTTTGGCCTGATAGGATTCGCGTTTTATGATGGTGTCCAGTCCTCCAGGAATATCGGGAACCAGCATGTCAATCAGGGTGGATACAAAGAATATAAAATGCTGAAAAGTCGAGAAAGTATGGTTAATCTTTTCATCAACAACCGTAAGTACCGTGGATATATACATGAGATCTCTACCATACTGCGCCAAGAAATGGTTACTTCGGTATAAGCATTGCAGTGAAATTTGACAGCTCCTCGGCCTCCTTAGAAATACTAACCACGCTGCACACTCGGTCATTATTCTTAAAAAGGCCTTGACGCTTTCCTATATTTAGCCGACGACGTAAATCTTGAAAGTTAAGTGTCGTGCATCTGTAACGAAGTAACTGATATACTCACCTCAAAAATGATAACAAATGCAAGTTTTAGAGTCAACAAATGCCAATAAAATTTGCTCAATGAACCGTCTGGTTCTCGAAAGTCTATAAATCTGTAAAGAGAGAAAAAAGAGGGACAATCAGTTTATTTAAAACGAAGATACTCCATCCCTTGATGTACACTCTTGCTTTGATATAGCACTCCTTCCATATACTTTCCCTAATTATATCGGCTAAAACGTAAAAAATGTGGAAGATTTGCCTCCTAATTTACAACCCCGTGGTTTTTTGGTATGCGAATGCAGCATTTGCCATCTTTGCCCCACATTTACGCTTCAGTTTTGCACATTTTTGCGACATATTTGCTAGGATAAATAATGGTTTTTGAACCTGCAAATTGAACGTTTCGTTTGTCACCGCACCGTACCTGCAAGGCTCCGAGGTAGCGTTTGGTGGGGCCCAGGCGAGTGAAAAGTTAGTGAATCCTTTGAGAGAGCCATCAGGTGATATCGTCCCACGGTAGAGTAACTTGGGTAGAAACTGCGAGGTGAAGGCTATAAGAAACGCCTGTCAAATGTAAAAACACCGAAGATTAAATATATGTTTTACTAATTAATTTTACCACAACAGTGTATCCTTTTAACAATTCACTGTCTCAAAAGTGCTAGTCTTCCAATTCTGTGAAGCTGCGTGTCTATACTGTGGGAGGGAGAGGGGTAGGTTTTGTTGAGGTTTTGGGTAGGTGTTGTGCAGCCGAGAGCTTCAAACCTTGATCCTGTTTTTGGAAAAAAATAATCGTTCATTTCGCAAACTATGTTTCAGACGAGAGACCCTTTTCCATGACCCTGCTTTCGCACACAGATCTAAGCATTTTCTGTATTAATATAGTACTACTTACTCAGACAATACTTACGTTACTTATGACAGCAATCTTTGCCACTGCACTTAATATACCAAACCAGATTCCAATGTCCTGTGCACGATGAGCCACAGGTCTCCTAAGGTCGCACACCATCTTATCTGAGTCGATTCGGATCTCAAAGATGTTGTTAGCAAGAGCGAAGAAAGGAGCCAGGGGGAATGCAGCTACAAAGATGGTGATGAAACCGAACTGAATCACTGCAAAGAATAAGAAAAGAGGTTGCTTTAACTCGCGGTTGCTCCTGAATGATACAAGTGCGTCGACATAATTTGCTTGAAGTACAACCATTTCCGTCGGTACCCTAGTGAAATTTCACTCTTAACTGATCAATTAGCACTCCCTCCCTCCTCCCCCCCCCCACCCCCCGCCCACTTGTACGCCGAAGGTTAAAGTTTTTTTCAGAAAAGCTTCGGCCTAGTCTAGGCGCGTTTCACCTGGAAAAAGGTCCATTCCTTGATTTTGATGGGCAAATTTAGGTCGGTACAAAAACCATTTCTTGATGCGGGCTAATTTTACTTTATTATTATTATGTCGCAGTATGAAACTTTGGAATGCTGTCCACATTATGAGTAGTATAGGGCGCATAGCGTAACCTACACCACTTGAGAAGCTATACTTAGAAGTAAAAAAAGGTCGATACGAAACCTAATACAATCCTAAAATACATAGTGATATGAATCTCTCTACTTAAAAAGCCAATTTAGAATATTATTAAATTCTGATACTCTGTAAAACCTTCATAGATGGGAATATCCCAAAACGCCTCATGGTTTTGGCATCACCGGTGAGTACTATCTCTGCTAAAAGCTTATACATAGTGATATAAATCTCTCTACTTAAAAAGCCAATTTAGAATATTATTAAATTCTGATACTCTGTAAAACCTTCGCTATCTCTACTAAAAACATATTTATAATAATATCACACTCTAATATTATTATTATTATTATTATTATAATTATTATTATTATTATTATTATTATTGTTGTCATCATTATTCGTTAGTAAAGTTACGAGATAGTCTACTATTGTTGACAATATTTTTAAGATTTTGTTCTCAAAGCAAAATGGTAACTCATGACGTCACAATGGATCAGCATTCAACTCCGCTGTTCTTTCGTAAAAATTATCCAAAAAGTAGAAATTGAAAACTTTAACAGTTATTAATAGTATGATCGACGTCATTTGGTATCATCGTATAGACAAATTTGATTGGCTAACTTATCCACCTTTACCGGCCAAGTTTGGTAGAGAAAGGGTAAAACCCAGGAAAGTTACTGTAAATGGGACGTTTCGATGACCAATTTTTTGCAGCTGTCTTAGTTTCAATGTTTGGTGCTACTTACATTCGCCTTTTTCAATAAATAAACCGAACCGAAAATGGCAATTTTAGAATGAGTTAATAACCTGCATACAACTGTACCATCATACAATGGCTACGTCGCCCTTTCTGGCCGCCATGATTTTCATTCAGTTTGTAGTAACCACCCCGTGATTAAATTAAGATGCTCATGTATCGTGTTTAGCATTTGTCACAGTTTGGCACATACTAACTCCCTGAAAAAAACGTCCATATACCAAGAAATTATGTCTTAAACCCATCGACAACTGACAAACTCACCGTGGTCTTGTTGGGGGTGGGAGGTCAAATGTTGAACCCTTTAGGGAGTTTGTATACTAACTCATAAAATGCAACGTACCCATTTCTAGATATTCTCCAAACAAGCCTTCGTTTTCCAGCAAATCGTAATCGAGCTCCCATCGCGGCTTGACATCATTGCCAGTCATTCCCATTTTTCTCTTCTTCATGTACTTCTTTATTTCACTATATAAAACACAAAGATAATGAAAAAAAGAAAATTAAAATTATGAACGTTTCCTGTAATAGAAGCCTTCCTGAGAAACCAAAAATTTGTTTTTTTTAGTCAGTCATAGCCTGCGAATACAGCCGTTTCTCCTTTCTCCTCGTCGCTAAGGACATTTTGCCGGGAGGAACGTCTGCGACTCAACGACAGAAATTCCATACTAATGATATAAAAGCTGTCTGGAATCTGGTCAGGAGATCTGATTGGTCGACGTATTAGTTATATTGTTTTAACAATTGTCTACGAATTGACAGACAAAAGGCCACAAAGTTCAAATGTTCAAATGTAAACGTGATGAATCTATTACAAAACAGTCAGTATTCTTAGAATATATTCTTGTTTCGAAATTCTTCTTTTGAGTTTTGCTGGAGCTCGTTCGCAAAGGATCACAAAACTTTACCATAATCGACCAGGAGAAACATAAAATCAAACAAATGTACATCGAAAACCCCACGACTACCGGATTTATTATGTAAACATTGATTTACGTCATCAGTATGGACGTTCCTCCTGGCGGCGAGCGGGTAGGAGAAACGGCTGTATTCGCAGGCTAAGTCAGTCATGTCTCTTCTTCAAATTGAAACCATATAATACTCTCCTAAATTACAGATTTTGAAAAGCGCACTATGCCTTTTCCTTTGAACCAATTACTTTCAGATTTAGTAAAACTACTATTACTTGAAACCTTTTATGCAAACTGATCAATTCCTGTTGCTTTATCCAAGACAAACTTAAACCGTTAAGTAGCGGTTCAGATAAGATATAAAGAACCAAACGTCGGAATGCAAAAAGTGCTAACTTAACGATTGTCTCTACTGCACCTCTGATTTGTTTAAACACCCCTTGTCCCCTTAATCCCTCGTTTTCTAACCAACTTCTTTATAACAAAATCTCGTCTGAGTCTAAGTAACACAGAAATCCTATGTAAAGAACATGTAAAGTTGTAAACTTTTCTTGGCTATTGTTTTGTGAGTCTTATGAATGATCGACATCTTTTAACACAAAAAGCACCCTTTGAAAATGGAGTTTAAATACAGCATATTTTGCTAACTGTCTTTTTGTAGGTTTATGTATTCTCTGTGGGAAAATGAAAAGATTTCTATGTGAGAAAGAGTATTGCGCCATAATAAAAGAAATTGCTTCCCGTTTTACCCAGATCATTACTTAATGACAAGACAACGACTTGAGCTTTTACGATATTTTGAACGGACAAGCCGTCGATCCCTCCTTGTATGTTATTTTCGATTGCCCCCCTCATATTTAGATTCATTTGGTTTTAAATGATCGTTCCCTATCCTATGCTCGTTTATAACGCGGTAAACTGTGACTTACGGCACAAGAACTTCTTGCACGTTGCCAATGACTTGTTTGCCAATCATTATAATGGCGAGCTGCTGAGCGAGCTCCATGAGACAACCGCCGGGGCTGCACTGTAGAACAAATAAACGAACAAAAAGAATTGTAAACCAACAGGGGCTGCTTTCGATGATGACCTTATCGGAATCACAACAAGATTCTGGGAAACTATCAACCTCCTTCACCCTTGACTCAACGTTAACACTAACAGGCTGCCACTCAGGGCAGCACAGTACTAATCCAATGCGGCTCCCTCATTGGCTACTTAGCGAGAACAATAGAGCTTTTTTCAGAAAATTATGTCACATAATTGTATGCGTCATTGACTATTTCACACTAGAATGGAACTTTACTGTTGTTTAATGGCTATACTCACGCTGACGTCACCTATTGATATTAATGTGCCAAGCGCAAACAGAAGCGCATTAGTTCCTATAACAAAACATTCCTTTTGTTTCTTTCGATACAAATTTGAATAACAAAAACAATGTTTGAAAACAGTGATGTACCCTATAGTCAATCCAGTTTTGGGCCCCTCTTCTTCGGTTGACTATGTTTGCGCGTAATGGCGTTATTTGCCCTGATGTATGAAGTAAAGTTGATTTTAAGAAAACCCCTTTCAACAGCAGCTATTGTTGTGAAGATAAGAGAGGACCTCCAACTTTCCAGGGTTCACGCCACATCGATCTCAGCGAAGCAAAACGGACCAATCAGAGAGCCACTTTGAAACGGTGCTGGTCAACTGCTCACTTAGGGCAAAATGATAGTTTACGGGAGGGTTAGTTGGGGAGCTGATCTACCATAAAATTTAGAGTTGGTAGAGTTGACTCTTCCCGGCTAGCAAAGGTCTCTCACGGCCAGATCACGGCCAGAGAGGAAGGAGAGGAAAGAGAGAGACCTATGCAGTCTCCCCAATTAGCAAGGCACTGTTCCTGAACTATAAGACATGAGACTTTAATAAAGTTCATTATTATTTATTATTATTATTATTATGCCGTACCCCGACGCGCTTTCTTTCATGCACGTAGCCGCCGACCACATGTGTGGTCGAAACTTCTGGTTTTCAAAATCGGTTTCGTTTAATGTGGAAAGCGCGTGCCCTGTTAAGACTGCCCGCTGGGATTTCTGAACCCACAGTTGTTATCGCGCAAACCGGTTGTGAAGCCGTGTCCCGCATGACTTCAACGTTACTGGTTGTTAAGGAAAAGCCAGTAAATGCGTGATAGAAATTGCATCGGGGGCCGGCAGAGGTCTGTCTCTTTCCTATCCTTTTTCTCTCGCCGTGAGAGACCTCTGCTAGCAGGGAAGAGTTTACTCTTGCGTTATTTTAGTAATTGATAACCTCCCGTGTCCATCCATACCTTTATAGAGCATTTACACTCACGCCGCCAGTGAGCAGCTATGCAAATTTATTGAAACAAAACGAAATATTTTTGAAGAAAAGAGTTCAACTCCCAAAGGAATGATTTGGGACAGCAACATGGTGGATGTGACGTCATGCGAAAATGATCTATAAACGCGAGTTTTTTATTTCTTACTAATCATCACTGATCGCAAATTGGCTTACCTCTTCTGATCTGAGACCAAGAAACTTGGAATAATGGCCTGGATACCCGGTAAACCTGCGTGATAAAAATAAGGAAGTCAACATAGGATATGAGTTACACAATGGAACTGCTTTTTGACAGTCTTTATTTTTGTTTGCAGATTTGTGTTCATTTAATAGCAATTCGTATATTTGTGATTGATCAAGCGCGAAACCAACCTCCTTCAGAATATGAGACCAATGTCTAGATGTCTCGATAAAAAAAGGTTGGTCAGTAAGAGACTTTTCTACCATACGATAAATAGAACACTTAGATTGTTTTCTTAGGGGACAAGCAGCCAATTTCTAGCTGCTGGGAGAATCTGCCCGCTCTGGTAGCCAATAAGCCTTCCACGCAGACGTTCTTAGGCGTTAGTCACGCAATCGTTCCTTCCCCAGAGCGCCTAAGAACGTCTGAGTGACAGGCTAGTAGCCAATCAGATCAAAGCATTATTGCTTCATTTTGTGTAATATCGCAGACAACACCTCTCCTCTCCCCCTCCAATAAAAGTGCTGTCATTGCCTTCATGTAAGCAATATTTTCTCCCTCATCTTATAATAAGGAATAGTTGCAGAATAAGATGACTGTCAGCATTTAACTTACTTTCCCTTGAAGAAGGCGATATAGAAGATTGACGCAAAGAAATTCATAAACTGAAACACGAATACTTTGAACGTCAAGTTGTCCTCATATTCCGTTTGTGTCCGATGCATTTCTGTAACAAAAGTAATTTTATACTAAAGATTAGGGCTATAAAAGTGATACCATTTGTGCAAGCGGAAGCTCCTTTATCTTGCATTTGGTCAGTGCACTTAGCAATGACACTAAGCAATAGACGGCTAAGATTTTTGTGATATCCATTGAATCGAGGTTCCTGACTGCGTGCATTTCTTTGGTGCAGACAAGCGGTGATCGAGACAATAAACGTCGTGTACGAGCTCACGAAAAGAACTCAGGAGATACTGTTCGCCGATTGGGCACAATAACACAAAGCTTTTTTTTTTATGTCCAATCAGGAGCCAGCATTCGCTTGACCGTTTGTAAATGGTCCGGCAAGAGTCGGTACCCAGGGGCTTTTCCGCCCATGCTTGAAAACTTTCGTCGCGCCTTTTCTCCCCGCCCGACTGACTGCCCCTGGGTCTCTGAGGATGGTGTGTAGTACGTTAGTATGTTGCTGTTGGAAATCATGTTTTCCGCGGGGCAACCTGCAGATAATTCAATTATCTGCAAGCAGATACGTCTCAATAGTTGTAATGTGCACTGACCTTCCAATGAGAAGACAGATAATGAGAGCAATGTGTGACAATAATTAAAACAAAGTACACCAATAAAAAGTTCTCAATTATGGTACATAGGTATTAACTCACCCCAATGATTTAGCACATAAGCCAGTTTTTCATACACCTTGAAGAAAGAAAGACAAAAGTTCTCAATTAGGTCATCTTTCTGATGTTCTTACTAAACAGGTAGACTTCATTATGCTCTTCGCCGTAAAAAAGAATATTTCTATGTCCTACATCTCATCAGTCTTGCTCTAACTTCATCAGTTCTGTTCTTAATCACATCTTTTTCGTTAATAATCGCATTAATTTTAATTATTGCACCCTCTTACGCTGTAAAGCATATCATTTTTCTGTTTTGTGTACAAAATTAAATGTAAAAGGATTTCTACGAACGATTACTGGATCAATAAAATAAATATTGCTCCTAACCTTTGCACTGAGGGCGAAAGTGATAAATGAACTTACTATCGTGCTATTTTGGTCTTCAATCATACCTGTGATTTCAAATTAAATTCAAAGCCCTCAGCGCGCTTATTCAATTCTGAAATCACGCATACGATTTCAGTCCAAGCTGCACTTAAATTATTGCAAATACCATTTATAAATTATTATTATTCAACCATAAATTTACGAAAGTAAATTTCGTGTGTAACGCAAACTACTCATACCTTGCTTAGAATCATAATAATGATAAGATTCATGATTGATCCCGTAATAGACACAATGTTGGCAGCATACTGTTGAAATTGTGGGTTCTTGTATAAAGGATGAATAACTAACAGTTTGTAAACAATGACTCCCACCATGAACAGCACCACAAGGGATACCTAAAAAATACAAGAGATGCAAAGATCACAGGTAGCCCAGGACAAGAATTATCAATAGGCCAGTTTGGAATGATTAACATTCATACTTAGCACCGAGGCTGAAGGATTGAGCATGCTTAGAGACCCAGAGGTCGGGTCATTCGGGTCGGAAAAATCCGTCTCTAAACCCTAACCCTAACCTGACCCGATAGATCGTTTTCACATGACGTCACGGTGGCCATATGTGTGTACAAAACAATGACTCGGCAGCCATGTTTGTGTACAAAAAATCCTGTGGGAATTGAATTCTTTTCACATGTTAAAACTTTCTATTATTCCAAGCAATTTGCAAAGCTGCTGACCACGTGACTGAAAACGAGCTATTGACTGCCCCTGGGTCTCCGAGAAGGGGGATCAGATTGAGATTCATAGATTAATAATATATTTTTGTTGTGTTATTCCACTCAACCACGAAGTCAGGAAAGAATTTTGATAATTCGAAACTGGTTTATGTTAACGACAAAATTTTAGATGCATGGATGCTGTTGAAAGCCCGAACCCTTCTTGTTTGCATTGTAGAACTGGATGTTTTGTCAAGGTTGATTGGCACAGGAAAACAATTGTGTTTGGGAAAGAGTTTTTGAAGAGTGCGAATTAAAGAATGGCATTTTCCTGAACGATAACTGTCTGGAAATATGAAAAAGTCATACTCAATCAGTCTTTGATCTCAAGTCTTGAGAAAATTTATGCTCAACAGTGACAGAGTGAAAAAAAAGTTAAAAAAATACTGTACCATGAGCCCAATTATGGCAATTCCTGAAACCACCCTTGGAAATCGCTTTTCTGGTGGAAAATGAGGCTCCAGTAAACCCGTAACAGGGTTCCGCTCCACCGCTGGCGCTAATGCCGCGAAAGTAGGTCGAGGCCTTTCCTGAAAGGAAAACAGAAAATCAAGAATGTTATATACCTTAACTAGCTGTGCTTTGATTTCGGCAAGAGCGTTGCTATCGTTATCAGGAGTAGGAGGCGTAACACAAGTCACCAAAGTACTAATGTATAGATTTAGCCAAGGCAAAAAGCGAAGCTCTCGTGGGATTTTTAAGAAACGTCTTTCTGCAGTAATTCAACTTTTGCCATAAGCAAGAAGTAAACTGAATTCCTCTTAGGTAATTGGACCCGAGCCTGCGATCAATTGAAAATCTGACTGGGAACGGAGAACTTAAATTAAAAACACGTCATTTAAACGAGTTGTACAACTAAGCCCGCGATACAGTCATGTGTCACTGGTCAGCGGAAACGCTTTTTGACAGATGTCAATTGCATGACCATAACATGGCTGTCCAGGATCAAGTTTAACGCATACTGTAAATTCCTCCAAGCAAGTAAGTGTGGCATTTCATTTTCAGTCACATGAACGGAGGGGACGTTTGTACGTACGTACTACTGTACGGAAGGACGGACGTAGGGACGGACAATTTTATCACAACCAAAATTTCTTGGATGCATAGTTAACCAAATTTTTCACCGCGCGCGAAAGCTCCGCTATCATTTCTAGAGACTCGTTTAAGCCATAAACCCGCCAATTTATGTTCTTACCTTAAGAAACCTGATACAAATCTGAGCGATGAACTGTATGTGCACAAAAGCACAAAGCCAAAATATCTATAAGTGATAATGTCCAGCGGTGATCATCGCTAGTTGAACTCAACTCGCTTTGCTGTTAAATTCAAGCTCTGTCATGTTGCCCACCTCACTTTCATGTAGCTAAAGCCCTTTAAATCTCTCACCTCTTCTTCTTCGAAGCCAAGTACATCCCATTGATAAGCGAGAGTTATTTCTTTTCTTTTCCAGTACTCAAGGAAAAATACGGCTGTTGACAAAGAACAAGTCAGAATGAAAGTTTGCATTCAAACAACAAACGTATCCAGCAACCTACGCTGGTCATGAGAACATTATAAAGAGACTGTACTGCCCAAATGAATTCGTTGATGCACCTACCCCAAAAAGCCACAAATACAGCATATCCGACAGTAGCTGGATTGTCAAATAAATACGATGTCTGAAAAAGATGACAAACTATTAACAGAAAGCCAGAAAAACAAACGAAACATTTCCTCTTTGCCATCACGTCACCCAACAAGATGAATGGGAGAGTGAGGTGATTTGCTTGAAACTTGTAATTAAAGTCATAATTTAATTACTGGAGGATAACACTACCACATAATATAGTAGTAATTAGAATAAAAAGGAAAAAGTTAATCGAGAGAAAAAAGACGCGTCTCCACTTCAGTCTTTGGTAAATTTTGTTCTCGGTCCTTTTCTGCCGAACAATGTCAAAAGTTAGCGATAGAATTATTAGTTGATGATGATTTACGTGGCCGACGCAACGATTGTATAACTTTTCGTATTTCTATCTTAATTTAGCCCATCGAGTTGCCAAAGAGAAATTTCTAAGACAACAGATTGTTTATAATTGTCAGCTTCTCAGTTTATTACCCCGTCCTTGACCCTTAGTGAGTTGAGATGTTAAGTTCATGCCTAGTCCCCCCGGCCTCATTCTTCCATGCGGCCTATATGCGTTTCGGATCACGTGGCTCGATACTAAACCCATGTCAAAGCGTTCTCTCTGCCCTCTAAATTTTTTTTCACGAGGTTGTAAGATAATTCATTTGGTGGTATATATGAAATTTACTGGAACAGTCAGACGTTTCCCGCAAGAAACACCTTTTTCGATCCTTTAAGTTGTTATTTAGGATCGCCAATCGGGAAGAAATGAAATGATCTATGAAAACACTGTAAAAGAAATAGCGATAGCAACAGGGAGTAGAACACACCCAATGTTGCCTTTACAGCTGTGCTTATACGGTACTCACTCTAGCTCGGCTACAACTTGTTTTCAGGTCCCAAACTTTGCATCCCAAGTTTTCCTCGCAAAGCGGACACATGACGAAAGTCCAATTTTTTGAGCTGCAGATCTCCAGCCTGGTAAATAAAAAATTTTAATCTCCTTAAATAGTTCAATTTTTGTATACGCTATAACTACAGATTGGAGTCAAGATCGCGGTAAGTAAACCTCCATATTGCCTGCATAGAAATGTTATTGTAAGTGCGCAACAAAAAGCTAAGATAAAAAAAGTTCAATGTCACGCTCCGCCTTAATCTGGAGATTAAGGTTGGAAGTAAACATAATACAAAGTTGATTCTGACCAAGGATCATCATTCTTACAAGCCAACTTTTTGTATATTATGTAAACGTTTGTCAATGAAATGTAAGAAAACCTGGCTCGCCAAAACGATCAGTAACTGGTTTGTAAAAGGGACAAAAAAATGTGGGTCAATTAATGTTTCTGAGAAACTGGCCACCTACTCCTCCCCTAGGCTAACATTAACACTTACTTCTCACCTAGGGAAAAATGTTGGCTTAGGGGAGGGGTAGGTGGTCAGTTTCCCAGAAACCTAAATTGATCCAAAAATTTGATACTCACGCTGTATTCTCTTCTGAATCTAAAGTCAGGTAGCCATAAAGGAAAACAAGCAGTCCAACAATGGACGGCATTATTAACCAGGCAGTGTATTGTCCTAGGGATTATCCGAAAATTAAAAAAACAGTTAGCAATCAGTAGGATTTGTATGTGGACGGTAGATCTTGCATGACGCAAAAAGGTAAAAGCTGAATTGCAATAACCTGTTAAAGTATAGTTTGTTTACAGCTGGCCTTTGCCAGGACCTCACTCGTGCGAAAAAAGCGATCGAGCGAGCAGTGAAATAGCGAACAAACGAAAAACGGAGGGAAGAGAGAAGCTGGGAGAGCCTGTAAGCATCTTTTTAAATACCTCAATCCGCCTACTACCCCATCCACTTACTGGAGAAACCGTTTCTCGTATCACAATGACAAATGTCAAAACGTGAAAGAGTTCAAAACATCTAAATGTGGTGCTGGATGCATTTTCACGAGTGGAGGGTTTCACATTTTCCGATTTTGGGGAAACAGTTCTTCACATCTACGCAAACCAAATGATACCAGAATGTTTAAACGTTTGAAAAGTAAACTGTTCTTCATTCAATATAAGGTAGATACAGAAATAGAAAGTGACTAAGTTGGGATCGTGAAAATTACATATTTGCCCAAAAGTGACTAAGATAGGGTCTAAAATTTGAGTCACAGAATAAACTATAATGGGGTCGGGGTTCTGAGAGGCCAGCGCAACAAAAACCCCCCCCCCTCGATCCGCAGTGTAGGAGAGTTTATCACGGATGTTGTAACAGGCTAGTTTACAGGCAATGTTTAATACAAATAGTCCACATAGAAGATAACAGGATTTTCAGATGGTCGGGGGTAAATTTAACACTGACACAAACAAATCAATACCAGGTGTCTGTAACTAAAGTATCCGTTTTAGTTGCGCTATCATGCTAAGGTTAATCCTATCCATCGACACCACGTACCTAGCCAACCGAAATAGATTCCAATCTTCTCTCCAAAGTATTCCCTGACGTGATCCAGAGGCTGGTATTTGAGCCACTTCCCCCAGCGAGCCCAGTATTCTTTGAGGACCTGATGGCGAAAATTAAGATTCATTAATTGTTATTTAGCCAAAACTCAACTATCAAAGTCTATAATAAAAATGTGGCAGAGATACAACAGGGCCTTAGCCCATTTTAAAGAACTGGGTAGTTTATCGCGCTCTCAAGGATTAAAAGCTGTTACTTAAAGCCCAGTGCAAACGGACGCAACATTGTTGGCCAACCATGTTAGGAGTTGCTGCGTCCGTGTGCACGTAACTTAAAGTTTTTTGAAATGAAACACAACAATTTTTAACACCCAAAATGGTTTTCAATGTTGCGTCCGTTAAAGAATTCATCAAACTCGGATGGCCGACTGAATGCATGGATCATTTTGAAAATGAAATAGGCTTTTTAAAGAGTTTTCGCCTAAAAATCCATCAAACTCATACACTTTACTCCGGAATTGACTGAACTGGCCGGACAGTTTTGTAAAAAGTGAAATTTGCATCACGAAGGGAATCGTTTAGCCGGCCAGTTCTGTCGGACAAATGGAAAGCGCTCTATAAGTTGACAAGCCACATTTAGATTTTTTGCCATTGAAAATTTCAACGTGTATTGTTAGGAACCGAGTCTAGGAATATGTTGCATTGCCTTAACTCTTATCAATCATAACAATGAAACCAAAATGATTAAGCTGAGGTGAAACCACGAACCACGAGTCACGGTCCAATTTTTACTATGGTACCCCTCCCACACCCTCTTCCAGGCTCGCTCTTCCCTGTCCTCTTCCACTTTTTTTCCGGTTGTTAAGGACGGGCAGCGGTTACGAAAGATCTCTTTGACATTACACATTAGCTTCTCACATATCGTGCTTTACATGGAACTTAAAAGGATGATGCAGGAAGGTAGTTGTAGGGCTAATTTTTCTACAACTTGCCTGTCTTTGGTTCAGTCTGTCTTCTTCTGGGCCATGAGGGTTTTTGTTCCAGTCTGATGGTAGTTCCGCAGGACCCTGCGAAAAATGTGATTTTCAGAAAATCATTTGAAAGATATACTGAAAAAAGTGCATTCTTCGAACAACCGTAGGAGCTAGAAATTGCTTTTGAAAAGGCCATTAGTTCTAACTTTCAAAACGAGGCTAATTGCAAAACGTAGCCTCTCTTTGAAACCGAGGCTTGCTCAATGGCCGATTCACCATCACTGTCCGACAACTGAGTGTAGTTCCTTTTGTTCGACTAAAATAGGCTCAGCTTTTCTCTGAGTAAAAGTTCATAAAAGCTCACCACATGAAGAGGATATGCTGCACAATAGACTCCTTCTTCTACTAATCTGCTGATTCCTAGAAAGAACAAAATAAAAACATTGCGTAACTGCTCTATATGAACTTTTGTTATGACTCACAACCAACACTATTCGCGAAAAGAAAGCAGGCCCAAGATACCACACCAACTTTGCTGTGCTCTATGTAGGAACGTGAATTTGAATCCTTGAATAACATGCACGTCGCGTTCTTCTCGAATGTTGCTCGGCGTCAAAGATGGAAGTCATGGTCAGGAATAAAAACTCGTTTAAATTCATGTTTTATAACTAGCTTTTTTTAAGCATACTGGGACGCTGAAATTAAGGTAACCGATGTTAGGTTCGTTCTTATTAGAGGCTGAATAATCACATGAAAGAACTTCAGTTACATGCTAATCCTTTTATTAGTGATATCAGCGTGGTTTATCTAAGTGCACCGTAATTTTTAGGGAGTTATTATAACTCCAAAAATGGAGTAAAAATTTTAGGTACAGGATAACCCCTTTTTGGGGGTTATTTTAACTCTTAATTTAACTCCTAATTTAACTCCGAATTTGGGGTCATTTTTACTCCTGGAAAAGAGTTCTTTTTACTCCTAGTCTGGAGTTAAAATTACTCCGAGTAAAAATTTTAGGTACAGGATAACTCCTTTTTTGGGGTTATTTTAACTCCTCAATATCTGGGGTCACTTTTACTCTTGAAAAAGAGTTCTTTTAAACTCCTTTTTGGAGATAAAGTAACTCCACGAAAAATAACTCCACTGTAAGGAGTTAAATTAGCCCCACTAGAGGAGTTATTATAACTCCCTGAAAATTACAGTGTGGTTTACGGGGTGTTGTTAACAACTGAATGAATCCAACGGTCCATGCAATTACCTATTTCTCCTTTATTTCTGCTTCCATACACGGCTGTTTCCAGGATCTCGTTTGCCTACAGAAGAGTTGTGATGGTCAAATCATCATCAAAATGATTTAATGACGATAGCAGAAACAGTTATGGGTTACAAAGATGGGGGCAAAATTCCAGAAGAGGCGGTACTCAAGGAAGATGTCGGCAGCGCCAAGAAGGGTGGCGACATGCTGAAGGAGGAAGGTAATATGTGTGGTTGAGGGTAAGGCACCGTAAGAGCAGTATCTAATCTGTCAGTACCCAAATCTTCTAAACGTTTCAAACCAAAATACAAGAATGATATCTGGGTTACGTGATTAGAGAACTGGCCTGAGGCACAGTCACACCACAAACAGCGTTGTTTTCACTTGACTTTAGCTTCAGTCGCGAGTTCCAGAACATCAATATTGATACCGCATTTCCTTGAATAATAGCCGAGTGCGATTATTTCCTTTTTCGCATGCAAACTGAGCGATTATTCGAGGGAGGCGATTATTTCAAATGTTGCTCACCTGAAGTCGTGCCCTAAATATTTTGTTTTCTTATCCCATTAAATCAAAAAGTTATCACATCAAATAAACTGAACATGGGCTTTTTAAGTGTTCCAAATTTGGTTCCTTGACTTAATATTCAGAGCTTAAATCGTCACTGATCAGTTTTGCTGGATCAGATTCCCCTTCAACTGGACACGGAGGGGATGAAAGAAAGAGAAGATGGCGAGAGGGGTGGGGCGGGGACGATTATTCGAGGGAGACGATTATTTCAAATATTTCTATCAAAGGAGGGGGGCGGTGATTATTCGAGGGAGGCGATTAATCGAGGGACGGCTGTTATTCAAGGAAATAAGGTATCTTTAATTATGATGATGACGATGATGATGATGATGATGATGATGATGATGATTATGTTGGTGATGATCAAGATAGTGACGGAGGCACGAGGGAAGAGTTTAATTATCAAGGCTTACTAAAGTCCTTACCACTCGAGTTCGTTCAGTATCTTTGAAGTAAGTTTCTGGATTATCGCTGCCAACAAACCTAGAGACAGGCATAAAATTTGTTAAGACAGACATTTTTCATTGATGATTGGCTTGCCGATCATAACTAGAAAAAGACGTTGTGTTCTTACTTGTGTAACTTGTTTGCCTGGAATGTAGCGGTGAAATAATCCGGTGGCTGGTTGGGAACGTCATCTTTGAATATATTTGGGATATGGAATTTTTTCATTATTCTCTCAGACCAGTTTATCCTTTCCTCCGTCCTTTCCTAAAAATATCAAAACAGCGGTTGCAAATCGTTTCATCCTCGCAAAGGCCAAATGACTAGTTACAGTGGAACCTTGACTATAACGAAGGGCCAAGGGACTGGCAATAGTTGTTCGCTATAGCAAGTTTCGTTGTATCCAGGTCCTTTTTCATAAATTATACTTTTCTATTACTTATGTAACGCAAATCGTTTCTTACTGACCACTTCGTTATATAGAAGTTTGTTATCTGGAGGCTTCACTGTAAATTACTCTAAATTCTGAGCTTTTTTTACAGGAAAATAGTGTCGCCTACTAAATATCAAACATTTGTCTAGAGTTGAAGAAACATATTGTTATGTTAACATTTAATTGACGAGGCTCATTTTGAAATGATTTACGAGGAATATGTGCTGATGTAACTTGATTTTTGTGTCTTTATCGTGCCATCCCAAGTAAGGGAATCCATGACAGTCTTGGATTCAAAATTTCACGCCGTGGATTTCGGATTCCAGGTACTGGATTTCAGTCTTAGTCAGTGGAACCTGGATCTGGATTCCAATCGTTAGTGTGATTTCGGATTCTTTGAGCTGTATTGCAGATTTCAAGGGGGGGGCTGAGTCGGGGGGTGGGGGGAGAGGGCGTTAATCAAGATCTGTATTCTCATGACGAAGGATAATTGAAGGAGTGGAAACTAGCTACTTACTCGACACTACAACCTTCATAATTGCATTACATTGTACTTGTTAGATTACCTTAAGTGGTCCTTTGAAATTCAACTCTTCTGCATAAAAAAGCATTACTTCCCATGGAACATGGACTTTGATGAAATGGAGGGTTCCCTTCTTTGTGGCTGATTTTTCCTGAAAAGGCAAAAAAAACTTAATCAGAAATAAAACACAAACGGTGGTGTTAAACCTTATAAACTTATAAATCAACGGCCCCAAGCTTGTTCGTCAGAAGAAGACTAGTTCGAGCTACCGACTTTAAATACGGAGCAGTGCATTTTAACTTTCGTCAAAAACCTCAAAGCCCAGTCCAATCGGGTTGGCCCACTCTGACGTTTCCGTTGTGATATTTTCGCGATATGCAGAAAATCATAACTTATTTTCTTTATGACATGTTCTTTAAGGAACTAACCTCTTCAAACTCCAGTTGGGATTTTTGTAGGTTGTTCATGTATTTCCTCCTGAATCGTATTACCTCTCTAGGTGTCTCTTCACCATCGTTTTCTTCGTAAACTAGCACAAAGTCTAGAACAACATAATGTCACGCAAAATTAACAATATTCTGAACACCCAGCGTTTGCAGTGGCGCGCCTTCGTTGGCCTCTCTCCTACTCATTTTTTCATTATTATAATTCAATGAAACTCGATTTCCTCTCTTTTTTCCTCAAAATCAAGCATAAAAATAGCAAAGGCTGTCTTCTTGCTTACCAATTCTTCTCTTCTGATCTCTAAAGAAGCAGCCGGCTTCTCCACTCATATCAACCTCGTCGAAATCACTCTGAAATAAAGGTCATAAAATTCGTTACCGAAAAAAGAAATTATTTAAATAATTTTAATCGCATGTTTTTTTTTCATCCTTACCAGACTGTAAAATTCTGAATTTTTGAAAAGCTGTTCGGCGTCTTTCTCAATCATCAATGTCACCTTTTCAACAGACCGCTGGACAAGCTGAACGGCGGCGTCTTGAGGAACAGAGCGCACATCGACGCCGTTTATCTGACGGAGAAAATCAACAGAAGAGGGCCTTTAGTTAAGAGGTAAAGCAAGAGACATAAAGGTGATCAGAAAATTTAGTTTTTCTTTTGACTCTCAATGTCTCGTTTCAAGATGAAATTTAATTTGAACTCTTTACATACAATCGATGATCCAAAGAGGGCAAAACGCGAAAATAAAGACACGAAAAAAAAAAACAAACAAACAAAATACAAAACAAGTAGTATTGCTGCCATAATGGGGAGCAAGGGTGGCGCATTGGTGAGAGTGTCAGACCACTCGCCTCCCACCAATGTGGCCCGGGTTCGAATCTTGGTGTGGACGCCACACCAGGGTTGACTTTGTTTTTGCTTCTCTCCCTTGCTCCGTGAGGTTTTTTTCCGGGTACTCCTTTTTTTCCTTCTCCTTAAAAACAAACATTTCCAAATTCCTATTCTATCTGGAACGCACGGACACGTGCTCCGTGGGTAAAAAAATTACAATTTACATTTTTTTATTCTTACCATTTTGGAATAAGTTGTGTTTGGGTTTATTTCCGCTGTCGCGTAATTTTTCCGTGTGAACGCACGTAAAAGTTAGGTGCGTAAATGAAGCAGATGCAATGTATGAAAGACCAAGAGTAAGGGCCTGATAACATGAAGGTGGGGGACCCCAGGCAGGTGAGGTAACCCGCTTTGGTGGGGTAACCCGCCTGTCCATATAATCTCTCATTTTAATTTGAACACGTTTACATGACAGGTGGGATGACCCGCCGCATGTTACCTCACCTATCTGGGTCGGCCACCTCCATGTAAACAGGGCTAGAAGTAAAAGTTGAGCGAGTTTTAACTTTTGCGTATACGTTTGATCTTCCATACATTGTCCCTGTTTTATTCAAGCGCGTAAAATTTACCCGCGTACTCAGGGAGAAATTTCGCGATAGTGGAAATCCACCTTAAATCTATTTTCCTGGGATGTAAAACTCCCTGAAGGGTTAGAGCTGTTTCACACAAGTAAAACAAACGCAAGTACAAATGACGACGAAGCAAGAAATGGAAAATTCTCCCTTCCCCCGTCGACGTTTACGCTGTTTACAAGTGTAACCGAGACAACGTAAACCCAAGCTGAAGCAGTCCGTCCGCCATGTTCGAACGCCGGATGTTTAGCCCGTGTGTAAATCACTGTGCTTGCACTTGCTTTTGGCCCCTTAGTTAATAAGCAATAGGTAACAGTAGATTTGGAAAATTATGAACTCGCCAAATACTGATTTCGATTTCCTCTAAACCAGTCTTTGGGTGGAATCGATTCATTTGATCTACCATGATCCGAGTGATCTCAGATCACTGATCCTGATCCGGATAATCTCAAAGGAACGCACCCTTTATAACAGAAATTGCGTCGTGAAAGGTTTGAACCCAGGAGTCATTTCAAAAGTAGGTTGAGTTTGAAATTACATTATTCAATGTTTAAATTTAATCAAGGACGAATATAAAACCCTACGTAGTAAGTTTATTTTTAGCCTTTGATGTCAATGTTGTATGTACCTCAAGAAGTCTATCACCAATCTTGAGCCGACCATCACGGTCAGCAGAACTTCCGGGTTTAATTGACGTCACAAAGATTCCCGGATGACCTCGAAGATAGTTTGCATCACTACCACCCCGGATGTTGAATCCGAGACCTGAGGCCATAAAAAGGGACAATAAAATAAAGTTATGATATTAATAATAATGTGAGCTACTATAACCACAATAGATATATACAATATAGGTTGCTGTGTCAAGCCCACATGCTCTTTGGATGGGCGCTATCATATCGTAGGGTAAAGAAGGCATTACCCCGGTGTCACAAAGGGATATCAGTGAACTTACGCATTAGGACGGCAAAGGAGAGAAAACACAAGAGTGTCAGTAACTATGTTTTTAAAAGAGTTTCGCCAAACTTCTCCTTTCTTGAAACAGATCTTTTTGTAAAATACAACAACAACGTTATGTTAGTGAAGACAAGCTGGGAAAAAGGGCCCCTAGTGCGACAGTTGAATCTAGAATGTGAGTTCTCCTTACCGTATTCTGGATCTTTGTATAGCTCAATACAATTTTCTTTGCCTCTCTGAGAGTCTACAGCTCCTTCGCGCACAGTTTTCTGCGAGAAAATGATAAAATAGTTTTAGTTCGCGTGGAATTCATCAACAGAGATATTCTCAATACCACCTCCTTTTGTACTTCAAAAAAAAAAACTCACTGCCTCCGACCATGAATTATGTAGTAATAATACCAGGAGTCATTCTAAGGTATGGATTTTTGAGGGAAATATCCTGTGATGTTACTATTCAACTATAAACTCATATCCTGTACATATCCATGGTGTTATAAATTTTTAACGACTTTCCACCCCAAATTTGAGTTTCTTTTTCTCCCAAACATTTCCTTTCTCCACTGTGACTGAGAGTGAGCGAGTTTAGTTGTAAGTGAAACACTGATGGATGGACCTTACATTATGACAGGGCGAGAGCCATATCTGAGCTAACAAGTCTTGTGTACCAAAGATCTATGGCCCCTCCCGCCTAGGTACCTCCCCACCCCCCCCAAAAAAAAAAAGGTGAATAGTCCTAGATTGCCCGTAGAACGAGCAATTAAAATAAGAACATACCACCACTTGCTGCAGCGCCTTTTTCTCTACGAGAAGAAGGAGTTTCTTCTTTTTGGATTGAATCAGATCCACAGCACGGTCAACTGTACTGTTCTCTACATTGACACCATTAATCTGAGGGTCAAATGTAACATTAAGTCAATAACGAGACAATCATTCCATGCCTTAAACACCTTATAATTACTTATGTTCGGTATAGACTGGTCTCGACTTTATGTATACCCACTAATTTTCACACTATTCTCGGAAAATAAAAAGCAAATAACGAAATTATTTGCACGGAGTTGTGCGCCAATTTCATATATCTCAAGGTTGGCACTTAAGCCTCGTACACTATCAAATCAGTGAGTCGGAAGAACGTTCTTTTTATTTCAAATTAAAAAGAGAAGAAGAGAAGTATTCAATAATGGCCGACTTGGCATGACACTCGAAACCCGAAACACCTCGGGACAGTCCGGAACCTGGCAAAAGCTTATGACGAAATGAAAAGACAAACACGAACCTTATCACTGGTCTTTAAATAGACACTTTCTTCGATAAAACAATTTATTATAAGAATATATTTTCATAGCGTCCGAGGTAAACGAACGCAACAAATTCATCACAAGTTGTTTTTCAATCTCCACCTAGCTAGTGGCTGAACCAAATCCCATTACCGCGGAAGACAAATGTTTATTTTGAAGCTCAAATCAGCATAGGATTATCTCCTATAAACAAATCTTATTTACTTGTATTTAAGAGAAAAATAAATTACCTCTAAAATCTTGTCGCCCACGCTCAGTCTGCCGTCCCGCGCGGCCACTCCATCGCCGTTGATCCTTGTGACATAAATACTTGAATCCCCTGGGATATAAGGGCTATCTTTACCTCCCCGGATGTTAAAACCCAGTCCTCTACCTGTAAACGAAAAATAGAATTATGAGATGAGAATATGCGTAATAAACATCGTTATGTCTGGCTATGTCCTGATGGACTCGTGTGAAATAGACTCATTTACCACTGATTGTATAGTATTCAACAGTTACCGGCATCTTACAAACGACTTACTGACGGACCCAAGCAAACCAACTACGAGAGACTGACTGGACAACCGACAATAGGACAATTGCATGATGATGTCATTTTACTACAACAAACAGAATCCTTAAGTTCATTGTTTTCTTGTGCAAATTAGGGCTTTTGTTGCTTAAGCCCCAGCGAGATTGACAAATTCAAATACGAAAGCAAAAACGAAATGAATTGCGCCAATTTTTGTCAAATTTTGTCATCTTGAAGGTGGCCGATATGAATAACAATAAACACTTGTTAAACTGTGATAAAATACGGATCGAAACGTATCAAGGATATTGGTTTGGAGTCTTCAGAATTGTAGCAGCAACTAACGTGATTCATGGCACACAACTTGCCCTTGCAAACGGACGCAACATTGTTGGCCAACGACTGCCAACATTGTTGAATGTCACACTTTGCGTCCGTTTGTACACCCCGTTGCAAGTTGTTTCGTGTTGTTGGGAGTTGTTGCGCAAAGTTTGAAACCGGTCAAACTTTTAGCTACATGTAAACGGATACAACATTAAACAACTCCCAACATTGTTGGCAGTTGTTGTGTCCGCTTGCACGTACGTAACTTAAAGCCACGTGCAAACGGACGCAACACTGTTGGCCAACAACTAGCAACATTGTAGGATGCTACATGTTGGGTCTGTTTGCACACCCTGTTGCATGTTGCAGCGTGCTGTTGGGAGTTGTTGCCCAATGTTTGAAACCGGTCAGAGTCTTATCTACGAGCAAACGGACGCAACAACTCCCAACGATGTTGGGAGTTGTTGCGTCCCTTTGCACGTTACTTAAGATAACTATCACAAAGGTTGTCGAAACGCCTATAGAGAGTGACTGTCAAAAATTATTCAGGACTACGCTCACCCGAACGATCATGGTTTATTTACTAATTAACCGACTCCTGGGTTCAAAGCTTTCACAGCCTCAGTGATTGTTGAGTAATTATAACAACGGCATGAAAGGAAAACAAAATTAATATGACAGTACCTTTCTTTTCTCGCTGCAAGTCGATTCTCATAACGCCCTGGCTGGCGCTGTCCTCCTCGTTCATCATCTTCGAAGAAAGTAAATCAAAAAATATTAAGGTATTTTGCGAATCCTATACATGTTCTTAGTGTGGAACGTATTTTTTTTTTTTTGCCTTCGTACTAACAAGCTAAGTCATTTTGATTTTACTGTCTTTTTCTGCAAAATGGGCGCTGTTGTTAACGTTATTAAAGAGGGTTGTGACATAGCTGTCTTGTTCTTTGTGTTAATATTGTGCCTAAGGAACTTAATATGTTAGCAACGAAATTACCAGTAAATGATAAAATCGCAGCTTCGTATCAGACAAATATCTCACCCAAAGAATTAACATCAAACAAAAACGTTAGGGAAAAAAACCAATGAACTTTGAAAAACTGTTAAGCTAAGAAGTTTTTAAAATCCACATTATAATTGCAATCCCATTTAATCCTCTTTACGTTTATCCATCCATGCCTTTTTTGTTTTTACGGTGTTATTTAAACCTTCTTTTAATGTCTTGAGGCACTATTTTTATGTTTCAGGCAATTTGTGTCAGTCACTGCTTGCATTTTGGAAAAATTGGTGACACAGCTCTTTTTAATCTGCAATGGAATTGGGACATTCAAATACTAAAGGAAACAGCAGCAAATAACGCCATGGTGACAAGGGTCCATTCATTTGTGCAGTAGTTTAATTCTTTTCTGCTGTTAACAATCTAGCTGTTTTAAATGATGCAAGCTCTTTGTTTCTCTTGTCCCAGTGCTATTCTTGCCCTCCAGTAAGGTGTTTAATATGTGTCACGTGATTGACCATTTACAAATGCTTCACAACTGCAAAAATTGGTATTCGCTTGGGAGCCAACTAATTGCAGTAACGTATAAAGAAGTATGCTGTGTGTGAAAAGTTTACACTACCTCTGGGCTTGTAAAAAGCCTAACTCGTCCTTTTTTCTGGGTGTAAGTAATTCCTTTTCTTTCTTTCCCTTTGTTGTTTTTTTTTTTGAGGGGTAGGGGCGTCTTTCTCGGTATGCTTAAAATGGACAGTTCGACTACATCCTTCAAAATTGAGTTAAGTTGAGCTTTTGCGATTAAGATTGCAAAGAAGCAAAATTGCGTAACATGCTGCAAAAATCTGTTTAGTTCAGTGATTTCTTTCTTGACATCGTCACCACTTTTTTACAAAAGAAGTTCCGGGCTCCCGTTAGGACTGGACATCAAAAAGACTCTGTTCGAAAATTTCAGTTGTTAAGAAAGTAACACTCACTTTGTTTTTAAAGCAATCTGTTGTTTGTGACAGTTTTCTCATGTATGATGTATTTCACCTTCAAATTCATTGTTTTTGATAACAGCAAAAATTACCTTGATGGCTTTTTTGTGCACCACTAAGGTCAACTTTCCTCCTTTGGATTTCCGCACCATATCCAAAACTTCACCGTGTGTGACATTCCGGACGTCAGCACCATTGATCTATGAAAGTCAGAGAATCATTGAACAACATTGTTTCTTATTATGACATGACTTAACTCTACACTGACAAAAGAGTTTCTTTAAAACTAGACGCAATAAATTCTGTCTTAATTAGCCACAACTTCTAAAGATTATACTTCAAACGAAATTGACCTTTATGCGCAATAAATAAGATTAACATCCATTCAATTTACCTCGATCTCGCCTAAAAAAACTGTCGAAGATTTACAGTTCAAATAGATAAATTTTCAGAAATTTTCTTAATACAATCTTCATATCCTCTACAAAGAGTGTTCATTTCGTATTTTAATGTGATCAAGAAACAATCAATGGATTTTTTGTAAAGAAAATTTCCTAGCTCACAAACCTCCACAATTCTATCCCCAGGCGATAGCAGGCCATTTTTTTCCGCAGCAGCTCCAGGTCTGAGTCGGGTAATGTAGACACAGGGATCACCTTCTTGATAAGGCTTATCTCGGCCCCCTTTCACATTGAACCCATAACCATCTGTTAAAGATAACAAAAACGCATTCAAGCCCAAATCAGATTCTCCTCGTCGCCTCCATGCAGGTAGGGCAATTTGAGTTCCGGAATCAAGAAATTTTAGTCGAGTAATCCAGAATAGTGGGCTTTGAAATCCGGACCTACGAATAAATCTTAATCCCCCTAACTACTGGAATCCAGAATTCAAGGACACTCATTTGAGGCTGGGCGATTTTTAACTTTTTCTGCCTTCAAGATGGGCGCTTATTCGAGGTGGGCGCTAACTCGAATAAATACGGTATTTCTTTGCTGTATAACTGCAGAATCTACAGTTGGTTAGCCAGCAGTGTGGTTGTTTGTTTTTTGTAGTGATGTGAGTATTTTGGCGTGTTTACTGAGTCTTTGGTATTACTTCATTTTTGAATTGCACCGACTCGCGATGCTGGAAACTGCCCAAAAACCATAACATACATATTTTACAAGTTGCGGGTTTATAATAAGAACAAAATCAATATTTATCGATTCTTTGTTAACACTGACCTTTTTTGATTTGTATTTACTCTAGTCAAAAATAGTTTAAACCAGAAAAAGCGTTTACCTTTGCCTTTTTTGAGCGTCACGGTAAGCGATTCCATAGGATCCTCGATGGGCAGGACTGCGGCCTCGGTTTCCTGCTCCGGATCGTCTTCAGGCTGGGCTGCAGAGTCGGGCGCGGGTTCGAGTCCTGGCTCAGTTTCGGGTTCCTGATGCGGCTCCTCGGCCAACGGAATTGTTTCCTGGAACACGAGTCAAATGCGAACAATTATTCTCCTTGTTAGGCAGGGGTTTGGGAGAATTTGAATATAAATAGATTGAATCACAATCGTAACACTATTGACGTTTCAAGAGTTTGGAAAAATGATTCGATTTCAAATAACCTCAATGGAGCAGATGGGGCGTAGAGAGAAACAGATGTGACAATAACCATGAGTGAGGATAAATGGTGCATAGTTAAGCCGAAAAAATTCAAAATAATCTCTTGTTGTTCTTTTTGTTAGTTTACAAAAATAAACCTAGAAAATCTGCATCTGTCATAGCTCGTATGAATTTTAATCCAGTGACTTGATTTTTCCCAGTTTATGCCAATCTTAGGGATAGTTTATATCCTAAATGCCCTTTACATTATTGCTGCTAAGAAAAAACAAACCAAATGCTGCCTTAAAGATACTGATAAGCAATTCAGCTCATTGCTAAGAAGACCAAGTGTTTGTCAGATAAGGCTGTCAAGTGTGTAAAAGGCGACTTACGGCACAACTTTTATTTTGTTTTTTTTAACTTTTATAAAATTTATTATTATTATTATTATTATTATTTTTGGAAAAAATCAAGTTCTGGTTTGTGATGTTCATCAGGGCTGAAAAAGATGTAGCACGGTATTCAGTATTATTACAGTCATTAAAATGGATTGAGTCTTATTTCTGTTTGATTGATTATTTGGTTGAGTTTCATTTTATCCACTCCGCCATGGATATTTCAATCGATTGGAATAACAAACCTTAAATCTTATTTCTATGTTTGATTGATTGTGTGGTTGATTTTCATTTTATTCAGTCCGCCGTGGATATTTCAATCGATTGCACCACAAACCTCAAATTCCAATTACTCACTCTTTAATCAAATTCGACATTAATTCATGAACTTACTTTCATTTAGAAAAATTTTATGTCATTTTTAAAAACTAAACGAGGTTATCAATTAAGATTGCGCAAAATACACTGACCGAAGGTAGGATTTTCTTAAATCAAATAACCAGGGCGATTTATTCTTTTTCAGTAACACTTTTACTTACATCCAAATGCCGTTTTAATTTTTGGACAGAGAAAATTTAAATACGTTTCGTGAATTTAATTTTCGGAATTCCATTGGTTAGACCAATCCCCCTCGAACCGGTGTTCAAGACACTGAAGCCATTTGGGTGAGAAGTGGTCCGTTAAATTCCAAAAATATAATATCCAGTGAGGATTTTAGGGACGTCTTTATGTTTAAAACCTACACTGGTCTGAAAGGCTATGGTTTCAGCTTTCACGAGTACTGATTTACACTCCCAGAACCAGCTCCAACCATTGACATTCCTCTACGATCTCATCTCCGTTTTAATTAAAATTCAACTTTTATTTTGCCTTATTGACAGCTGTATTAATGGGGCAAAACAGGAAGAAATGTTCTTTTGGGACGATTTCTGAGGCAAAATCTAACACTTGAGATTCTTCGATAATACTTGAATACTCTTTTTGAATTATTTTCGACAAAAATTATACACCACGTAACTTTTCCCAAGAGAGGGTATTGGGTTACTGGTAAAGTTCTCCTTCGCTCAGTCTGGGACTGAAAGCTTGCATGACTGAAAACAAAGCTGTTTCAAAAATGTTTATTCATAATAAATACGCCTTTTAAATCACCTTGAAGATCTAACTAGTTGTCTTGGTAATAATGTACAAAAACGAACCCCAGTGACTTACACGGAAAGAATGTTCCTCAATAAGAACTTTTCATTGTGCTATAACATGAATAAAGCCGCCAAATGAATATTTAAGTATTTTATTTTAGCTTTCCAGAGCATTCTTGCCAACTTTTAGGTGAAGTTGATGACCAGAATACCAAAAGAAATAAAATTTAAGAGAAACATAAGAAAGTCCTATCGAAAGAGTCAGTCGTACAGAGGGAAAGCACTCAGTATAAAACGACAGAGCCGTAAGTTTACTTTGGAGATGTCACGGCCTTTGAACATGTACGCCACCAAACATGGCTCGAAATTCCTCAAAATATTAAGTGACTCTGGAATGGGTAACAACTTTCCGAACTATGGGGAAAGCTACATAAACCGTTACAAATACTCACTTTCAGGTAATTTCAAGTCGTTAAAGAAACTTGCAAACTCAGTTAAAAGTTCGGTGAACTCAACGTTTGGTAGCTGTATGGCGATTCACCGTCTTCGTATATTGACCTCAAAACAATCGTCATCAAATCGAACAAATTATTTATTTGTTCATTTTATTTCGATAGATACGTTCGTAGAAATTAAGTTATGGAATAAAAACTGGACAGGGAGACGAAAAACGCGCACAATTCGACTGTAGGTATTGTGCATTTTGATGGCGTGCAGCTCTGACTTCTAGACTACTTTAAACACGTCATAACACATTGGTTTCAAAAGTCCTCAAAACTTTTGATCTACTCTGTAAAAGGTCATAACTTTCTTTACTATGTGAAACGATCAATGGTGAAAAAAACCATAACGAAAAAATATAATGATGGCAATTTTCAAGAAAATGCAAATAAGTTAAAAACTTTTACAGAGTTAAGGAAATTCGGCCCAGGGAGATGTAATTGCTGTTTGAGTCAATTGATTTTGAAAAAGGGTTGATATTAAATCAAATATACTTGTTGAATATAGCACTGTTTGTTGTTTGTACCGAAAGTATCACCAACGTTGTGACACAGTCTAGCAACTAAATGGTATGCTGATAGATAATGTATAACGTTTATTCTAGAAGAAAAATAGGAATCCGCTAATAGGTAAAGTAGTCGTGGATTTAGAGTTATTTCATTGATCAATCCTTGGTTCGTTTTATCTTTTAATTTTTCCTTTGAACCTGAGCGACACTGTTAATAAAGAACTGAAATACACCACCATTCTTTGTTTATAAATTAAAGTTTAAGTACTGGGCCAGCCGACCTTCTGAATGCGGAAAAAGTAGTTCCCGTTGCCATTCTTTCTTGGTCGTTCGCATTACTCATTAAAATTAAATTATCTTGACAACCAATGTAAGCGTTTTCCTTTAGTATACTTTTCGCTTTCAGACGGCTGAAGTAGATCTTACACCAAAATTTCAGAACAACTTGCAAAAAGCGTGAAAGCAATGTTGTTCATTTCGCCAGTTTAGTAGCAATAATCACAGTCGTACGATTTAACCTTACCTCGTCTGCCATGTCTTGGCGCCAAATGCTACAAATTCCGTCACCTTCTTTAATGCTTTGCCAATTAGCAGTGGATTCTTAGCTTAAACGCTTGTTCCAATATGATAAATGAACGCTGTTCATGTTGCATTCTGGCTTGAGACGATGATCTGTCTAGAATTCACTCACACTCATATACCTCCCTTAGTGCCCGAGTTCGACCGAAAATAAACTCGATTATCATGTGCAAAATATCACAAATGCAAATTGATTGTGCTCATTCTGCATAGCAAATGTCCCAATAGAGTACTTAAAAAACAAATAGTTCTAAATCTTTTCTTCTTTTCCGCTAGAGTGTAACATTGCATTGTCTCGGACTAATTATTCGCATAATTATGTTCAAGGCAGTTTAAGCGCGAAACCCCAACGAAACAAATTAAACCGTTGGTGTTTAAATAGTATAAAATGTTTTGTTTCTAAATATTTCTAGTCTACTCAAATAATAAATTTTTGTGTATAGAAATGATTTAACTCACACATTGCATTGTCCTGCTGAATTATTTTGTCTTTTTGTTTTGTTCTATTTCCTACTCCCAAGACAATTGAAGTTTACGATGACTGTCTTTTGAAATCATTTAGTAAGGTCTAAAAGTTGCCACTGGGTATGGAGTTTCGAGTCGGGAACTTGGCCAAAACAGCTCTAGCTACCATTTTTAATTGTTATTTTCCGTGAAAAGAAACAAACTAAAACTTTGGCCAATTATATTTTGACCTATTTTATAATAAGATATCAAAGCTCACCTTAACAATTCGACGCCTGGCCTGACAATGCGGACGTAAAGTTCTACTGCGAGTCTTGAAACCGTCTCAGTGAGGCTTTGTAAAAACAGCAAGCCGAGTTTCCATTTGTATACAAATATGCCGACCTCTCCATATAATACGAAGACTAACCAAAGGTTCTTGGCGCGTCACCCTACCATCTCTCAACGCGATAACTGCCTCTATCTCACGGATACTGGTAGTAAATACTACTTTCAGACACTTTTGATCTGACAGTCCAAACTACTATTTTAAATAAAAAAATGTAGCTCCCAGTATAATGAAGAATGGCAACTGTTTCGTTGTCTTGGCAAACTGGTCACTATCAATCAGTTAATCAGTTACTACGCCACCACGTACTCTTTATTGTGATACCATGTCTCCGGTTATTTTTAAAAACAGCACGGCTCATTTCATCAAACTCTAGGCAACAGTATTGGCCTTGTGACCAGTGTGACAGACGGTATATAAGTGTTTGAGGACAAGGGGTACTTTGTCACGTCGAGAGTAACGCGATAGCTGAAGTCACTCTCTTTCTAAGACTGAATACAGTAAACCCCCTTCATAGCGGACACTGTTAGGACCCCGAGTTAGCGTCCTCTTAGCGAGAGTCTAATAGAGGAAGTTTATTTCAGTCAAACATCTGTAATTCATTTTTGCCTGGGGTTTTGCTACGTCCGTTTTATCGGGGTGTCCGCAAGGCGAGAGTTGAATTTAGTTAGCGTACCTATAATTTATTCCTATCTAGTTTTTTTTGTCTTTTCAGTTGTATTTTTTTTAAGCTTCCTCCGTTGAAAAGCCTCATTTCCCTTCAGATTCTTCTTTGGAAAGCCACGTTTCCAGTGAGCTGTTAATTGTACCTTTTATGAAACAATTGAGTGTAGATCGACAAAAATAGGCAGATTCTTAATAAGGGAAACGCTTACCACTGGTACGGAAATTTCGGTGAAAAATTTCCGTCAAATGGTACTGGTATTTTTTTGACACCGAAACAGGAACGGGATTGAGTTGTACCATTTACAAA